TTTTAATTGTTCAAACCGTACGAGTCTCCTGAATCTCCTGAAGCTGAGGTACCCGAGTCCGATCGCCAGTTACTTGATTTTTGAAATGAAATTCTAAAAATCTCTATTAATAAAAGAACGAACTGATTTTTCGCACTCTACCAATCGAATGCCTAGCGTGTGATCATCTTCTGATCTGAAATTGAACATTCAATTTTTGAATTAACGGAAAAACAGAGTCACTGTTTGCACAATTGCACTTCGATTCGCTCCAATGTTCCATTAAGTTTCGAATTTTTTTCGATCTGAAACAAAATATTAAAAATAAGGTTAAGGAAGTAAAAAATGTCACTGCTTTAAGTCCTGCCAGCAAAGTCCGTCATCCTCCTTGTGTTGGCCATTTCATTGCACAGTGTTCATGAAAAATTTTTATTAAAATTAAAAGTAATTTTCTATTGATTTCTATCAACATTTTAAGTTTAAAATTTATTTTTTTTTATTAGTTGCCTTTTCAGGAAAATTTGGCAGTCCCTACATCGAATAGTTCCGACGCCACTCCACCGTGTGCGCCTAGACTTCCCCAGGCATTTCCCTCCTGGGTCGGACCCTATGGGTCACCGAAGCGGGACGTTGGTCCGCGTCTCGTGGCACGAGATCGCGGCGTCCGTGCGGGCTCTCTCAAATCCGACTCAACGAATGTTCTCGAGACACGCTCACAGCGGTTCGGAACCTTCGATGTCGGGACAAAGGAAAATTGTTAACAAATTCGTTAAAAACTGTTAAAAAAAAACATAAAAGAAAATGAAAAAACTTACACAACTGTTTATTAGCCGCTTATCCCTGTATGAAGAGCTCACCCGAAAAAGTCGGAGCAAACTTGGTCTGAAAATAAATTCATTCTTGTTTTCTATAAAATAATAAGCAAAAAAATTAAAGAAATCATGAAAGTAAAATTAAATCAAGACACTCTGACAATAAAAATAGTGGCGTTTTGATTACTGAAATCTTTCGCAAACAACTAAAATGACGATATATTGCGGAATTCCTTCAATTTTTCTAAATAAACCCCTTTTTAACATTTTTTCTTTCTATTTTGATACTATTTTAAATTAATTAGGTTAAATCTCGTTAATACCTTCTTAGAAATGAAGTTTTTTACAGAACTCTTCATCGAAATAACGAACGGTACAAAACACTGGCAAAATGGGAAAATTAGAAATGAATGAAAAAGAAGCCACGTTGGTTTTGATATTTTAAATATTCACGTGTCAATTAGTTTTTGGAGAATAATGTGCGAAAAATTGAAAAAATTTAACATTGAATCGGATTTTTTTTTTGCCAAAAATTAGGAATTGTACGAATTTTGGTCAATGATTTTTCATTACCGCTTCTCCGCTATCGATTTTTTACTACTATGATCCGGACACTTATTTTTACATTGCATATTTAATTTTAGAAAAAAAATGAAACAGCATTTTTAATTGACATATTGTAATTTCCGTCCGTTCTAAAAAAGATTTGGCTTAGGTTCCAATCGAATAAAAATGCACGCTTCTACTTATTTAATTTACCTCCTCTTGAAATTTACGCAGAAAATCAAGTCAAATTTCAGACCGAACATTTTCAGATTACTAGACGTTTGCACAGGAACTGCAGTTCATTATTTGGTTTTCATTTCTTGTTTTCAAAACAAAACTGTTTTTCCTTTAACTTTTTGCTCTGAAAAATACGATTATAACTGGAAAATCGCAAAACTTACATTTCGTTCAACTTTTCGTTGTATCCGAGCATTCAACAATTCCCCACTACCCTCCGATTGTGGGAAATCAAAATCTTCATCGGAATTTTCCGATTATGGTAAAATTCCAATAAGTTGAAAACTGGAAAAAAATCTGGAAATATACAAAAGTCCACCTCGAGTTTCGAAACAAATCTAGCAATTCTAACGATTTGCGACAAATTAATAAGTGATTGAAATGAATAAAATCATCAAATTTGCATAAAACCGTTCGTACATTTTTTTTAAAGGTATTATCAGTGTCCTCCGACTGTGAGGCACTTTCTACAACCATAATCGGGCTAAAAACAGAATGTAAATGCGAATTAGGATACCTGAAACATCTAAAATTTTTTTGTTAAAGTCAATTTCGAAATTCTTAATACCTAATTTGGCAAATACAATCATTGAGTTTTAGCGTAGTAATCAACCAAATTTAATTTAAAAATTAAAAAAAAAAAATTCCGTTGTTTTATATCGTTAGTTTTTCTTCAAAATCTATCCGTTTATATATAAAAAACCAAACTACTGCAGCGCTATTGCTCAAATGAATGCGGCAATTGCGAACATGGCCACGCCCACTATTTCGGCACGTTTCTTCATTTGAACTTCAGGTTTCTATGCTACTTTTTTCGTTGTTTTACTTAAAATGATTGTTTTAGGTTGAGAAAACACGCAAATGGAAACAGATTTGGTTTGAAAATAATTTTGGGTGCCGCTGATCAGGAATTCACGGATTTCATCAAATTCATCGATTTCTTTGCAAGATATGTATATTTGGTTCGTTGTTTATTATTTTTAAAAATGTAATTTTCAGGGGTTGGAACGTTCCCATATCTGCTCTTTTATTTTATATTCTGCCAGCGGATTTTTATTAGATATGAACTTTAAAAGTAAAATAATTCGAAATAATCTGAAAATGATTATTTTTGAAAGCTACGAGTAAGTTTTTTTTTTTTAATTGATCGCTTATAATCTAAGCACTTATAGCCTCGCTTCTTTCTTGAGTTCGACAAGATCATCGAACTCGCATAATACCCTTCTTACATCTTCTAGTTATTATTACTGCCCTCCGATTGTGATGCACTATTTTCTACAATCATTATCGGGCTAAAAATTTAAGTAAAAATCATACCTGCGAAATTTTTAATGTTTCGAATTGAATAATTTTAAATTAAATGTGTTTTTTCTATTCAAATCACCTTATTTTCTAGCTAAATTTCACAGAGAATAAACATTTTAGGTACTACTATTGGAAATAACTAGAGTGAACTTCAGTTCGACTCGCTCCGTTGCAAGAATGACTAAAATTAAGCTTATTCTTTTAATCTCTCATCCCACCCATTAACACACTGCCCTCCGATTGTGGGACATTACCTTCCAAAATCATCATCGGGCTAAAAATTTAAGCAAAAATCATACCTGCGAAATTTTTAATGTTTCGAATTGAATAATTTTAAATTAAATGTGTTTTTTCTATTCTAATCACCTTATTTTCTAGCTAAATTTCACAGAGAATAAACATTTTAGGTACTACTATTGGAAATAACTAGAGTGAATTTCAGTTCGACTCGCCCCGTTGCAAGAATGGCTAAAATTAAGCTTATTCTTTTAATCTCTCAATCCACCCATTAACACACTGCCCTCCGATTGTGGGACATTACCTTCCAAAATCATCATCGGGCTAAAAAAAAAAGAATACATTTTCCGAATTTGAAAATTAGCCGAGGATTTTTAATATTTCCTCGAAATTAGCGACTTTTCGAATTTTTCGATTCGATCAATAAGACGACCGGCTTTCCTCTTTTTTAAAGAATCATTTGCTCCCACTACCCTCAAAGATTCATCCTCGACCACTTGAATCCATCAGAAACCAATAAAAACTCATCGGTTTCTGCCGAACTCCAATTTGCGTGACCTCTTTCCATTTTCATTTCTTGCAAAATATTCTTTGAATCAAACAATTTCTTGCTTTTTTTGAAATCCTCGCACTGAAAAACTAGATATTGATCAGAAATTCAAACGAATCGCTTACATTTCATTCGATTCGTGTTCTGCATCCGACCCTTCAAAAATTAAAGCAAGGATCCCCAAGAAGAGTGAAACAATAAAAAAAAAATAAAATACACAAGAATTGAAAAAAAAAACTACAATAAAAATGACACGATTGCAGCGATATTGGATCTTTTTCTTCATTTTTTTTTACAATTAAGATTGTCCATCGCTTTATAACAAATATGTCAAATACATTTTCTATTTAATCTCTTTTTTTCTTTTCTTTTTTAAATCTTTTAAGGTCTTAAAAACAACGGGTAGGGTAAAAGAGGAATAACGATAATACAAAATGGACACCTTCAATGTTTTCGACATAGAATCCGACTACGAATCGTGCTTCATCCTTCAGACATCATTAAACTTCTCGGTATTTCCAGCTTCCAAAAAATGTTTTCGTTTTATCTTTGTCGAAACGCTTCTGAATACTGCAAAAAATCAATCAATAAATCATTTTTCAAACGTGCTTTCTTACATTTTTGCGTCTTTCGATTTCAAATGAGAATCAGTTGGTCATTTGATTCCCTAATCACACCTTCGGCTTCAATACCAGATTATTCTTATCTCGGTATTTTGTGTCAGTTTCAATCTGAAATTAGATTATCTGTTGGTTTGAAACGTTAATTGAATGTCTTACATTTGAGAGCCGCGATGTGACTCATCCGATCCCTGCAGAAGTCAGAGATCCCAATCGAAAAAAAAACAATATGTACAAACAGAATAGCATAATCAATAGAATAAAAAACGATTTTTAACGACATTTGGATCTTTTCATGTTCTTTTTTACAACTCATTTTGTCCTGTCGTTCTTTTAAAAATCATCATAAACTAAAAAAAAAAGAATAAAACATAAAGTACGATAAAATCAAAACGATTTCAACGACATTTGGATCTTTTTTCTTTTTTTTTTTGACAACTAAAACTGTCCGTCGTTCAAAAATATGTTTTTGGGAAGTAATGAATAAAAAATGGGTAGTGGATAGTAAAAAAAAAGAAAATAAGTGGAAAAATGAAAATTAGTAAGGAAATTAGGGGGAAATTTAATTGCATTTGGGTGGAGGGGGGTGTATTCTGGTCAAGCCATTTTAAGAATTGCAACTTCACAGCTGTTGCCGCTCATCCTTTTATATTATGGATTTGAATTTAACCCTGATGTGAGACGCAGGTTACTCAATGTGCAAATGGCTAAAACTTACCATTCGTTTAGCACCGTCATCCTGTGCTCAGCCACTTCGACAAATATCGTTCCATTCATTTGATCGAATCGTTCCGTACAATTGATGATATCCTTTTTGAATTGATCTATTTGTCTCCGTTTTAACTTTTCAAAAGCAATTCCAACTGAAAAAGATGAATTCGAAGAGAATTGTTTTCAGAATACTCACCATTGCATGAGCACATTGATCTTGTGCATTCATTCCATCACTCGGATCGATATCGTTTGTTCTTTGATTCATAACATCGAGGAATTCTAATATCCTACAGCTCGTTTTGTCGATTCGACCATCAGTGTTGTAATCAAATTTTCGAGCATTAAATTGCTCATCTGTCGTTCCTATAGGGTGTCCTAATGTAGGACAATATCTTCTTTTTTTTTTTTTTTTCTTTTTCTTTTTTTTTTTTTTTTTTTTTTTTTTTTTTTTTTTTTTTTTTTGTTTTTTTTTTTTTTTAATTTTTTTTTTTTGTTTTTTTTTTTTTTTAATTTTTTTTTTTTTTTTTTTTTTTTTTTTTTTTTTTTTTTTTTTTTTTTTTTTTTTTTTTATTTTTTTTTTTTTTTTTTTTTTTTATATATTTTTTTTTTTTTTTATACAAGATTTTGGCGGTAGAGCCTCTGGATGCGGCCTTTGGCGTCTGTTGACGCGCGTCTCGTCGGTCTTATTGTCGTGCGCACGCCAACATCCGGACATGGTGGGTTCCTCGTAGCTTCATCCGCAATTGCTTCTGCAACACAAGCAAATTTCGGACTATTACGAGACTCCGCCATTAACACAGCGACCGTTGTTTAGCGTAAATCAGAATATCGTTGAATTTCCGTGAATTGTTTCGCCGAAAAAGTCGAAAATTTTCCGGCAATTCAACGAAAACTCTGTGCCAAGCTAGAAACGATATAGAAAAACCTACCCAGCTGCGGAATGAAGCCTTCCACGACGAATCGTAGAAGCTTCCTTTCGCCCTCCATGTCGACGTCGTCTCCTCCGGCCAGGTTGGTGTTTCTTCTCTCCAGGACTCTTCGGGCATTCTCGATGACATGAATGCCGCAGTTGTATCCATCAGTCTGCGCCATTTGATGGTGTTTTGGCGCCCAGCGCACGGACGACAAGACTTCTGGATACAACGCCGCCAACGCCCGCTTCACTGCGACCGAGATCTTCTTGCGGTCGCTCGGCAGGCGATTCGCAGCAAGTGAGTCATAAATGACGCACTTGCCACTTGCCGTCTTGTATGAGGCGAGGAGCCAGTGCTGATGGAAATGCACTGGCATGAATACAACCTCAGCCTCACGGCGCACCCCAGCGGTGCACCGTTTGAGCATAATTGCGATATGCTCCGGATCTTGCTCCTCCTCGTCGACCACTACTTTCATGGCAGACGGCCAAACCACACCAATCTTTGCCGTCTTCACCAGATTTAAAAGTCCGGCGAAAACGGCGCCAGATGTCAAGAATTGGCGCCCTTGTGGCCGGTCTTCACTCGCGATCAGACCGCGCAATGCGCCACGCACCTCAGGGTGAAAGTAGACCGGCTCTAACACCGCCGGATTTGCCACTTGCTCAGCCTCCGGAGTGCGCGCGAGCACAACCTCCGGCTCTTCCGGCGTCATCACAAGCTCGCCGCTTTCCTGCTCTTCCTGCTCGCCCTCCGATACGACCACGTCCTCCGTCACCGCCATCTCCAAATCCTCCTCCTCATCTTCTTCCGGAAACACCGCCATCTTCTCCTCGGGCTCATCCTCATCCTCCTCCGAAAACACGCTCCATCTCGGCTTCATCAACGCCGCCGCCGCCGCCTTCTCCGCCAACCGTCGCTCCTGCTCTGCCATTCCATCTGTCACCGGCTCCATCGCGGCCCACTCCCGATTCGCCGTGCGCCTACGCTCGGCCCTCGATGCTCTCGCCGACCGCCGTTGGTGCTCCCGCTCCAGGTCGTAATTGGTGCACGTGCGGGGATTGCACGGGCACCGCGGGCAGCACCGCACCAGATCTTTTCGGCACGGGCAGTCGTGGGCACAACCCGCCACACAGTACCGGTAGCAGAAGTAGCTGTGCGGTGTCATGTCGAGTTCAACGGGCTCGGCATCGGGTCCGAACGTGGCGTGCATCTCCTCCTGCGACACTTCCTTCGGTCTTCTTCTCTTCGCCGGCGACTCGCTCAATTCCGTCTTCACCTTCCTGATCTCCGGCCCGTTCACTCTCGTTCTCTTGAATCCCTTCCGCGGCCCTAAACATATGACCTTATAGATGTCCGCTGAACTTCTTCAAGAGCTTCAGATTGTGAAAAGCCTTTAAAGGTGCATCAATTCGCAGTACCAATATGAAAAGAATCGACTGGCAGACCAAAGACGAATTCGCAGGATATTTTCGAGGGCAACCGTCAGTATCCATTTCAGCAATATGTGCCTTTAAAGACTTTTCACCAAAATATGTCGAAGTCGAAAATTCAAAAATAAAACAATTTTTGTCAAATTCACTTTTTTTTTAATTTTTGCATTCACCGTTGACTTATGTATACTGTAGTTTTTTTTTTACTTGTCCCCATTCCCAACAAAAAAAGCAAAGAAAATCCGAAATTTGATAAATTTTGCCTCAAAAAAGCAAAAATCGCTCCAAAAAAGCGAATGAAAAAATAATTCTAAAAAATCTGAATTATCCTAACCATTCTTGTGGCCCATAATCAGTGGCTAGTGAAAAGTGGCTTGACCCGTGATTAGTGGTTCGTAATTTTTGGCTTGTCATTTCAGGCTCAATTTCAAAAATGCTCCTAGCCATCTCGTAATTCAGCAAATATTGTTAAAAATTGTCAAAAAATGTTATAGAGGGTCTTAGGATGTCCAAATTCGAAATATTTGAAATTTTTGGATTTTTTTCTGATTGAAATGCCTATTGATTTTATCATTGATTGATTGATATAGATTATTATGAAGACGGAATTTCGAATAAGAATAATTTAAAATTCTGATTTTTTTTTTTGAAAAAGTGGTTTCGGTTGAAGACAAAATCGGAAACTAATGACTGATTTCAGAATTGACGATGGTATTTCGAATCCCCTAACCCGAGGCCAATAAATTGAATAAAAGAAACAGACGGACCTTCGACAACCTCGAAGAGGACCTCCTCGGTGAAATGGTAGAATTTCACTCGTTTACGAGGAGGTCCTACTTCTGCCGCATCTTCCACTTCCACAACCATCTTCATCGAAATATCGCACATTTTGATATATTGATCGCTTGCTAGTTTGATAAATTTTAGCACAGAAATGGTTTCTTAAAGTAAGTTCACGTCGCATACTTCCTTTCATTTTTTCTAATTTATATCATATTTCTTTTCATTTTTGATTTTCTCATTTCTTATTTTTTATGCACATCATTATTCAGCATGAATATCGATTGCTACGGATAACTCGCGAATCAACCTCAGCCCAAATCTGCCCAGAGTGCTTTTTTCGCAATTGTATATACAGTACCGTCCATAAATATACATATCGAACCGATTTTGCCCATAATTCAGGTTTGGCTCGTCCAATCAATACCAATCCTTCAGGGATTGTTATACATGTTTGAAATATTGTACATATTTTGTAGTTTCCATGTGATCCTGCATAAGTGGATTTATGAAAATGTCGAATTTTTAATTTTCTACAAATTTCATTTTTCGGCTCTTCTTGCAACAATCTTTTTTAATGAACTTTGTGTCAGGCTCTTTCTCGTTTTATATGAATCCGGTCAATAACGAATTGGCCTATGAATCCGCCATCAACCATCTGGCTGTATTTTTTAAATCCTCAGCAAATCACCGATTCGATCGGGACCAACATCGGACACTTCCTGGTTCGGAATAACCGGCGGAACATTTTGGGACAGTCAGGGGAACAAATTCAAACAGACGAAACAAAGTGACCCACACAAAATTGGGGGCGATGTTTAATTGGAGTGTCGTACTGATGGTGTAAAACAGCATTGCGTCAAACCCCCGTTTTTTCAAAATTTTAATTTTGTCAGCGCTGCTCTATTGTAAAAAAAAATGCCAGAAAATCGTTAATCGAAAAGTCAAAGAAAATGAGATCATGATAAAATTTTTATGAAAATGGTAGGGAATAAAAAAACGACAATGAAAAATCCGCATGGGACCAACCGAAATACGCTTGAATATTAGGAGTATACGTTTTCAGAACGTTTTGAAAATCGTTTAAAATTATGGAAATTTTATAATTCGATTCGAAATTGTTCAAACATGTGAATGTGAACGTAAACGCGACATAAATATCTATATAAGACAAAATTTGGCTTGTCATTTCTGCATTTTTTTTTCTTATTTCACAACTCGATTCCTAGACACCCAGATGACCTCATTGGCAAATAAATGTTTTGAATAAATTCCAAACCAAATTTCACGCTCGTTAATTTTCCGAATGGTTACGAAGATGAGTCAAAATAGGAGGCATGTCACAAGTTTCGTCGATCGATTAAATATACCTAATTTAGACGGGAGAAAAAAATTCCAAGAACATGGGTGGTCAACAATGCGAACATCCTTCAATTTTTTGTTGATAACATTCGGAAAATTCGTCAAACTATGCACTGTTTTTCTATATTTATTTATATATTTAGATTATCCTATAAGGGAGAGATTTTTCGCCTTCATTTTTCTCGTCGTCGGCAATCCCGAAACCCGTTCGCGGTGTCCAACTAAACTTTTTTGTCCCACAAAAGGAATAAGTGAAATCCGCGATGAACGCCGATTTTGCTTTCGATTCCGATTTGCCCTGACCAATGGCCAACATTTTTCGTCTCGTTTTTTTGATATTGTTCTACAATTTTCATAATTCATCACCAAAACATTTGCTTGCTTTTTTTGTAATAATTCGTTTTGCGATCAACGACCGCAAGACATGAAGATTGTCGAGAATGCCATCATTTGCGAATGATAATTTCCATTTTGTTAAAGGGTTCTTCTTTTTTTCGCCGCCACCGCTAATTTTTGTTCTCTCTAGAATCATTAACAAAAATTTTCATTAAAATTGGTTTTTCAGCAAACCTTTTCCTTTTTTGGCAGTTCAGGAAAATATATATATTTCGGTCATTTCAGAAAACAATGTTTCAAGCTCAAATTGCGTTACTCGTCTTCCTCGCAGCTCTCGCGTATTCCATGCCAACTCCGCCAATGTTTCCCGTGGTTGGTTTAAAACTCCCTCAATTTCAGCTAAAATAATTGATTTATTATTAATTTTGGAATGAAATCTGCGCTGCTTATAAGTCGAAATGTGTCTCAAAGTTCAACCGGAATGATTGCAACGAGAGAGAAATCGAATGCGGCAAATATGCTCATCAAGGAATCGAAACCACCTGGAAATTCTGTATGCTCCACGCCTTCCAAAATTTCAATAATACTTCTTTTAAGGCATGTACATGAACAATGATGATGTGAACGCTTGCCACCAGCGAATTCAAGTTGATTATCAAATCATCACAAACTGGATCAACAACGATAAATTTCAATACACCCCGAACTAATTACTTCTATTTAAGCATTAATGTATATAACATAAGAATAAATGTAGAAATCAAAAGCTGATAATCAAAATTCACCGAAAACCGAAATTTGAAAGGGCCGTGGACGACAAACGGGGAATTTGCTTATTTCCAAAATCATTCTATGGAGCGCACTTGCTGCATATCAACTGAAATTCGAATTTCGTATTTTTAGCGTTCTTATTTATTTTATTCTCCTTTAATTTGTTTCTGCTGGTAATCAACGTCTTATATGTTTGTTGATTCCCGTATTTGCCTAATTTTCGTCTTGAAGCCAAATAATTATTCAAAAATAGTTTTTTTTTCAGTTTAGGAAAATCGGAGTATTTTTGGGTTTTCTTTTTTGTTTTTGAGTCAAGTTTTTAACAACAAGGATGACTTAAACAAAATTTGGAAGCTCGAAATGAGTTTAATAATAATAAGTAATTTTAAACAAGTTATATGCAGTAATTTATTTTTTTATATGCAGTAAATTTATTTTTTTTTATTATGCAGTAATTTATTACATATTAATTATGTGAAATTGTGGGTAGAATTTTCACTTATGTTATAGTTATTAGCTTTTATGAATACAATATTATCATTATCCGTCACTCGTTGAAAAAATGTGTTTCTTATTTCAGAAAATGTCCACATCCACCTCCTCAAACCCAAACACCCTTCTTCCTCTCGAGCTCATCGACAAGTGTATCGGCTCGCGCATCTGGGTCATCATGAAAGGCGAAAAGGAGATCGTCGGCACTCTCACCGGCTTCGACGATTACGTTAACATGGTTCTTGAAGACGTCGTCGAGTACGAGACGACACCAGACGGAAAACGGGTCAATAATCTCAACACGATTCTGCTCAACGGCAATCACATCACAATGCTCGTTCCAGGCGGAGAAGGCCCGCAGCTCAAAAATTGATAAGAAGATTCGTTTTGATTTATTTTGCAACATTCCCCAAAATAAAATATAAAAGAAACATGAACGTGTAAGTAAATTAAGTTTGGAAATATTTGCCAGCATCCGGAAATTGACGATAAAACTCCTCGCCCTTGTTCTTCATATTCTCCACAACTTTCTCGATGAGCTCTTCCTGGCGAGCAATCGCTCGATCCAAATCCTCTTCCTCCATCGCCTCTTGTTTTTCAAAGTTCTCCAGTTGCCACTGTAATCCGAGACGGTAAAATTCATTAAACGTGTCCGCACAAGAATCTCGAAACTGAAAATTGAACAAGCTACTTGCGATTAGGTTGTAAGATTTCCAACATTTCTAGACCACACTTCAGCTGTCTCCTTCACGTGATCGCGAGTGCACGAAGGTGGAACCGGAGAAACGAACTTCATATTCGTAATGAATTGACACCTAAACATTGGCTCCTGGTTTTTTTTTTAAATCTGAGCTTTTGCTCACCATGACATCAGCATTGCATCAATTGCAGTTCCAAGATTCGTGTCTTCAAGAGCAAAATCCTCTTCCTCATCTTCGATCTCCTTTTTCAGCGTTATATTTGTCGGGCTACTTTCTTTCGAAGCTTCTCCTTTCGGAGGTCCTTCTTTCGAATTTTCGTCATTTAGTGTTCCGACATTTGGGCTAATATCCATTGGACTTGACTCTTTGGGGCTCGCGGAACCATCCCTAAATTCTTTCGACTTGTTGCCAGGCGATTTCTCAATTTGGGCGGATTCTGAAAACAATCGAGAATTCAATTACCGCGTCAAATCAATTTGTTAAAATAAACGATAAACTCTATTTTTCGGTGTTCGATTCAACAAATGCCCATTCTTCCCAAATGGCATTTGAGTCATGGCGATATCATTCTTTCTCGAACTCACCACTAGTTTCCATCGGTTCGTGCTGTTGTGTTGAATCCCGAAGAAAAGATCTCGACTCCTCATCCATCTAAACATTAAATTAAGAACAATTATTTTAATGTCCAATCAAACAAATAAACTATTTGGTAATTAACCAATTATCAACAAATACCTTCAATAACGGGGTTTACATTATTTCATTATAATTTCACAACCATTAGTAAATATTCGACAATACAAATAATTATTGTTTTAATCCTTCTTTTCAATTGATTCGATAGATTTCTCTTGATCAAGTTCATCTTTATCGTCGTTCGATTTATCTGCAATTCAATAATTTAAATGGCTAGAAGGGAAGAAATCAGGGATACTTGAAAGAATAGGAGTTTCTTCGATTTTTTCTTGATAACTCGAAAAATCTTGGTTGCTTGTTGAAGGTTGCTGACTAGTCGACGGTTCGGCTGAAAATGGTTGGAAATTGATTAAAAAAAAAAGAAAAACTAACCCTCCATGTTCTGTTTGACAAAGTCTGCGATACTCGCACGTATGGCAATTTCCATATCCTCATCAGACTGAAGTCCGCAATAAATTTAATGATTCCTTTCATAGGCAAAAAAAACTCACGGAAGGCGTCTCATTCCCCATTGACATCGCCATCGCAATCGCCAGATCCTTTTCCTCCTGATCGGCAGCAGAAATATTCGACGTTGTTCCAAGCTTTCTTCCAACCGAGTCGAACAACTTCTGGATCATGTTCGACTCCTTCGGCGGCGATTTTTTCACAAGCGACGGCTCGACAGGACATAAAGCGATCACCTGATCGGCTAATGATTCCGGAAGCTGACCAACGACGACGAATATCGAATATCCTTCGGCGTTCAGCTGATGTAAAAGGATTCCAACATAAGTGTCCGAAAGGAGTTTCGGACCATTTTTGATCGAATTCAATTCGAACCATTGATTTCCAAATTTTCGTAGAACAAACCAATGCTCGTTATGATTGCACAAAAATGCTCTGGCTTTTCTGAAAAAGAATAGAGACAAACATATAACTGCAAATTTGAAAAATTTACAATGGATCCGATTTGTATGTCACCATCGATGGATGCTCAATATTATGGATTTCCAGATCAAACGCCTTCAATGCTTCAGCTATCACCTGTATCGAAAAATATCCACTATCGGTCATATTCTGGCTGACAGCGTTCTGGGCGCCCTAAAATTTTCAAAAATTATCGCAAACAATAAAATTATTGGGAAAACCTGCTCGAGCATGCTGTTCTCCTCAATGTCGAGCCTCCGCGCAATCACGGAGAGCTGCTCCGGCGAAAATATTGAATCCTGTATGAGCATATTCAACGCGTGCTGAGCACAAAGAGCCGCTTCTTGCCGTTCGAACAGTATCAAATCCATTCCTATTCTAAATTGCACACAAAAATTGCTCCATTCCGCAAGAATTTTAAGAAGTAAATGTATTCTGGCTTGACAGAGAAATACTAACAAATATCGCTAATTCCGATGCCAATAATAATTTATACGATAATCAAATTGAACGAAACGTTAAATATTACTCTTGAGCTCATTCCATTTCAATTTCGCCACGGTAAACCGCTGCGTGTACGTTGTATCGTACCAGCTCTTTAATTTTGTCACATCACTTAAGTCATTCAAGGTAAGCGTCCATATTAGAGGCGACTAAACGAGAAAAAATGAAGTATGAGGAACGATAAGGGCGAGATTGTCGTCTTACCGAATATGGAAGTCTTAGATTGTCCAGTTTACGCTGTTCGGCAATTGCGAATTGTCGGCACATTAAAGATATTCGATCAAGGGCAAATTCACGAAGTCGCTTGATCACATTTTCCTCATATTCTGAAAGAAACAATTGTTGTCTAATATGATCATAAAGGCGAATGGAAGAACAATTGCGATATTTTGGCAAAATTCTCTCAACAGAAAATTTTTCTATACTTCTCTGAATCTCCTTATCTAGGATATCTCTTCTAGTGCGTACAAATTGGAAAGATCATGAGAATGGAGGTCATCTGACAAATGTTTTTGGAAGCCCGAAAAACATAAAATTTATGAGATTTTTGAAAAAAAAATGCACATCTTCGTCGATTTAATTAGAAAAATTCCAATTTCCGGCGAAGAGAAAAAGCGAAATCTCCAATGGAGCGCGATTTCCCTCGTTTATGCAAATTTCTTTTTCCGACTAAAATTTATTAATTCAAATTCGCACCTTCAAATCCCGCATGCTTAACCAATAGTTCCAAAGCTTCTCTAATTCTATCCTCATTTCTCGGAACCTGAAATTTCAAATGAAATCAAAAAATCGCAAATATTTCCGAATCGCATACAATTTCATGATAAACTTTCGGATTTTCCATTAATTCTCTCACATTTCCCTCATCTTTCTCAATTAGAATGGTGGCACCAACTATATGAGAAGCCGTCTTCCCAAAAATGATTATTTGCGAAAATTCAAATTATAGAAATTTAAAATACGAAATAAATGGTATGAAAACCAAAAAAACCATATTTTAACCAAAATTCAACATAAAAATTCTTTAATTAAAAATCTATAAAAGGAAAAAAGGGAACACTTTTGACTCTTTTGTAAAGCAGAATTTGAAAAAAATAAACACGAAAGATTGGTTGATGTCGCGTTCTTTTTGTCTCGCAAAATCAAGACATAAATAGAATTCGTGAAATTATACACATTTGAAACGTAAATATAAATACAACTTAGGTTGTGGATAGCATGACAAAAAAATGTTGGTTCAATTTACAAAATGGGGTTTGGGAGGGATTCGTGGGAGCAATTAGTCGGCGTAGACATCGATGACTGAATCGAATGTGTTGCCGTTGCGCGATGATGAGAAGATGTAGTCGCTACTCACTGGCGGCGGTGATATTGTCCGCATCATAATCGTGTTAACTGAAAATGATATTTCATGGGACATATTTCGAAATTTTTATTTATTATTTATGGACCCATTCATAAATTGATTTTTACAAAAAAAAAAATGAAAAATTGCATGAAATGGAAACTTTTTATCAACCCTGCAGGAAAAAAGTGTGTAATATTTTCAAACATTTTTTATTGCAAGAATCAGTCCATTAGAGAAGAAACTAACGGTATCACAGAGAAGTTTTGACTATTTCGTTTCTAATGAATAATTTCTAAATTACTAAGAAGCATTTAGATTTTCGGAGATCATATTATCGACGTCGCGCGACTGCGGAAAATTGACTAAATGGCAAAAAATTTTTTAAAAAAGTCTTGGCGGGCGATGTGTGCCCTTTATCTATCTTAATGCTTAGTCCGAAAATCTATACTTTTAGTTTTACGCCAAGACCTCTCACCAAATGTTTCATTGCCAAAATTTTCGCAGTCGCGTGACGTCGACAATAATCATTTTGAAATCCTGACAGTTTTTCATAAACATATACCAATAGAAACCTACCATCGTGTTGATGATGACGCTGATCATCTTTTTCCTGACTTCCTTCATTGGTTTCATTCACAAACATTGTTGTGTATTGTTCCTCGTTTTCACAGATATTTCCAATGTTATCAGGTATTTCTGGTTCTAAAATGCCCCAGATTTCTAATATCGAATGTTTAATATCAGATTTCTCACCTTTCAATGTTTCATTCACATTTTGCGCTTGCTCCATATCCTTGTTCAATCGATTTCTCAATTGCTCTTCGCTAAATTCGTCACCTTCAAGTATTTGCTCTAACCCGGTTTCTTCAGTATGAGGTTGTTGCGGATCGACATCTAATCCATCCATTCGTCGAAGCTAAAATAAGAGAGTCAAGAGGTAATTTATGAATTTAAGAATATTACAGTTTTGAGTTCAGGATCTGCTCTCCTCATAACACCATCTACCTTCACATCACCCTTCATTATTGCGGCATGAAGTGGCCCAGTTTGAGATTTGACGTACATCCACCGATTTCCAAGGTTCACATCGCTCGTTATTATTTCGTCATACTGAAATTTCAAAATTTTTGAAACAATCATTAAAAAAAACAAACCTTTGGTGTCCCCACAGTGACCTGTGTTCCTATTTTGGTTTGCATTCCAAAAATTTGCCTATTTGGTATGAGACTGATTATTTTTGGTCCAGGTAGATAGCCGAATTTACAATTTGCTTCAGTTTCAAACACATTTCGCAAGGACTGGAAAAAGATTAAATGCGATTTTTTTAAACTAAAAATAAATAAATACCTGCAACAGCCATTTATGGTGATCGTCTATTATCCGTTCATCGCGTTCCAACTGGTCAATATCTCGTTTTAAAACGTTCATGCGTTTTTCCTCCTCGCTAGTGGCCGGAGCCCGCCGGCCATCTTTTCGATTAGAAATCATGAAATCGCCTCCTCTACAATCAATTTTGCCTAATCACGATTTCTCTTCGAATTGTTTCTTACTTCCATTGAATCATGTTTTTCGTGCGCTTCTCGATGAGACCAATACCCTCTAATACATTCGTGATATCATAAATACGCCTCTTTTGTCGAACATTTAATGCTTCAGCAGCCTAAAAATTCACCTTTTTTGTTTAATTTAATATAACATTATTAAAAAACCGTATTCAGATCACAACGCCCGTATGGTGATTGCTGAATCATTCGAATAAAACGTTTGGCTAAAAGTCCTAATGATTTGTCAGCTCGAGTTCCCATCTGAGGTTGTTCAGCATCGTCATCCTCATCAAAATCTGAACATAAAATTTATAATAAAATAAAATAATGAAAATGCTTACCGAGTTCGAAATCATCCTCGTACCTAGAATATGAACTATGTTTTTTTAGATGCACATAATTTCCAAGTTCATCTATATTCATAATTCCTAGATCGGAATTTGTTGTAGACCGCGAATTAGAATCCATTCTGAAAAAAAAAGTAAAATAGCGAAGGTCAAGAACGCAAATTTTGAAATCACGAAAACATTCAAAAAATCAATAAAATTACAGTAACATCGTTATAAAACCGCATTTCAAAAATGCATTGCGCCTTTGAACCAATTACGGTAGATCACAATTTTTATTTCATTTGAACCAAAAAATTAGTCTATTTTCAAATTCAAATTAAAGTTATCCAGATTTAACAGATGATTTATGTTTATTTTTAATGGTAATATTCTTTTTTCTTGTTGCTTTTGAAACAAATCATATAGAAAATATCGGTACAACTGTATATTTAAATTTTCCTAAAATAAATGTATGTTATTCGATTTGAAGTCATTTAGACGCTTTATTTCTACAAATCAATAATGTTTGTAAATAAAAGTGACGCATGCCTCAAATAATACGATTTAATTTAAATATATAAGTGACAGGCATCATCAGAAAAAAATTCTAAAGCTCAAACAGTCATCTTAAAGGAATACACGTAAAAATTGGCCAATAGTTATGTCGATAAATATAAAAATTCAATCGAGTGCCAAAAATTGGCATTCTCACAATGGGGCGTGTTTGCGTCGCACTCACACAACCGATATCCTCTCGACAACCAACGACCACAAGGTCACAAATTATTCTCGGCGATCTTATCGGCGTCCAAGGAAGATGTTGTATTACACTGTGAAACTAGTAAAAAAGACATCAATCAAGAAAAAAAACTAAAGAAATTGAAAGAAAACGTTGAAATAAAACAAATTTTACAGTAAAATAGATAACAGAAAATTATTCAGAATATATTGCGCGTTCCTTTTGAGTCTCAATTGCTCTGAATATTCAAGTGGTTGAATTAATTTAAGTATATTGTGAAAACCTCATCTGTTAGAATTGAGAGTGATGAATTGCATTGGCTGTCACTAGAATGAACGATGTTTTCAAACTGGAAAGAAGAACGATGAAGAAGAAAATTTGAATTTTTTCTAGTCGAACCTCTTTCTTATTTTTCATAACAGTTTCTTTAAAAAGCTGCTCCAGCTCTTCCAGCTTCTTCTTTTGGTCGGATTCTTGTTTCATCTCCTCATCAATTTTACTTATCAAATTGTCTTTTCGAATTTTCAACTGGGCCAACGCCTTCTCCACTTCAGAAGCCACCGCATTCCAGTATTTGATTTGAAGCTCCTCCTCCTTCATTTCATTCCTAGCGCGTCGCAATTGATTCTTGTGCAAATGCCTTCTGGTGTCAATCTCATCTCTCATCTTCTGTACGTTGTCTCGTTTTTCGTTGAGCTTGTCCAAATCCTTCATAATGTCCGACGACAACGTCGCCGATGAATCTACAGTGAATCCAAGCTTCTCCTTTCGTAGTTTTGACTAGCAAACACTTGTTTTTAAATTTTCAAAATGGCTGAGATTACATTATTCATTTGTTGAGCCAAGTGTTGGGCCCAAGCGATAACACGATAAGAGATGTCAGTCTCTCGACGTCGTGCTTTATCCACCCGATCCCACAGCTCAGAAACTTGAGCATGAAGCTGAACAAGGTGATATTTAAAGAATAATTATAATAATCGTACCATATTAATTTCATTAGTTAAATCCCGCTTTTTTAGCGTCTCATTTTCCAATTCTTTTTCCAAGAGGCTAGTTTGCTCATTGATCTCAATCTCAAACTCGTCGACAGTATCACCCTAAATTTTCAAATTAAAGACACAATTTAAAAGAATATTCAAAATATACCGTAATTTGAGATATATCCAATTTATTCAGCCTACTCGTAATTTCCATTTGATTTCAGACAAACTTGAAAATCGAAAAGAATTGAGTGACGTGTTGCTGTTCACGTCGAAAAATTGTTTCCTATTCGAACGATATTCGTTTTTTTTTTAATTTTTTATCATAAAAAGAGCATGTTGTCGATGAAAACAAGAGTCTTATCATTAATGGCCACTGATATCAGCTGACCTTCTCACTTGTCAACTTTTCCTATTATGAATATACTACTCGGCTTATTCCTTCTATTCTCTCTGTCTACTTCATGGAAGTTTCTCGAAAATGATCGAGTTCCAAATTGGAAGAAATTGAATGATTTGAACATTGGTCCGATTTATGGACAGCCTGAACAAGTTCACATTTCGTATGGAGGTAATTTTAAAGCCAAAAAGGGAGTGGAATAAATTGTTATAAAATAGATCAAAATTACTATTGTGCTCTATTAACCGATTATTTCAAGAAATCGGAATTTCACTTTTGCCCAAAATTTGTTATTCTGAATCATTACTCTCCTTTTATGTATAGGTGATCCTACGAGCTACATCGTCACCTGGCTCACATACGATGATACCCTTCATTCCTACGTTGAATATGGAACCAATTCCAGGAAACTTGAAAACGTAATTTTGAAAGTAATCATAAAATTTTTTGATATTTTTTTTTAGCGAGTTGAAGGCCGTTGTTCAGTGTTCCTCGACGGACAACCAAAAAATATTTGGAGATACATTCATCGCGTCAATTTAACCGATCTGATCCCGGGAACCACTTATTGTGATCCAAAAAACTTTTTTTAAATCTAATTTTTAATAAATTTCAGATTATCATGTGGGATCAGATCACGGATGGAGTGCGATTTACTTTTTCACGGTTTTGAAATTTTTTTGCCAAGTAAAAAATAAATTTTTTGCCATATTTAGGCACTAGAAGAGCGTGTCGGCGGCGGTTTTCAGTTTGCAGTTTATGGTGATCTTGGTGTTGAAAATGGTCGATCACTTGGCGCAATTCAACAGATGGCGCAAAAAGGCGAATTGGATATGGTGCTTCATGTCGGCGATTTCGCATACAATATGAATGAGGAAAATGGTGAGAATGGCGACGAGTTTTTCCGTCAAATTGAGCCGGTTGCCGCTTATATTCCATATATGGTGTCAGTGGGAAATCACGAGGTTTCTTTTGAACCACAAAAAAAGGGAACCATTTAATCGTTTGGTTGTAGTCGTTCAACAACTTCACTCACTATGTCAATCGATTTTCAATGGCCAATTCTGAGCACAACCTCTTTTACAGGTTTTTATTCAAATAAAAACATTATAGATTTATTTTTTTTTTGCAGCTTTGATGTCGGAAAAGCACACATAATTGTGTTTTCCACAGAATTTTACTTTTATACCGAATATGGTTTCGAGCAAATCGCAAATCAATACAATTGGTTATTGCGAGATTTGAAGGTGGAAATGGGAACCAATAAAATCCAACGACATCTTCTATTTTTCAGAAGGCAAATTTGAATCGAAAGAAAGTCCCGTGGATCATCACTATGGGCCATCGGCCAATGTATTGCTCGGATTTCAATGGAGATGATTGCACGAAATATGAGTCAATTGTAAGCATTAAAGACTTGACGATTTTACGGTTTCGCCGATAGACAGCTTTGCATTTTTTCTATTTTCTCGGGAGGCGTCGTAAAAAACGATTAGGCGGTTTTCCTACTGAAAATTCGTAAAATCCGGTTCATCTCATTTTTTGCCTAATTATTTCCATCGAAAAAAAAGAAAAACCTTGGTGTTTAAACGTTTCCGACGCGGCAATTTAAAATTTGATTTTTTTTTGTTAATGCAATTAATATTCCCCCAGATTCGTACCGGCATACCAATTGTTCATGGATACGCCTTAGAGAAATTATTTTATGAACAAGGAGTGGATATTGAGCTCTGGGCTCATGAGCACACTTATGAGCGTCTTTGGCCCGTATTCAACCGAACGGTATGGTTGGGAATTGATGTTCGGACCACCTTCCACTTTTAGGTATTCAATGGAACTAGAAATCCGTACGAGGATCCGCCAGCTCCAGTGCATATCATCACAGGATCGGCGGGGTGCCGGGAGAATACTGACATCTTTGTGGAGCATCCGGGTCCATGGAGTGCCAAGAGGTCCACCGATTATGGATTCGGAGTGATGAGGGTCTACAATTCGACTCATGTCCAATTTCGACAAATCAATGTCGCTCAGGGAGGAGAGGATGACAATTTCTGGATTGTTAAGACCTCCAGAAAACATCGACCCTATCGACATCGTGATGTGCAGAAATTGAGAAACTATGGAATTCGTGTGCCTTTAAATTATTGCCATCATCATTCTCATTGTAAGCATCTTCATACGCGATAAAAGTTTATCGAGAGATTTTCTTCAATTTCAAAGAAATAAGCAAAATTTTACCGTATTCGATTTGAAAATAGCACCGTTTCAGTAATAAAAATCTATAATTTCAAATATAATCGTCTATCCCACATTTTTGTCGTCTTTTATTGAATTCCTCCCTTCTTCACATTTTATTGAATCGCTTTCTTCATCGAGAGGTGCTAGATGGAAGGGATGATCTTGAATCAAGAAAATTTGATATGCTTATAATTTCTCTCTACCTGAGGTCATCGATAACCCATTAAGATTCTTGGATCCATTCGAATCCACGGAGACATCCGATATCTTCTTACTTCTATCCAATGGAATCGGCTGGATCGAATTGGATCTCGATCGAAAGCTGAACGCAGTTGTCAGCTTTCGACGAAGTGTCGCAGCGGTTTCAGACGTTTTCCGAGCTTCATCACTTACAGTATCCACTGCCACCATTTTCACCTTTTCATGAGAGGGTGCAAGCCTTAAAAGGAAAAGCTTTTTCTAGTTAATTTGATTGTGTGAAGAATACTCGACGTTCGCTGCAGAGCCGCCCTGATTGATAGGCGCGTCCCAAGCACTGTCTTCCGAGTACACTGGCTTGAATGCCGGATCGGCGAAGATGTCTAATCGTAGACGAGGGGTCGTATTATGATGCTGATCGACGATGGCCATTCCAGTCGAAAAATTTTTTTTTCAAATTTTTTAAATCATAAAACTTCTTACTGCGATATTCTTATCAATAAGCCAATTGCATTCAATATCATCGTCATCCTCACCTAACGGATTCAGAAGAGCCTCGGCGACCTTCATCCATCCAACAAAGAACAGAAGCTCAAGGGCCGTCATCAATGGGAATCCCATATCAACCTGGAATGAGGGATTTCGCAAGAATGATAAATGGTCCTACCTGTCCTTTCATGGCATCATGATTGATGACACATTGTCGTGAAACGAGACAGATGACGAAATAGACGCGAACTGCCATGAAAACCACCGAAAATTTGAACAAAATGTTAGGAAAAATTTTCAAGGCTGATTTCAAACTTGAGGATAGGCGATTGGAATTGGAACCCAATCGTATTTGCACATCATGTCAAGAGATGCACGGTAGTCTTTAATTGTCTGAAAATAATTGAGTAATATTTGAACATTCTTCCGAAACCATTATCTACATTCAGTATTTGGTTCATTGTTGGAGCACTATCGATGTAAGCCCGCTTGAAGCCGTGCTCCTGGAATAATTATCTAATTAAGCATAATTAATCATCGCAAATGGCTTAACTACTAGTCCGTTCCTAAAAAAAAGAAGAATCCTTTGAAAATTAAAATGATTGAAAATTCGGCCGGTAATTTCAGCAACTTCAAAGTTAATAATAAATAAGAGCCATGATTATTTTTTTATTTTCATCTATTTATTTTTTTGAACAAATTTATGGCTCGCGTTGGTTTTTCATGAATAATCGTTTTTTTTTGTATTCATTTCGTTACGAGACCATACGCATTTTATTTTATTTTAATGAAACAAAACCTATCATTAAAATACGCCCACAAGTGTATTTTATTAATACATAGAATTTGGTTAGAACATTAATTCAAATAGTTTAAAACGAAATTTGAATTACCACTACTCCAAAGCGTTCAATGGTCCTCAAATTGTATAGGAGGTTTCACAGTTTACCGATTAATCATTTTGTGATCACTCATAGTTGTTTTTTAATCTCTATGTGATGATTGAACATTTTTGATTACGTATGAGCGAATTCGATTGAAATATTCAAGAGGAGCTTAATGTTCAAAATAACCTCTGAAAATGTCGCCCGACAAATTATGCTGTTGGCCCAATTGATCGGCATCCAATATTTGTTATAATCGAATTTGAACTGCTCGATTTTATTGAGCTCATCCTGAAAGTCACCGATTCCAAGATGAGATTCAATGAATTCAAAACCTCAAACAAGAATCCAGCATCAATGAGCGAATCCAAATTTGGGAATCGCCTTCTCACTCTCATCGAAATGTCGCGGAATAGAAGAACCTGCGAGAGTACCAGGTATCGGATAATCGTTCGTCGGATCAGCATCGCTTCTTCGCATTTGCCGCGAATAAGGCTGCTCACCGATAAAGCGCAGCTTCAAAAATGATAATTTACATATTGATGCGCCTTTAATGCGGTCTCGACGCGAAAATTTTCACACTAGAATCGCGTGAAGATCTTAATACGAACTTTTCGATATACGAGATATTGACGAGCATATTCCTCCATCTATCAACCACAATATTGACAAAGAAGCCGAGCATGAATGTCAATGGAATATACACAAGCCTACTGTCCAAATGAATCGCAATATTGTCGAACATCCTGAAATTGTTTTTCAATTTTTGTTCGAGCAATCTTAATTCCCAATTATGGCTAATTTACACTTGCTGCTTCTCGGTCAACGCGTATCGATATATGGCATTGATAATATAATAGATCACAATCCAGGCAATCATTTCCACATAAACTGATTTGAATATGGATCCTGAAGAGATTGCCAATGATCTACAATGCGAATGGGCGAACCTTTCCATTTTCCGAGCAGTTTGAGAAAGGTGAAGCCGGAAACCGAAGAAACATCGAGGTTGTAAGAGACTGTCATCGATTGGGCTGAAAGATACAAAAGTTACAAAAAAATGAGATCTAAATTTGAGAAATTTTATCTGTGGACATTAATTTGAGAACAGAAATCAGTCTAAATAAGAATTCAAACGCGCGAATAGCGTCAGCAAAATAAAATGATGAGACATTCAACAAAATGCAGAAAATATTTTCCAAATATAATGCATATCAAACGCAAATTAGTCACGAAAAATGTCCGCAGATGGTTGGAATTATGAATTATTGTGTAGTACGGTCACTGAAAAAAAATGAACAAAGCCATATAAGCAAATCGAAAAACAAAACATAACAGTATTGAACATTTTTTGTTGTTTTTGTTTCGCACATTTTAAAAGATTATCATTTGTTATCAGTATATGATCTGAAATTTTGGTCGATATTCAGTGTAAATGTGTGAAGATTTACAATTGCGTCTTTCGAAAGGGTCTCGCCACACGCGAATGCTTACTTCATTATTTTCAACTAATTTTTTATGGGGGTTAGTATTTTTTTTCGAATTTTTAACGCTATTCAAATTAACAATGATAGAATCGACCCCTAAAATACAAAATAACCAGTTGGTTCCGCGCGAGACCAAGAGAAAGACGCATCCCAACGTAAATCTACCCGCTTTTTGAAAAATGAAATTTTCAAGTATTATTTTGGATCTACAGAAATTTACCTAAAAACTTTTGACAATTAAAACAATTTATCAAAATTCTTTTGCAAGCGAGGGAGGGGCCTAATTTTTCCAAAAATATTTATACTTCCATCGCAAAAAAAAACGGACCCTCTGGGTGTTTTGGTGGTCTAAGCGGTAATTAAAATCTCGATTTAAGCATTTCTGTGGACAACCGGCAAAAAAAAAACCCGCAGACATTTTATGATTATAGTTTTTTGCGATTGCAATAGTTTGCCCATATTTGGCAAAAGTCAATCATTTGGTTTTCTTCCACAAAATCTTGCATTCAAATGCGAGGCAATTAAAACGCTTGATGGGTTTCCTTGTTGCCAAATCAAGTTTTTCGCACGTTTCATGGTGTGTGTGTGTGTGTGTGCCGACCTCTCTGAGCTCTCTTCTCCGGCGAACACTCGGATTCCATAGAAACTTGTAAATGCGTCACCCCAGATTTGTGCATTACAAATCTCTTCGTTCGACGTCTCCTGCTCGCTTCGACTGCTAATCCAGTTGCTGCTGCTCCTGCCACTTTTGGCTCCTGCTCTTTTCACACTGCTGCTCGTCGCTCAACTGAATATTACATTATAATCATTATAAACGTGTATTTCTCATTACTTCAATTGCCGAGGCCAGGTAAACGCGCAAAAAAATTGGGAGGGAAAATGGAAACGGATAAACCAATCTCTCGCTAAAAAAATGAAGCGACACTTTGAAATGCCAAATCGGAATATTTAATTCTCCCCATTTTTGAACATTTCTGGATTTTTATAAATTAAATATTCTTACTGAAAATATGCAAATATTCCAAAACAATCTGTGAATTTTTTTTCATGATGAGAAAACAAATATTCAATTAATTGTTTAGTCGAGCGCAATGATTGAATTGTGTGCATATTTGCGTGCGGTGTACCGGCGGACTTTCGATGAGCTGTTCTCCATTAATATTTATCGTCAAGTTAACCTTTTTTTGGACGGGAGTTATTAACTCAATAGTGCCTTCTACTTTTTATCAATTTAAACTAAAACTTTCGAAGACGGAGCACAATATTATTCTCATGTCAAAATTAACACAATGACAACTAATTTCAATAATTACAGTCCTGTAATGTGTTGTGCAAAACCAATTTGGCTAGAATTTTAATATTTTATCATTGGATTATAATGTAACCTCAAAATAACTTTATTTGATGGTCAACATTTTAATCTATTCTTGACAATTTGATCAATATTCATTTTCTCATATTTCCCTGGGAGAAAAAAGTAATAATATTTAAAATACCTATTTACTAGAGAAATTCAAAGCTGTGCGATGTTTCTCATCTTTCCTTCAATATTTGCACTTGTGTAAAATGAATAAATATTACTTTTATTTTCATCATTTTTTTCCATTTTTCAGGCACAATCAAGCCAATGCGACCGCATGAGATCAACGAATTTCTCATCTACTGTGTCCTATTTCTCTTCGTTTTTCTCATTTTGTCGATTTTTGCGTTGTTCGCTTCGAAACCTATTTATCAGTTGAAATGCCGTCATTTTCCTGGTGAACAAGATTACGAGCTACTTGTATGAATAAAGACTTGTAAGCAGACAGTTGATCTTTTGTTACAGTAAGGCAACATCCTGGAAATTAAGAAAAATTCGTCGGTTTTGGTTTGATGATGATATTTTCATTATTTCTACAACTATTTGATTGTTCTGGAATGTCAAATGAAGACTCCGCCAAGGCTCCATTCGACTTTTTCTCAGACTTCATCCTCTTTTCAGAACTGTTATAACTTCACACACAGCGCGCATAATTTTTGTCTGCTGTTGGTAGATTTGAGACGAGTTATTATCAAACAGCCAATCTGACGGAATTCAGACTTAAATTCTGTGGAGACACTCAAATAACAAAGAAGTTCAGAAACTCGTTACCTGTCCGAGACTAGTCGGAATGTCCTCATGTGATATAAATTTTTTTACACGTTCATTTCTTATATTGTATGAGTCTCCGGGTTAGCCTTTAGTTTAATTGCTTCTGAATAATCTCAAAGATCTGACCAGCCGAGGAAACACATTCACCTTCGATTAGTCCAAGAATGATGATCTGAAACTACTAGCATCAGACTATTTTCGTAGTGATAACTCAGCATTGGAGTTTTAATTAGACAATCTGAATTTTCATTCCGACGTTCTGGAGTAAGTATCCAACAATTTATCGTATGAAGTCGAAATGGCCAACTGCTATACTCGGGTAGATTTACACGCATGCACCTTTAAAAGGTCTCGCCACGTGTGAACGCTTATTTTTCTGTTTTCGCGTGAACGATTTATTTTTTCTTGGTGAGTTTGGCATTTCTTAGAATTTCTAATGCCGTTCGTTTTAAAAATTATCGAACCGGTCCATAAAATGCAAAAAAAGCAGTTAGTCCGCGCGAGACCATAGCGAATGGCGCACCCCGTAAATCTACCCGCTTTCAGCAGTTGCTGGACGCCGACTATAGACTTCTCTAAAAAAATGGACGGCTCTTACTAAAATTGTTTACATTTTTGTGAATTGGAGAAGTCCCTTTGATAAATGTAATTATTTTCAATTTCCTGCCTTTCAATTATTCTCATAGGCAACAAATTGAAGTGTTCGTGATCTATTTTCAATATCCACCTCGAATATTTTTGTTGTGCTACTGAACAATGCTTCCCACCCACCTCCCCCTTCCATTATTTCTTTTTCTTCTTCTTTTTCTTCGTTTTTTTCCCCAAGCGCGTCTGTCGATTTCCTAATTTATTTCCGCAATTCCTTCCACTGATTAGCTGTTGTGTTCAAAGTTCTTCGGGTCCCGAATGTTAAAACTGGCGAATGGCGAGGGTCCAATAACGACCTTTCTGTGTTTTTTCTAATTATTGGCTCGAGGGGGGGGGAAGGAAAAAAGAGACGAATAACACGAATATTTATTGCATTGATGTGCACCCTCAGGCAGCCGCCTCCAGTATTCCAATTATGGCGGCCACATTCATCATTCTTTCATTTATTATTAATTTGCCAAAAAAAGAATTGGGAATGAGAGAAAATGTCCGAGATGAGTTGATTTCAAATTTTTCCTGTTTCAAATACTGGGAATTTTTTGCGATCTTCTAATAAGTCCCCATAGATTCGTTTCACCTTAATCAACCTGCGGACAATGTTCCGGCCTCGGTAACCATGTAGGAATTTCCAAATAAAAGCCCGTCTCCGCTTACATATTTTGAAAAAATCTATCCCTACCTAACAAGGACCATTTATATTATCAGAATCATTCCAGATGGAAATGACGAATGCCCCTCCCGAGTACTCGGATTCTGATGCTCCAAATTGCTCCAAACAAGACATCCCGCCGGTTTATTCTCTCGATGTTGCGAATCTTGTTGATCCGTGGAATAGGCCTCCGCCGCCGGCCTACAGCTTGTATTTTCCTGATGATGGGCAGTCAATCGATAGATGTGAAACAGAGCAGTCGAGTTGGGATTCAAGTTTTCTCGGTGAGTCGACATGAGGCGGGAAATATTAAAAGTTTCCGGGGAAATTTCTTCAAGCAACGATTACTGTAGATGTTAAAGGTGCATTTCGAAAAAAAAACTATAAAAATTATAGAAGCGAAAAAAGTTTTTTAAATTCATTTTTTCGGTTTCTTTCCAATAATATTCGGTTCTCTTAGCAAATGGACTTTTCGACATGATTTTGTTTTAAAAATTACCTAAATCCGCTAAATAAAGTTTCACAAAAATTTTTCCCGGATTTTTGCATCGCCAAATTTCCCGAAGAGGATCTTTTCCGCACTTCCCTGATCGATAAATTCTTAAAGCGAAATGTGAAAATCGTTAAATTTGGGTATAAGAAGCATTTAGACACAAAACAATAAATTTCTCATTCGAAAATGGAAATAACACATAAAAGAAAGACGCAAAATTGTGAGAAAATTAATTATTATTTTATTTTTTGCTAATTTTCTTTAATTATGCTGCCAAATAATGAAATGTGAATTCTCAATTCTACAATATGTACTCTATTCCGCTACAAATTTCTGTGGTGTTTGCTTATAAAAATATAGTGTTTCCTTATCTCTCAAAGCGCGGAATGCCAGAATCGGCTAGGCGAATCTGGTTCCAACCATTTTTGGTTGTTGGCCAATTGTCTGCCAACGCAATAATTGCCACCGAATCGGTTTGCTTATCCGTGACATTAACTAGATTCGATTCGGCGATTTTCGATTTCTCATGCAAATTTCGAAGAGAGGCGAGCTTCTCCTTCTTCTTCTCTATAACCTTAAGGATTCCCGATGTGTTTTTTGTATCTAAAAAGTAAAAAAATAGACCAAATTGAATCAACTTTTTTTAGACGAGATCCCAACGAACCTCGGTAGGCTGATCATTGTCGAATCGCGATCCTACTGCTGGTGCTGCATCATCCTCTTCATTCTTCTACTCGTCGTACCACCACTTCTCGGCATCCTTCTCTATGTCTTCAACGGCCTTCCAAGCTTCTAACATTTATTGATAAAGATCATCATCGTGCCTATAGATTATATGTACAATCAAAATTCAAGGACAAAATAGAATAGTGGAAACGGGGGGAGGGGGGAGGGATATTGAGAAGAGTGATTTGATGGGGGGGGGGGGTCTCAAGAACACGTTTCGGGATGCATAAGATACCTGTTTTTTAGGGCATTGGTTGCGCTTTAAAAGCATTGCCATTGCCGATGTTTCATTTTTCTTTGCCACATCTCTAAATATAGCATTTCAAATAATTTTCAGAATGAACTCGAGAGCTTTGTTCTTGCTCGTCACCCTTGCGCTTTTCGCTTATGCCTCCGCGAGACTCGCGTGCGGTCTCGACCCACTCCAAGAGAATTTATCCGAGATTCTCATCAAGAATGACTGCAAGGGAAGACTTAGTATGTAATTCTAACCCTCCGGATTTTCGAATCCTCCAATTCTTCTAGACAAGGTTGACAAGTGCTGCGTGGCACACACCAACTGCTATAAGGCCAAGAAGAACAAAGATGCGTGCGACAAGCAATTCTGCGATTGTGCCCATCGTGCCGCTCAGAAGCTTCCACTATGCAAACTCCAGATGGACAACTTCTGCGTCGCCGCCAAATTTTTGGGAGTCTTCAAATACAAGGGATAATTTTCTTTAACTTTCATTCAATCCTCATTATTTATTTATTGATTACTTGGTTTTTTCATAAATAATAATTGAATGACAATTATTCGCAAATTTAAATTTATCAAAAAATATTGAAAAAAATCAAAAAAGTTTATATTTTCACGCAAAACGCAAAACGTTTTAATTATAGAGTTAACTGTTTCGCAACAATTTTGACGAAATGACCAGACCCAGCCCAAACAGGATTGACGAAAATTAGAATCATCTCTACCATTCTAGGCTACCAGTTTATCAAACAAAGGTCATTGGGCATAACAAATTCGTTTTAGTTTTGATTAATTTATTCGTTGCATTTTTCAAAAAAAATGCTGGATGAAATTAGCTAATACAACTTTTGAGAGTGGTATCTTTTCAATTGGGGTCTCGCATGGAAGAGCGTTTAGAAACTAATTTTGCGTAAGACGAAAGGAAAAATTTTGCAAAAGTACGAACACATTATATTTTATGGGGCCGATAAATGGAAAAGCATGCAATTTTAAACATTTTCCTTTAAAAACAACAATGGAGGCCCTTCAGAACATTTCAATTACCGAATCACACCGTCCTTGGTCGGAATCTCTTCATTCGTATCAATCTGTCAATCAATTTGTAGCCTGATGTCTATATCGTCTAAAATATAAATATCGTCTAAAATCTGACCAGCAATGACATTCATCAATGCAATTCCTTCGATTTATTCTCGTGTTCTCATTTTTTACGCATTTGATATACACATTTAACTATCTTGTCTATGCGCCAGTTTTTGGATTTGGACACTTGAAATTTATGCTGAATGTTGCCAATTCGATAGCTGATGGTGGACACAATGTGGTAGGCCACTTTTTTTTTATGATTTGAAAATGTTTTTCGATTTAAAAATACCCTATTTTAGACGATTCTTCGACCTTATCATTCCGGTTTTAGTATTCCTAAAGACATTAACAAGAAGCCTAATATAGAGGTCGCAATCTTCCAAACTTCCTTCCAGAAATTACAGCCGTTTTCAGATTCTTGACTATATACCAGATCATTATGAGCCGGTCCATCCAATGTTTGAGCATGTATCGAAAGGGTTATGGTATGAGAAGCCGACCTTGTTTTCAATGCCGTCCACGGCTTTCTCATTTTCTTCCCTGGTGACAAGCTCGCTAGCAACGACAAATAGATGTAAGCTAGTAGGATTCGATTTCATTCATGGAAATTATTGTCGAAGACAAGCAAATTTATGGTATTAAGCAAATTTCAGAAAAAAAAAAGAAACTTTTAAAAAATCTCCAGTTTTTTTTTTTTCAAAATCTTCTTAGTTCCAAATAAATTGAAGTTGTTCTCGAACTGGTTTAAGTGTTGGCTGAGTATTAAACGTATGATGCAAAACTACGGTATACCTTGAAATGGCTTTGAAACATTTTGTCGCCAAAAATTAAAAATAAATTAGAGCAAAATATTTAATTTTTTATTCCATTTTTTACAAAAGGCAGTATAATACGCACATACAGTACCGCAGAAAAAAATACGAAATAATTAATTTTCTTCATAATTTTTGAACGAGTGGTCCAATTGGGGTGAAATTTTTAGCACTTATTTTTCATTGATTTAAATGTATAAAAGCAAACTCATATTATGGAAATTAATTTTTTTTCAAGTATATTTCGCAAAAAATCGAAATCATAAAAATTGGTGAATAAATTCAAATGGCTGTAGAAAAAAATTAGATCAAAAATTAGGTTTAGGGTCGCAGCCGGTGGGGCGTGTCATACTTGCTCTAATTGTGTGAATTTTTCACTTCAATTTCGAGCAGTTTTTTCATTTAAACAACGTTCAAACCCTTCCCAACGGTGTATGATAGGATTTGTATCGCAAGATTGGCTCGGCCAGATCATTGAGTTCACCCGAAGCTGCGCGAACCAATTCCTGACCAAGTGTGATATGCGTTTTGGATCGTTGTCCTGTTGAAAAATCCAATCAGGCTCATGTTTCGAACGTCCAAATGGTAGCATATGGTCCTCTCTGATGTATTTGTACAAATTCTTGTTCATAATACCTTCAATTCTGCGCAGAGCACCAACGCTGATAGAAGAAAAACATCCCCATACCAGTACAGTTCAACCCCAATGCTTAAAATTTGGAACTTGGTACTTGGGATGAAATCTTTTTTTAAGAAAATTAATTATTTCGTATCTTTTTCTGTGGTACTGTAGGCTTTCAATGGTCCTGAATTCGAAAATGCAATTGTCTTGTCACCAATTTATGTGGTTTTCTCAAAACGTTTTCAAGTTTTCACTTTTCTTGTATTTCATTTGCGGACAAAATTCCTGAATAGTTTTTCAGATGTGCTCACTGACAAGGAACTTCACATTAAACTGAAATCTCGGAATTTCGATGCCTTCGTTGTGGAAATCTTCGATCTCAGCGGGTTTTGTAATAAAGAATTCCAATAGGAGAAAACGATTCTCAATCGATTGGTATTTCAGATCTAAATGAGATTCTCGAGATTCCGGCAATCATCGGCGTCTTTTCGGCAGTCCGTCAAGGTCCCACCGAGCAGATGTTCGGCGGTGTGAATGTTTTGTGAAATGACACCATTAGTCGAGAGTCCTGGATTTGTTGAAAGATTCAAAGATTGGTATGCCTTCTTTTGGAATTCGGTACTGTTCGGAAGGCTATTCGAACAACAACATGAGAACTACGCTCATCTTGTCAACACGAGCAAGACAATGACGGAGATTGTGACCAAGTCGTCGTTCTTCATGGTCAACGCCAATCCGTATTTGGATTTTCCGATTCCGACGCCACCGAGCATCGTGCAAATCGGTGGATTCACCATGAGCAAATATAACGCTGAAAAGTTATCCAGCGTAATTTTCTCCTTCAAGACCTTCCTCTAAATCAAATATCGATTATTTTTAGGAATATGAGAAGATCCTTAGTGAACATGATTCAGCAGTGTTCATTTCCTTCGGTTCGATGACAAAGTCTTCCCAAATGCCAGAACATTATAAAGCAGGCATCATTCAGATGTTCAAACTTCTTCCAGAAATTACATTTATATGGAAATATGAGAAGGACGATTCGGAATTTATCAAGCAGCTTCCAAATAATGTGCATCTGAAGACCTGGGTACCACAAGAAGCTGTTTTAGGCTACAGGGTGTCATTTAAGTTCCCGCACAAAAGTTTGACGCCATGAAGAGCTTGGCTGTCGCACTTTTCGTGCACCAATACAATTTATTTTTGTTAAATAAGGTATATTTTACTTACTTTCCAAGTTTTACCTCATTCGGATGTGTTTCCGAGAAATGGCGAAGGCTAACATCCATTGCGCTTCCATTATCGAACTTCATAAGCAAAATGTGAGCCTGAGAGACATCATTCAACGCCTCGGTGTGCCTCTTAGAACGGTTTACGACATCATCTAACGTTTCAAGGAACTAAATACGACCAGTGACCGTCCCAGATAAGGAAGACTCGTCTCGGTAACCACTCCTCAGAAGTTCAACGCCGTTAAATCGAAGATCAGGCGAAACCCACACAGGAGCATGAGAAAGATGGCGTCAGACGTGGGAATGAGCATTTTCGCTTTGGAACAAATCGTCAAAACGAAGCTTGGACTGACCCCATATCGTGTCCAAAAAGCGGCAATTCTATCGGCCGTCAACAAGCAGAGACGCTTCGAAAAAGCAAAACGACTTCTTGCTCGCACGCGGTCTGGAGAACACCTCGTCACTGTCTTCTCCGATGAGAAGCTGTTCACTGTGGAGGCGGCATTCAACTCACAAAACCATCGAGTACTTGCCCAGACATCCCAGCAAGCTTCTGAGAAAGGAAGAACATATCATCCAGCCTCACATCCTGCCAGTGTGATGGTTTTCGGTGCCATCTGCTCAACCGGGAAGTGCTCCCTGGTTTTCGCGGATCAGGGGGTGAAAGTGAACAAAGAAGTCTACGTTCGGGACATTTTGGAGAAGCATGTGATACCCTGGGCCAAAACGCATTTCGGTGGGCAGAAATAGGTTTTTTAACAGGACGGAGCACCCGCCCACACTGCCAAAACTACTCAGGAGTGGTGCCAGACCCATTTTCCCGACTTCATCAAGTCATCCGAATGGCCTGATTTCTCCCCAGACCTGAACCCGCTTGACTTTTCCGTGATGGGCTCTTGCAGGAGAAGGTCAACGCAAAACCCCACTCAAGTATAGAGGCTCTGAAGAAGACATTACTGGTGGAATGGGACAATCTTTCCATCGAATACCTGCGTACCACAGTCACATCCTACCCGAAGCGTCTCCGTGAAGTCATAGCTGCGAAAGGAGACCGAATCAAAAAGAGTTAATAGATAATTATTTGTTATACTATAGATAAAAAATATTTCAAGTCTCGTTTGATTTGGACTTTTAGTTTCAGAAATATATGCCTTCAAAGTTGTGCGGGAACTTAAATGACACCCTGTAGTTGGCGCATTTTAGCTCATTAAATCCAATCGATTCTTTCAGCTGATAAACGCGTGAAGCTTTTCGTGACTCATGGAGGACTCGGAAGTACGATGGAAGTGGCCTATTCCGGAAAACCAGCGCTTTTGATAAAATCTTTTTTTTTTGTTTTTTCGACCTACTTTCTATTTAGGTCCCTATTTTCGCTGAGCAACCCCATAACGCGAAAATGCTCTCACAACACGGAGGTGCGGAAATTTATGAGAAAGAGGAGCTCAGTGACGGAAAAAAGTTAGCCAACGTTATCGAACACATAGTTAATAATCCAAGGTAACTTATTGACATAGAAAGCTTGAAAAAACCAATAGTCGGTCTTACCTTTTTTAAATTTCATGACCGTAATTACGAATTGCCGGACGTAGAATATTTAAAAAATATACGAAAAATTAAAAGGAAATTTAAACATTTTGAAAATTCGCTTTGATAATTTTTGAGGTGTTTCTTAAATTTTACATGAAATTGAGGCTAAAAATTAAATTACAAGATAATTTCATAGAAAAAGTAGAAATTTTTTAATATATGTGAAAACTTTTAAAAATTTCAAACAACGTTTAAATATTCAAAGCCGCAACCGGCCGCTGATGGTTTTTTTTTCTCGGCGGACTGTGTTTTTTGTTTGAATACCTGGTCCAAGGAGCTAATGACAATCCATTTAGATACCAGAAAAATGCAGAACAGCTGAGAGATATTCTCAAACATCAACCAATTGATCCCAAGACTGTATTGCTGTCGCATGTAGAATTTGCAGCCAGGTATTCAGACAATCCAACCACTTCAATTTCAATCAAACTTATTCAGATTCCCGAATATGAAATCATCGCTAGTTCCTTCTTTAATTAATCGCGACCTCGTCAGCTATTATTGTCTTGATTTGGTGCTTTTCCTAGCTTCTCTAGCTCTCTTTGTATTTTTCGCTATCGCCAAATCGATATCATGGCTATATCGAAAATTTCGCTCTTCAATAAAAGACAAAACCGCGTAACAAATGATTTTCAATGATAGACATAGGGTGGGGGTCTTCACGTGAATGTTATGCAGTACATCACACATCAATATGATGCGTTTAGCCTGACGTATGACCATATATTGGCGAAGACAGACAACTGTCGGAAATTCAAGCAATCTAGGTCAAATTCTGTTATATTTCGTGGCGAGAAAGCAACTTTTTTTGCCCACTCAATTGATGAATACTGCAATTTTGGATCTGTTTATGATAGATCTAGGTGTTTTTTTTTTCTAAATTTTTACGCGACGCCTCCTGAAAGTCGAGTAAAAAAATTCTGAAATCGAGTTTTGTTTTATTGATGCAGACAGTGATATTTTGATTGATGGTAACGTAGTTTGTATTGTAATAATGATGTATTGATACTGTAGGTACCAATCACACGTCGGCGTTTTATTGAATACATACATACTACATATGGAAAATGCCATAAATTCAGCGTTCTGCAAAAAGCTGCTATGATATGAAGAACTGGAAATTTCTCATTAAATAATGGCTGTTTTTTTTCTAGTTAGATAAGAATCAATCAAAAGCTGATTGACAGTGTGGTTTGCTGAATGATTGCTGAACCTTTCAATGATATCTGATCCATATTGTGCAGGGTGACAATCAATTATGGCAATACCTATTAAATGTTTAAAACAGTATATTTCTCATTAATATTTTTTTATGAACTGGATATAACATCAAAAAATTCACAAGAGATTCTCAAATTGTGATCTAGGCTCTACAGAATTGTTAGGGGTAAGTCAAAATATTTTATGCGTAAGCGTAGTCACAACCCTGCTCTACAGAGCCTCTTGTATAACATGGTCCCTGTGGCCGCAAATAATATGGTCCCTGTGGCCCCTTCTTCAGCTGCTGACGACTTCTCATCTCTACCAACTCAATAATTATTTCCGCTTTGGACATTCTTATAATTACACTTTCCGATAATTTCAGTTCCTATGCGTATAAATGTAGAGATTCTCGTTGAACTTACATTAGCCACATATTTTATAGTCGATATCTAATCTACTCGGGTCGTCATTCGCAAAAGAATCAGTGTGTCGGCGCGAGACCATTTCGAATTGCGCGTGCTCGTAAATCTACAGAAAAACTACATATTGCTTACTGTTGTCAGTAGACGAAAGGGTTAATTTATTGTCATAATATATTGTCACCAAATATAGTACTTGTCAAAAAGATGGTCCCACATGATTTTTTCGGGCATCAATCTTTTGAAAATGAGACACATTCAAATTATATTTTGATTTTAAAAAAATGAAGATCGAAAGAGATAGTAGCCACCAGGAAAATCAATTTTCGAATATCAGAAAAAAATTGTAAAGCTAAATTGATTTGAAAAAAAATAATATATTAATATTTTTGTTATGTCCTTTTGTATCGATAATAATATCGAGTCCAGAATCTTGTGGATGACAGGCATCGGAATCGCCTTCTAGGAGCTCTAGAAAAGATCAAACTTCTGGATGTCATTCGAATTTCTGGCGTCTCAAAAAGGGCAAGTTCAGAAAAAATAAGAATAAAAGAAAAAAACGATTATTTTACTTTTTTCTGCATTGCCCCATTCGTAAATATCAAGGTATTCTCAATAAAAAAAAATCACCCCTGTGTTTCAAAATCAATTGAAATTATGAAAAATTCATGTATGCAGATTACACAAAAAAACTAATTTTTTCGAGTTTTTCGAGTTTTCTTCCAAAAATTTGCATAGAACCATTAAATTGAAATTTTTTGTTCTCGACAAAGAAAACATTTTTTCCGGCCCGAATATCGAGGCGATCAGTTTCAGAAAAAAAACACCTGCCAAACATGAGCAGCAATAAAATTAAAATTTTGGTGACAATCTAAATTCATTAAATTGGAATTAATTTTAAGAATGCTATAAAAAATTTAAGCGGTAATACTAATTATCGGTGATATAGTACATTTTATAATCTCTAGACTTACCGTAACCCGGAATTGTAATATTTACAATTGGTCAATAATGCATTTTTTTTCATCATCCTTTGATTGTTCGACCTGACCACCAAACTCCGCCCCCCTATAAACTACACCGCTTGCAATTGCTATATAATCAACAGGCAATTAATTATTTCTGAATGAACACATCTTCACTTCTTTTTGGGATGCGATCTCTAATCATTTGTCTGTTACTCATTCAAAATATCGATGCTTTCAATTATCTGTTGATTTCGCCGGTGTTCGGATTCAGCCACATCAAGTTCATGTCGAAAATTGCTGATGTTTTGGCGAACGGTGGTCATAATGTAGTATGTTGATTTCTTTTTCAGCAAAAAAAAACGGAAATTTTCGATTTTAGACAATTTTTCGACCTCATCACAATGATCTGCACATTCCGCCGCGATTGATCAAGAATCCTAATATTGAGGTAATTTCCATCAAATGGCGAAATATGAAAACTTCTCCAGAAATATTTTTTTAGATCTTGGACTACTACCCCAAAGATTTCGATGAGATGAAGAAGGGCTCTGACGATATGATGAAGAGCATGTGGCTTGAAGGAACCTCGCCGTTGAGTATGGCGATTAGTGCCATCCAATTCGGAAAAGGTGCGCGAGACGTCTGGAACAACACCAACTACCGTAAGGCTTTGAATAAAAGGCCTTATGAAACCCCCTATTTCAGAGATTCTGACTGATAAGGAGCTTCATGAGAAGCTCAAAGCTCGCAAGTTCGATTCGGTCATCACCGAGATCTTCGACACTAGTGGATTTTGTAAGAATTCGACAAATTGTTGAATCAACGTTTTGAAATTTGCGCAGATTTGAACGAGATCCTCAAAATCCCATCAATCGTTGCTGTTTGGTCGGCGGTTCGTCATTGGTCGACAGAAATGTACTACGGCGGAGTGTCGCCGGTTGGCTATGTTCCCGGAAAAGAGTCAGCGATCGGAGCCAACGCCGTATTTCTCGACCGCCTCAACGATTTAAGCTCATGCTTTTTCATTGGTCTTTTGGTCCGTCGACTCATTCTAGAGCAACATTACAATTATGCTAATATCATTGGGACCAATAAAACTGCCGACGAGCTACTAACAAAATCGCCATTTTTCATGGTCAACTCGAATCCATATTTGGATTTTCCGATGCCGGTGCCTCAAACGATTGTGCAAATCGGCGGATTCACAATGGATTTGAAGCATTCACCGAGTTTGGAAAACTTGCCAAAAGTTAGTGGCGCTCTTTTTGAGAATCGGTGTAGACGAGCATTTGCAGGAGTACGATAAGATCTTGAACGAGAAAGACACAACGATATTCATTTCATTCGGATCGGTGGCCAAGTCGTCGGAAATGCCCGAACACTACAAGTGAGTGGTTAAATTACATTTTGTAGATTAATTTATTAATGACTTCTCAAATCGATCGCAATATTATCAATATTGGGAAACATTGAAGCGATCCATGAGACTAATGGCAGGTCATGATGGGGAATCTGGCAGATCAGATGTTCAACGGCGCCATCGAATATTTGTTTGAGGCAGATTTTCTTGCTCCTCATTGATTCGACACATCTAGGGTGTCAAGATTCGTTTCTGCTGTAAATTTCCAACTCACTGATTCTTTGGCACCGTCACATCGGAATCAATAAAAATTGTTCGAATATTCGGAAGGCTTATGGAGACGTGGAGCACGTCATCCGGCGAGAACACACATCCGCGGACATCTAATTCGACGACATTGATGAATAGCGCCAGGTTTCTGGAGCCGACGGCGGTCTCGACAATCTTCACGAAACGCATCCAATTGAGGCACCGAATCCCGCAGAAATCCATTCGCACAATATTGCCGTGTTTGAGAAGGCTGCACACCTCGCTGAGCTCTTTGTGCAGTGTGCAAAGTTGTAGCATTTTCCATTGATTGTCCGAATTGGCGAGGTATGGGAACCATGTCTTAAGGTCCCGAACCGAAAGCGTCCTTCTCGTTCTCCAAAAAATCTCGATTTCCTTATAAGACATTGTTAATGGTCGAAGAATATAATCGAGATCACCTCGGCAATCCATTTGCAAACCGATCGAAAGCTCTTCTGATCATCCAGCGACAAGTATTCAATGATCATTTGCATCACATGCGTCGGAATTTTTCCAAGCTCACCGTCGCTGAAAATCTTTTGCCGCTTCGGACAATTAGCGCCGTCGTCACGCCCGATGCTGCGCTTCTGAATTTTCGATAGAGACTGATTGAAATGAGCAGCTCACCAGATCGCATTTGCTCGAATTCTTATCCATCGCTTAACCTGCACTTTGAATTCTAAATGAAATGGAAAATGAGACAAATGATTATCTGACGTCATGTCAAATTTTTCCAATTTTTTTTAGGAAAGGTATTATCGGAATGTTCAAACTACTCTCAAATGTCACATTCATTTGGAAATACGAGAAGGAGCATCCGGAAATGGAGAAGATCCTACCATCCAATGTTCATTTACAGCGTTGGGTACCTCAGCCAGCTCTGATCGGTACGAATTTCGATCAGCTCCTTTTACAACAATCTATAATTTCAGCTGATAAACGCGTGAAGCTTTTCGTGACTCATGGAGGACTCGGAAGTACGATGGAAGTGGCCTATTCCGGAAAACCAGCGCTTTTGGTATGCAAAATCAAAATTCTCTGCGAAACCAAATTTTCAGATTCCAATATTCGCCGATCAGCCTCATAACGCGATGATGATTGCCAGGCATGGAGGTGCTGAAGTTTTCGAGAAGGAAGATCTTGTGAACTCGAAAAAATTGGCAGCGGTTATTCAGAAAATGATCACCAATTCCATGTAATATTATTAGATCAAACTCAAACGAATCAATTTTTATCGAAATTTCAGATATAAAAAGCACGCCGAACAACTGGCTCATTTGCTCAGGCATCAGCCATTTGATCCCAAGGATATTTTGCTGTCTCATGCCGAGTTTGCGGCAAGGTTTCCCAATATGGAATCTCTCGTTCCGCCAATTCTTCAAAGCAGTTTCATTGGATATTATTACATTGATGTCATGCTCTTCCTAGCTGCTCTAGCTCTTATCTCCTTATTCGCTGTTGTCAAATCGATTTTATGGGTATATCGGAGGTTTACCACCTCTATCAGTATAAAAAGGAAAACCAATTGACTCATATATACATGTTTTTTTTTTCTAATAAAACTTTAATGATTTTTTACGACGTAATAATAAATTTTCTACGAAAAAATTAACTTTGCCATCATTAGAATTGATAATATTATTTCTCGAAGTGATGCTCTACCAAGCTGCTCCAGCTCTTATTTCCTGTCTCAATTCTAAATTATTCGAGGAAATCGCAAAAAAATTACCATTTCATACAAATTCAAACCAGCTAAAATGAAACTTGAGACGATTTAAAATATTGTCATTTACAATGTTCCATTGATTTCAGAATTTAACCACTCGTCACCTCGAAATATTTCTAAATAAAAAAATCATCAAATATTTTCATTCGTGTGTAGATTGGTTGCTCTAATATTAGTCTCGAGTTAATTAGAGAAAAAAATATTTATATATTATTAGTAATGAGTTAATTAAGAAAGCGCTGATGTAAGTGTGCGTGCATTTTTGGATTTTATTATCAAAATTGAAAACAACGTTTCGTCGCAAATAGCCAATTAGCTATTTCGTGAAAATTAATTAGTAGAATCATTAAATTGAACTTAATAAAATCTATAAATCACGAATTCTCTTTGGTTAAAAAACACCGAAATTTTCCATTTTCGTTAGTTTCACTTTGATTAAAATTCATATTATTTATGATATGCTTTGAACTACATATTTTTCAAACTAATTGCACCTTAATTATTGTTATTATTGGCTAAGTAGACTTGAATTTGCTTATGGCACTACGCAGATTTCGTACAAAATTTTTACTACTTAAAAACTCTAATACTTTGACTCAACAAAAAAGCAAGTTTTACCTAGTTTGTGAATTTTTCCCCCAAAATCTGTATATTATATAGAAACAGACAGTAAGAACTTCATTCTATTTGTGTCAACTCAGACGGTAAAACATCTACCAATATTTCTATTGTATGCTCTTCGATTACTCAAAAATTTTGATGTTCGATTTTAAGAAAATTTCTTGGAAATTGCGAATAAACGCAATTCAATCGCGAAGTTAAAATAAAAGAAATAATTGATTAAAGGTTCATCACGCGGAAAAAAATTTGGGTCTTGTGGTGAATAATTCTAGTAGCCGCTTTGTTTCAGAAGCAGACTACTTATTGTCAATTAGAGTAGGGGGATCGTACAGGGCCTATAATGCTCTAATCAAGCTCGATCATCCACGACTATACAGTCTGGCAGCCTGATCCTTAATATATACAGTTGACCGTGAATCGTCATTGTGAAAATTTTCACCATTGTGTGTACGTTTAATTTTCGAAAGACATTCATTCATTCTTATAAAAACCGGCCAGTAAACCTATATTCTACTATAATTATAGAGAACCAAAGTTTATATCCGATTTTACCTCCGTCGTTTCCGTATTATCAGTAGATTTTTATGAGTTAGCGGTTTTATACATTTTTTTTCAGATGCTTATATTTTGGGTATTAACGACCTTCAATGTATTATCGTATATTTTATTCTTTGCGACAGTTCGAATGATTATCAAAAACTGGTCGGAATTTTTAAATTCCTTCTTTTCTATTTATGTATTTGCGTTTATTGTGGTGAGAATCATTTTTATTGCTCAAAAATCGGATAATAATTCTCACAGAACACTTTTTGCTTTATCATATCTTTAATATCATTTCGTATTCCCGTTCTAGTGTGTCGGGATTGTTTCCTATCAGAAATATTTGTCCATTTTTTGAAGCTCAATTCTTCGTGTAACTTCTTGCTGAGCCTATTTTATTTTGTTACGATGTTAAATAGTTTTATACAATGCTCAATATGCACTGCCTTGAGTTTTAATCGATTTTCAGCCACTTTTATAAGTTCGGAGGGAAAAAGAGTCAGCGAAAAGATTTATGTGCAATATTTATATTATTTTTTTTTGAAGATTTGTAGCATTATGTTTACTATTCTAATAGTGATAATGACTGGAATCTGCATTATTCCTGGACTACCTTTTCTTTTCACTTGTTTTTATTACGAATTTTTAGATATATTCAATTATTACTTTATTATGACCGACATGGTAAGTATTAAAAACGTGTAAGACTTATGATTTCCTTCAGGATGTCATTTATATTTATCATGTTCAATTTTATTGGCTGATTACTTCATGTATTCTCACTGTCGCCTTCAATGTTGCATCTTATGTCAGACTGAAGTCATTGGGCACACAAATGATGAAAGCTGAAAAAAATTTATTATATATGACGATTTCGTTATTAACAATTGAAATTTATATTTTTATTACAACAGTAAGCTTTAACGAAATCAAAATTAAAAATAATTTTCGAGAAACTGAAAATATGAAAAGCACTTGTGTAAACACGTTCCGACATTTTACGTACATTTAAGAAAATACGCGTTTTTATTCGAACTTTTCAGATTTGTTACGTTTATCTTGTTGATATAAGTTCTCCTTGGTCGCAATTCTTTTTTTCTTCTATTCAAATAGGATATGACGTGATGGCCGTTAGTCATCCGTATACGCTTATATACTTTAGTCGAAAGGTGCGAATTCTCAAATTGGAATCATCCCGATTGCACTGTGGTGACGATGTTTTCGAAGATGACCCGGGAAAGTGTCAATGAAAAAAGTATTCATAAACACAAAGGGATGTCATTAATTCATATAATGTAAAAAAATGATTGCAAATTATTTTTTTTTCTTTTTAGACACGGCGATTAATGCTAAACATGTTTATTCCATTTTTGCGTAAATCAGCAAAAGATCAATCGGTTATTTTTTATTCAAGGGATCGACCTAACCCAACATGATTTGAATTCTCCTCTTTATCTGCTCATAAATCATACTTCGCCACATTTTCGCACATTTCAAAAAATTCGCACATTTTGAGAGTATGCACGCCGCGTTGCATACAAACCGTGCGCTAGTGGCAAATGGGCGTGGCTACTGGAATTGACTGCGCTCGCTTGAGTTATCCGTCAGTTTTATAGTTTTTTTTGGGAGAGCGTGTCGTCGGCTATCAATACTAATTTTATTTTTTTTTTCTTCTCCAATATTTTATTAATTCAGTGATATCATATTTTATATGCGATTGAATTAATGGTTTGTTTTATTTTCTAAGACAATCGATATTTTTCTTTTGCTCGATTATCGTCATGTGATTTATCCTAACACATGTTCCTTGTTTTCAGTTCAATTATCAGAATGTCTTCGTCCGATCGATCCGACTCTTCTGATGAAGAGATGCAGGTGAAAGCATCTTCTCGCTCGAATTCATCGGATTCCGATGCGTCCAGCAAAAAACGTACATCTCGCCCATCAAAAGCTGATAGTGAAGGTATGGTTTAGCTTTAAATTTCGATTTTTTTTTAATTTTGAGGAGGAATTTATATAAATTATTCTTCCAGATACGTCTGACTCTGACTCGGATTCGGGAAAGCCTTCGTCTTCACGGTAAAAAAATGTTTTCCCGAATAATTCCTATGAATTTTTGAACTCAGACCTAAGAAAGCTAATAAGAAGCGCACTGTGAACAAAAGAAAACGCGGATCGTCGGCTAGTAGCGACGTTTGTTTTTAAAGTTTATTTTCCTTGAAAATGCTTTAATTTTATAGGATGGCCGTGTTGATGATTCCCTGTTCGTTGATGCCGAAGACAAAGCAAGATGGAAAGGTTTGAGCGAACTCGAGAAAGAGCAAGAAATATTCGAACGAATGGAAGCTCGTGAGAATCAACGAACTCGCGCTGAAATTGCACAGCAATTGGAAGCCAAAAAAGCGGAAAAAGACAAGAAATCGAGAAAGAAGCGAAAAGTTGAATCTGAAAGTGATAGTGAAACAGGTAGGATTTTTGAAAGGAGAACAATATGTAAACTTTAATATTTCAGCAAAATCTCCTCCAAAGGGGGTTCCTTCTAGTGATTCAGACTCGGATATGAATGCCGAATTCCATAAACCCAGCGATGTAAGAAGATAAAAATTTAGACATCAATTAAAAAAAATGACGTTTAGATTAGTAGAAAGCACAAAGAGAAAAATGCCATGGCTGAATTGAAGCAAAAACGCAAAGAAATTGAGAAAAAGAATGGTATTTCCAAAATTTCGCAATAACTTTGTGGAAATTTATTGATTTTTTTCAGCGAAAAATGCTGCTTTATCAATTGACGCTGTATTTGGTGCGCAAAGCAGTGGTTCCTCTAGCTCATCTAGTTCAAGTCCAAGCTCACGATCCAGCTCGTCTTCGCGAGATTCTTCGCCAGAAAACCGAAATGCTGAAGAAGTGAAGGTTGTAAAGAAGCAGGTCGAAACTTTGGATGAGCTTAAACGAGCTCGCCTCTCGCGATTCAAACTCGCCAAGATAATTCACGCTCCATTCTTCACCGACACCGTCAAAGGATGCTTTGTCCGTATTGGAACTGGACCAATGTCGGGAAGTAGCAGTAATTACAAACTTTGGCAAATTCTTGAAGTCGAAGAGACGCCGAAAGTTTATGATTTGGAGGATAAACGGACGAATAAGGGATTGAGGTGTAGACATGGTAGGAATTTTGAAGAAAAACTTAAAAAAACAAATAAAAATGTTCTGCAGGAAAGCTTGAAAGGGTGTTCCGTGCGGCATTTGTCTCAAATTCGGAGTTCAGTTATATTGAATTTGATGAGTGGAGGGAAGCGACTCAACAGAATGTAAAATATTTAGTTTTACCCTTCCGTATAACTTTTATTAATTTCAGGGCACTCTTCCCACTATGGACTTTATTGAAAAGAAGGAAATTGATATTAGAGAAGCTTTAAATCACAAATATTCTGATGAAGAAGTTGACTTGGTAATTTTTTTAGCAGGATTAAAAAAATTTAATTTATCCAAAATTGTTTCGCTTTCAGCTCATTCAAGAAAAATCGCGATTCGAGAAAGTTCCCAAGAATTTTGCCATGAGAAAAGCAGAATTGGCCAAAAAAAAACTCCTCGCGCAGCAGAAAGGCAATCTACGAGAAGCCGATGAGATTCAAAGGGAGATCGATGAGATTGAACGACAGGCTGATAATTTAGACAAGAAGCGCTCGCATGATATTAGCGCAATTGCTTTTATCAATTATCGAAATCGAACGCAGAATAAGAATGAGTTTTTGAGTGGAAGGGTAAAGATGGAAGCAACTTCTCAAGATGACCCGTTCACGAGGAAGAAAGGAGGAATGAAGGTATTGTCGGAGGAATTTCTTTAAATGATTGTTCTTTGTTAATTGGCTTATTTTTCAGATTGTCTCAGGATCAAAATCGAAAACTGATGGCACGATTTCGGCATCTGCTTCACAGAGTGACTGTAAATTAAAAGAAAAAACATTTTCCGTGGGTATTTTATGAATTTCAGTAACTTCGGCTGGAAACGAGACGAAGCGAGATGAGCAATCGAAACCTCCAGCGGTTGTCAAGGAAAAACGAAAATCTACTAATATGTCGGATTTGCACAACGTCGCTTCGTTCAACTTGAACTTCGACATTGATATTGGTATGTATATTTCTGGTAGTTAAAAAAAATCAATAATTCCGAAAATTTCAGATAAATTGATAAATGCGAAACCTCTTAGAGACGATCATGGAGAAGGAACCTCTTTACCGCCACCGATGCCTTCTTATTCGGCTCCAATAGAGACGAAAGCCAGGTAAATTGAAATTACCTAATTATCGTGGGTAATTTGAACATATTCAGAGGATTATCGCTCGCTGATTATCGCCGACGCAAGGAGCAAGCATCGGCGGCTGGAGCCCATTAATAATCCTCATTGACACTTTCTTTTCTTTGATTTTTTTTGTATTTTTTTATTTCAAAGTTTTAAGCGCCTGCCTACAAAGATCCTGTAATTCTTATTTATATCGTCGGCTTTGTTTCTTCTTATTATTTTTTTACATTAATAACTCTTCGTCATCGTGGTAAATAAATAAATAAGAGTTAGTGAGTTTTCCCGGAATACCGCGTGAGAATTGAAATTTTTTGACGGGAATTGTTATAATCGAGGTTTGTTAATAATTTAGACTACTTACTATATCTAGGATTTTTTCAATTTGTTTAAATTCTATTATTTCTTGTATAATAATTCATATTTTATATGTGTTGTATAATGTGCTACTAATATGTAATATGTTACCATTTTCTTGTTGTGATACTTTACCTTTTGAAGACGTGTTATAAAATAGATTTATAATTAACCCGCTGGTTATTTGGAATGGTTGATTGAAGGTCTTCTTAGGCGAAGAGCGGAAACCGAATTTCAGAGTTCTTTGGGAGGCCTGGAATGAAGGAACGAGTTCCTGCTGAGAGCACATTGGCAGGCGACGGGCAGCTGGAAATAAAGGTTGGATTTTTTATAATTTGAACTTTGACAATTACCAGAATCTGCTCAACCACCCAATCTTCGCAATTGTCATCGCCATTGTTTCTGAGCACTTTAAATGTTAATTCTTGCATTCCGCATTGTCCGTGTGCTGAAAATACTTGGGATATTAAAGTTAGTTTACACTTTAATTGGCCAGAAAGTGATTGTTGTTAATTGATAAAGACGTGAGCTGAACAAAATGGAATACATAAGAGGACGTTGGGAAGTATCCCTTTCAGAACATTTGTCAAGAAGAAAAAGTCGACCGAGAGAGTATTCTCATTTTGATGGGGGACGCAGAAATAGATCGTCGGATGGCTCCACTCTGTGGTTTCCCATTTTTCGAGTAAACTTCTAGTTAAATTTTTAGTCCCTCCTCCTCACTTACAAATTGTTAAACCTTAACGTTTAGATGATGAATAGGCGTTAAAGCCTTCTTGTATAATTTTCTTTTACATGGAATCTTTAACAAGGAACGATGAATGGGCATTTGACAGCAGAGTGTTTGAGCTTCACGAAATATCTTACCCATATCAGTGAACGAGTCGAAGATGCAACCCATTTCTTGCGGATTGCATCGAATCGCATTGAAAAATTTCGGGAAACAATTGTCATTAAGCATGTAAAGACCGTGGCATTCTAAAAAAAAAAAACAAAGTACATATTCAACAAACGTTTCGCGATAAACCTGAGCATAACGATTCGAATGAGACGTTCACTGTCTCACCGAGGTCCGTGCACAAACCGACTGGCACAAAATTGCCGAGTGAGCAGCCAGTAATCATGGGAGCATCGCTAAAGACGGGCCGCTTCGAAAATCGATGGATCGAGGCATTCGATCGACGCTGAAGTTCCGAATTCAACGCGTTCTTGATCATCTTGCATCGATAATCGCAATCCTCTTGATTCTTTAAATTGTCAAAATAAGGGTAGTTGGAATTGAAGAGAAATGAGCTCACTTTAGAGCTGGTCGGATCGATATGATCCGCGGCCGGCATGTCAATTACAGACTCCGGATAAGTCTCGGCGAAATTCTTCGCAGCTTCATCTATCGAGTCTGCCATAAACATTTGATTTCGACCTCCAGCTTCTTCTAGCATTTTGTACTTTTGCTCTTCACTGTACTTCTGGCAACTGGATAGTTTTGAAGGTTTAATTCTAAATTATTGTTTTTTTTTAAATTTTCGTGAATGCACCAAGGGGTCCTACTTTCGTAATCGTGGTTTTTTCGTCTTCAGTGTTGTTGATGGTCGAGGCGGGACGGTTGAAGATTTGGCAGAAAGAACGTCAGTCTCGTTCTAGAATTTAGAAAACCTACTGCAAGCAAAGTTGGCTGAGATTTACATTTTAAACATCCAACCAATATAATTTTTTTGAGACTTTTAGAATTTTGCTCAATTAATCAGATGATACTCGTCGATAAGGAATTTCTCGACGATAATATGAGGCAATTTTGAGAAAAATCTACAATAGCCATCTAAAGGACTTTTCGATCATATGTAAAAAAAATTCGCGGATGCGTAATCCTTTAAGTTTTGTTTCTGAAATTAGTCCAAGCAACTGAAAAATCCTAATATTTATTAACTGATGACTCATTCCCGATTTGTTTACTCAATATTACCTCATAATCCTCAATAATTTCGAATGTCGAATTGATAAGAATTGTGATTTCTGAATCGTTTAAAGAAATATGACCAGTTTGGTAGCCATATTGCGATTCTGAAACAGTTTTTTTTTCTGGAAAACAATTTTTGAAATGAACCTTTTGAAGCCTCTTTGGTGACCGTATTTGGTATGATGAGTACAAATATCAGAAAACGAATCATTGCATCTGAAATCGCATAGGTTTTAAATAAGCGATGCTCCTTTAAAAGTTACGAAGACCGCAACGCATCTAATTAAATTCAAACTTTTTCAGATACGGTAAAAACTAAAAAAAAATCAGGTAAATCGACTTGTGTTGAGGAAAAGCTTAGAGAATCGGCGGTGGGCGAGCGCGGCGGCGGCAATGCTCAATTGCGAGCAACACCGCGCGGAAGCGGATGTTTGCGGAAAAAGTTGCTCGAAATAGCGTGTCAATTTGAGAGAATACTAATCGAAACAGCATTGATCACACGTCAGAACAGTTTTTTTTTCAAATTCAACTTTTTGCAACAGTGATTTCGGGGATTGTGGTGCGGCATTCTCGTAAACTGTGGGAAGTTTGCCAAAAGGCTTCGAAAGGAAATTCCAAAAAAATATATTATCGGCTTGAATTAAAGGCAAAAAATCAGTTTCAGCACTTTCAAGAAACGTAATAAACTACCAAATACAACAAATCATTTAACTGGCATTAAGGATATTTGTATCTTTTAGAATGGTTTGTGAAACGAACAAGCAAATCATAATACTTTTTTTTTCGTTTTCATGGTTTTTTTTAACCATCTCACTTGAAATTTTGTAATTTTTGAAATAAGACGTGCAAAATTTCAGAATTCGTGGCAAGACCAATGTCGTCAAGACAATAAATTTATACAAACGGAATGTTGTTTTTTTTCAACATGTGCTCCGAATTTACCAACAATAGGCAAGGCAAATAAAAGCTCAAATATGTATATATTGTTTACCGGAGACAAGCTGAATCAAGAAAAAAAATACATGCATTTTTGGGTTGAATTTTTTGGTCAACAATTATTTTTTCCGAATCGTTCAAAATACACTGCAACTGCGAAAAAGACAAAAAATGGTTCAAAAGTGGATGAAAAAATTGGTTCAGACTGTAGAAAAATCTATTTTTTATCCGCTTTTTAAGATTTTTTGTCCCTTTCCCAGTTTCAATGTACCTTATGTGGAAAACGATTGGCAACTGAAAAAGTTTTTTTTTTCGCAAAAAGAAAAAAATGCGAAAAGCAAAATGAAACAAGGAAACGTTATGAAAAAGAATCATAAGTTGATTTGCGAATGTTCAATGGCTTTTTTATGGGCATTTAAAGAAATGTTTTAGAACAAAAAAACGTTCGAATGATAATCGACAACAATTTTATTGCTGATTATTTCAATTGAAAGAAAAAATCATGTGAAAAAGCGAAATTAAAATTAACAGTTGGAAAATTAAGAATGACGCTTCATCTTCAACAAAAATAAGTCAATAATAAACCAATTACATTTAGAAAATACTGTCAAATTTTAAAACCTGATTATTCAGAAGTTGGCTGCTCTCTGAACAATATGCGCCTTTAATTGCGTTACGGTAACAATTGTTTTAAAAATTTGTTTAAATTTTTTTTAAATTTCGCATTGTCGACGTAGTGCGTCTGCGGGAAATTGGCTAAATGCCAAAAAATTTAAAAAGGTCTCGGTGGGCAGTGTACCTTTAACCGATCCTTATACTTAGGCCCGTAAATATACAATTTTATTTTTGCGCGAAGATAGTCTGTTTTTTGGCATTTTGCCAATTTTCCGGATTCGCACGACGCCGACAATGCAAAATTGTTAAATTTTCTCTTAAACTAATTTTTTTATGATAATAAAAATTAGAATACTCTGACTCGTGCTGATTGGCGGTCAACTGTTGAAAAAAAATGTTTAGACTTTTTGCAATTTTAGAGTTATTTCTGACGGAAATTTAAAAGTGAACGCCAAAGTTTAAGAAAAAAAATTGACAACCTATTTTGGAACTGTTTGGATGAAAGCATAGCGTTTATAATTTATGTAAACAGAAAAAATAAGAACAACTACGTGGACGCATTCACGTGGATTTTGTTTTGGTTTAAGCTGTTTTGGTAAACAACCATAGTACTTATTTTACGCGAAAATCAATCTTAAAGCTGAATTATTCTTTCTCCATTTCCCCAGGCGCCGATATTTTGTGGGACCCTCGCTTTGATTATGTAATAATTTTGATCCCAAATTTTATGTAAACATTGATTCTTAATCGAATGCCTTGCCCACCATTAAATGGCATCATTTAAGGGATTATGGAGACTGCTATCTTATCAGCTTTCTCGTGGGTGTAGCTACGCCTATAAAATCGGCAAACGAGTAGCGCGGTTTACCTGAAAATGGTGCCGATTCTGCTGTTGATCGCACTTCTGGCTGTCAGCTCGAGCGTTCGATCGAACGCCACTCTCGTGTGTCCGAAGCAATACAACGCGATCAACGGGTTATGCATTAAACTGTTCACAACGTCGATGCGTCATGCTGATGCGGTGGCGACGTGCGCTGAAGACAACGGACATCTGGTCGCGATTCACAATGCAATTGTAAACCAATTACGGTTTTTGTCGATTAAACTAAATTGTCTTTTAGGATAACACTGGAATTGTAAATGCAGTTATCGAAAAAACGCAAAGCTCAGTCTGGATTGGACTTAAATGCTCACAGGATTCCGATCCATCGTCTTGCCTTTGGGACAACAATTCGGGAAACGCGCAATCATATAACAACTTTGCTCCAGGTTCAACTAAACATGATGATTTCCAGAATAATATTCTGGAGAGATTCAGGCTATCCGCTACCGACTTCGTTGGGAAATTGCGTGTTCATGGCGACAGTGGGCCAATTGAAGGGAAAGTGGGTTAGCGCCGATTGCGACCAACTACAAACCGCTTTCGTTTGTGAAACCGCGAAAGTAAATCCAGGTACTATTTGAGCAAAATCAATTTTTTTTGTAAATTAGCGGAAATGACGTTTCGCACAAGTTATCTTAATTGAATGACGCGATTACATAGCTTATCATGATGTTCCAGATGGTGATGACTGTCCATATCAGTTCGGTGGTTACTGCTACTTCCCGACGCTCACCGCTCTTACCGAAAGCGATGCGGAGTACAGTTGTATTCACGAGGAATGCGGAAATTTGGTCTCGATTCATAGCGGCGATGAGAATCTGTTTGTGATGAGCCTGTTCGCTAACAATGTGCCAACATATATCCGAATTGGCGGAATGTCGACGGGAGCTACTACTTTTGCATGGACCGATGGAACTGCTTTTGATTACAACAATGTTGGGTATGCGAATCAACAACTCGGTCAGTGCTTGAGCATGGCGCTGAAGGATGATATTGTTGGAAAGAGCAAGTGGATTAACAGCCATTGCGAAACCTCACTTCCATTTGTCTGTAAGAGAAGTGAGAGCCTACTGATTTATTCAAAGGTTACAACAAGTCTGTTTGCAGAAGCTGGAAAAGGTTGTGGAACTACTGTGGGACCAACACAATCCCCCTCGCAGTGCAACGGGCCACAGTTCTATGATAATTCAGGAACAGTAAGTTTCAATCAGAAAAAAAAGATTGAGCCCATTTTTTTGTGTTTAGTTCTATTCCCCAAGCTGGCCTTACACATACGCTGGAGCTGCTGGTGTCTGCAGCTATGTAATCTCGACACCGCTTGGATCAAAAGCCCTAATTCAGTTCCCAGTTCTTCAATTGGATCCAGTGAGTTCATATGAATCAGGAATCCGCAAATTCTTAGTATTTTTAGTCGGCTACCATTGCACTTTACAATCAAATCGAGGATAGCAACCCATTCCAAGTGTAAGACATTTTAGACGTAGAATTTTTTGCAATCTTTGTAGTTTAGTTTGAAGGCAGGTACTGTCGCTGGTCAATGGTATTCATCCACAACGAACACCATGAAAGTGATGTTTCGGCCGTCATCGAATCTCGACGGAGCTACCAATGTCTACAGGTGGCAGGCAAACTTTAAGCCGTCGATTATTAGTAAATTTTTTTGCCGTTAATTTTTGAGGAAACAATATTAAAAATTAGATCCCACTGCTTCGCCGCCTGTCACTATCACTCCGGATCCACTAAATCCGTCTGGATGTAATAACACATTGCTCGCTGCTCCTGGACAAATCACCTCGCCGAACTATCCGAACCTCTACCCAAATTATCTTGAATGCTTATATCATTTGACAACCGATGGCGGATACAGGTAAATTCTAGTGTTTAAAATGTATAAATTGTGGAAATTAATCAGAATTCGATTGGATTTCGATGAGGTGCAAACCGAGAGATGCTGTGATATTATTGTTGTTCACGATGGACCGGAGTTGAGTAGCCCGGAAATGGGAAGGTTGCCATCAGACGTTGTTTCAAGTGCTGAAATTGAAAATTGTTTTCAGACTCAGCGGAAGCATCCCCGCTCACACGAAAATCTTCCAGTCCACTTCAAATTCTATGCTTGTCACGTTCACAACAGATTCATCAGGTTTGAATGTTGACAGATTCTCGGAAATTTTTCATTTTGTTTTAGGTCAAGCAAAGGGATTCCGAGCATATTATGGAGCTGTGTAAACAATAATTTAATTTTTGTGTTTTCATAAAAAATTGAAAATCTGAATGACTGTTTCAATGAAACGTGAAATTATTGATTAATGTAGTTGCGATTTTTAGCAATAAATAAGCGAATTCGCGGAAAATTTGATGGGATCAAGATAAGATGGATCAAAAAGTGTCGAGATTCACTCAGTCAGCATTTCGCGGAATGACCTTAATTCCGCGTTTCTCTTTTGTCTTGTTCTATTCCATTCGGCCCGCTATTTATCACGAAATCGTTCATTTTCTCCAAACACACACCAATCATGCGACTTTTCACTTCATTTTTACTTTTCCTCATTTATAAAGGTAATTTTTAAAAGCAAGCTGCAAGATGTTTTCGAATATTTTCATTTTTAGGAGGTCGGGCAAACGAAAATCCCGAAGAAATCAGCGAATGCTTGAAGAAATGCCTGACACCCATGGCAAAACTGGAAAGAAGCTTTTCTTATGTATTTAACAATTTTGAAAAGGTTCATTTCGTCCGTAATTGGTGTTGAATGGATGAATTGTATTTAGGTTTGCGATTTGCTCGAAGATTCCGCATTCTGTGCCAGAAAGTGTAGTCAGGAGGATCAGAGGAAGTTCTACCAGTACACAACGTTTTATAGAATTTATTGCGTTGATTATGAGGAAGGTTTTCAAAAATTCTAAAAAAAACTGTTATGTTCTGAAAATACAATTTTCAGAACTCCAAGAGCATTTGACTTGCATCGCAAAAGCGGCGAAAGAAGCGGACAATGGTAAAATGAGGCGTGAATTGTTTTTCTCCCAAATTCTAGTGTTTAGTGTGCAAAGACAAATGCCGAAATGCGCATAAAGTGGAGAAGACGGCGTCGAAAGAGGCCCGAATGAAGAAAGATTGCTTGTGAGCAGATTTTGGGATTTGCTTTTTTTTTATTTTGGAAACTCGATGAGCGAAGAAAAATTTTGTGACACAAATCTTTTGGTTTTTGATCACTCTAATACAGATTTAATTCCTTTTTGGTGTAAAACTGGTTTTCTGTGGTTTTAAAGGTCAATTTAGTTCAAGAGATAGCCTATTTCAGGACGATTGAATGTACAACGATCTGCTACTTTGATGAGTTGGCTGAGGAATGCCCAGAAGCTAAAGACGCCTTAATGGTATATAAGCGATGCGCCTTTAAAACCAATTTTTGGTTTTTAGAAGGTCAATATTGGTCAGATTCACTCTTTGACCGCTTCCATTCATCCGTTGACTATGGAGAAGATGGAGCCAGAATGCCGCAATATTCATAACACCGACTACATGAGAACCAAATTGCAATCATCGACATCGTCTTTGTTGCTTGACCATAATGGAAATGAGAACACTGAAACTGAACAGTGAGAACAATTTGATAGCGAATTGAAACATAATAAATACGACTTGATATTTTGTTCAATGAAACGGAAATTGATCGCTGATTGATTGGTTATTTCACTAAAAATGACGTTTTCAAATGTTTACCCGCTTGCCCACAATTTTTTTTCGTGAAAACTGCTTTCCAAAATATTTCTATAATATAAAAGATGATTCAGCGAGACGAGACATATTATATTGATGATAGAAAGTTTTCCTCGGAAAACGCCATTATATTAAAAATGAATGTATTTTTGAATTATTTACACACACGCATCGCCACTTTATGTGTATTGACTGTTAAAAATTGATATAGATAACGGTTTTAGTTTGTATTTTATCCTCAATTGTTTACCCAGTTTGAAATTAAGAGCTTATGACGTCAATGAGCAAAAGAGAGTCGTTTTGAGCTTTTTGCAGAAAATTGAACGACTTGAAAGCTTTTTGTTGTGGATGCTCGTCATTTATGAATTGCCTTTAATGGGCAAGAAGAAGCTTTTCCAAAACCAATTATGAGGATACGATATAAAAAATTGCTTCCAGAAGGTTAACATCCAAAAAAGGGCATCCCAAAGATGAAGCATGTGCGCTCCTTTGAGAAACCGTGTATACACTGTACGACAGTTTGCGTACCGCTACTCATTTCAAAGCTAGTTTTAACATGATAGCTTCTTCTACTATTTATTTATATTTAAGAATTTTTTCTATTTTTTTAATAATTCCGCTATATTTTTAATATTTACGTTGAAAATTGAAATATTACATTACATCGCGTAATAGAATATCCATTTTTTCTCGCCCATGTTGTTTTCTTGCCGTCGTTGCCTCTCTTCTTATGAATTGAGGAAAAGATGTCAGGCTAGCAAAAATCAAATGTGGCTTAGCTAATTTCCATGGAAACGTACATGGATTAATAATGTGTTGGGCGGCGGAAACGTTTGTTGACACACCGTTTGTAACACCATTTGATAATTTCTGCGTGCGATTTGATCGGTCATCGATCGTTCAGACCTTCCGCCAATCAATGCCGCATTTTGACCCTCAAAACCACAATTTCTGAGTTTGAATACCCCTTCCTAGAGTATTGTGTTGCAAAAGGCATTTTTCTTCGAAATTAGTAGCTTTGTTTGCTTTTGGTGAGCATTTACTATAGAAAGTGTATTCCTGCGCACCGACGCACTCTGTTTATACTTATATCAAACAAAAGGCTGCACCAATTCCTATTAATAATCTCGAAATCGTTAGTATTTCTTCTCCTTTTCTCTTCTTTAAAAAAGTAGTCCTCGAATTCATGGAATCCACTAAAATTGAATCTCGAATGTTTTCTTGTTGAACGACTTCAAGTTGAAAATGGAAGTTTTTATCCCAGTCGCTTCCGTCTCTTTCTCGCACACGTTGTTCAAAAAAATAAAAAAAAGTTTTTTTTTCGCTCTGCTCAATATGTTCTTCGTTGGTCCGACAACGTCATAGCGCGCGCGCTCGAGCACGCCTTCTCTGTCTCTCCCTCTCTGAATTCCTTGACAACCCTATCGAGAAGCGACGGCGAAGAAAACGAAAGCTCGGGGTTGTGTGCGTATGTCTCTCTCTCAATCACTAGAGCTATTTTATGTGCTCCGTACCGCCGGCACAGAAGCCAGCGAAGCAAATCGCGAGACAATGCGCAAAGTCTTGAGACGCGCAAGAAGCTTGCCGATTTTTCTGCTTCTGCACACTATATAGCTTCTGCCTGCTCGTCTCAATTCGCATAGACATTTGCCGAGTTGTCTGCGTCTCTCACTCCATCGCCACACGCCGCTTTTGCCCGCCATTTCCCAGGCCGTAAGTTTTGTCTCCCCCACAGGCCGCTGTATGTGCGTGTGTGTGTGTTTGTTGCGCCCCCTATTTTGCTTTCCCCACCCATTACCAGCCGGTTCTCTTGATTCGATTTTGATTTGACCTTTGTTGATGATGATGATCTTGCCCGATGTGTGTCTGGCTAGTTTCGATCTTGATAAAACTGTTTTTTTCCACCGACGGCTCTCAAATGAGGTTGCGATGGCGAAGAAAATGGTCGCAGCCAATGAGAAATTTTTAGTTCGAAAATGTTCAGAAAAAAGTAGTGTCTTTTGGAGACGTGTGTCTTTCAAAGTGTCGCGAACTCGCTAAGATTTCCATTTCCGGCGACATCGTCTTTTATTGATAAGGAACTCCTCCCATTCGTATCAGTTTAATTTTCACCGTCGCTTGCCTGGGGGCCCCTTCATCACTCAACACAACATCGACCTCAATATTTACCGGCGATAATTGACCAATTTCTATTTCGAGCGCACGACCTTCTCGTCGCATGTACATATGTTGCGCGGCTCAAAACGAGACGAGACCTTCAAAAATTCGATTCGATTCGTTGCGTTTTTGGGTTCACTCATTCTCTTTCTCTCTCAACACCGCCATCACCACCAACCAACCACCGCAAAAACCCTCCCTCTTCTTCATCTGCTTCCTCTTCGTTTTTTTTTGGTTGGTTGGCTCGTTGGCTTGGTTTTGACTAGTGTGTCCGCCGCTCTCGTTAACAATCTCAGAAACGAACGACAATTTGCTCATTTCCAACGAGTTTGTTTTTTTCAGGGTCAAAATGGGTAAGAAAGACAAAAAAGCGGAGATCAATGATCTCAAGCAAGAAGTGTCCATGGATGAGCATACCATCCCACTCGAGGAGCTCATCGCACGTCTCGGAACCAACGTCGAAACGGTAAGATTTTTCTTTTTCTTCAGCAAAAAAATGACAAAAGATCTGCGAGAGACCCATAAAAAGGCGTCGTTGCGTCCCAAAATCTAATAAAATTGTAATGGCGTGTTGACATGATTCTTTTTCAGGGGTTGACGCGCGCCAGAGCCGCCGAGCTTCTCCAGAAGAATGGTCCGAACGCTCTCTCGCCACCCATCACCACACCAGAATGGATCAAGTTCTGTAAGAACTTGTTCGGTGGATTTGCGATGCTCCTTTGGGTTGGTGCTATCCTCTGCTACATCGCCTACACTGTCGACTACTTCACCATGGAATACCCATCAAAGGATAATTTATACCTCGGAATTGTGCTTATGACTGTCGTTATCATCACCGGATGCTTCCAGTACTATCAGGAAAGCAAGTCGTCTAAGATTATGGATTCGTTCAAGAACATGGTGCCAACTGTGAGTTTTTAAAAGTTCCATGATAGTTTCATCTGAATGTTTCAATATTTTCCAGTTTGCCAACGTCCACCGTGACGGACAGAAGCAGCCAATTCGCACCGAGGAGCTCGTCGTTGGAGATATCGTCGAAGTCGCGGTTGGCGCTCGTGTGCCAGCCGATATTCGTATCATCTCCGCGTTCGGATTCAAAGTCGACAACTCGTCGCTCACTGGAGAATCTGAACCACAACCGAGATCTGCTGAATGCACCAACGAGAATCCTCTCGAGACCCGCAACATTGCGTTCTTCTCCACCAACGCCGTCGAGGGATCTGCTAAAGGTAATGATATTTCGGTGATTCTGAGAATATGAATTGTACGATTTTCAAGGTGTCGTCATCTATACTGGAGATAACACCGTTATGGGACGAATTGCCCATTTGGCTTCTGGACTTGACACCGGAATGACACCAATTGCCCGCGAAATCGAGCACTTCATCCACCTTATTACTGGTGTCGCCGTCTTCTTGGGAATCTCGTTCTTCATCATTGCCTTTGTTCTTGGATACCATTGGCTCACCGCCGTTGTGTTCCTTATCGGTATCATTGTCGCCAACGTTCCAGAAGGTCTCATCGCCACTGTCACTGTGTGCCTCACGTTGACCGCCAAGAGAATGGCCAGCAAGAACTGCTTGGTTAAGAACTTGGAAGCCGTCGAGACACTCGGATCCACGTCGACAATTTGTTCCGACAAGACCGGAACATTGACCCAGAACCGAATGACTGTTGCCCACATGTGGTACGACAAGACAATTCATGAGTGCGATACCACTGAAAATCAAACCAGCCAGGCCAAGAGATCTGGAGACACATTTGCGGTATGAAGTCATTCATGAATTCATTTTAAGCGTATTTTTGTTGCAGGCTCTTGTTCGTGTCGCTTCCCTTTGCAACTGCGCCGAATTCAAGGCGGGACAACAGGATATCCCAGTTCTTCGTCGTGAATGCGTTGGAGACGCTTCGGAGATTGCTCTTTTGAAGTTCACCGAATTGACGGTTGGAAATGTGATGGATGCTCGTCAAAAACATACAAAAGTTCACGAGATTAAGTTCAACTCCACCAACAAATACCAGGTAATTCATTTAATTGTGATGACATTTCACATTGTTTTTAGGTCTCGATCCACGATAATGGGGATGACTACCTTCTTGTCATGAAGGGAGCCCCGGAAAGAATCCTCGACGTTTGCTCGACAATGATGGTTGATGGAATGGAATTGCCATTGGACGACAAACTCCGTGCGGACTTCAACACCGCCTACCTTGAGCTTGGAGGAATGGGAGAGCGTGTCCTCGGCTTCTGCGACTTCAAACTTCCCGTCGATCAATTCCCGAAGGGATTCAAATTCGACTCCGAGGAGCCCAACTTCCCATTGAAGAACTTGAGATTCGTGGGACTTATGTCTATGATCGATCCACCACGTGCCGCTGTCCCAGACGCTGTTGCCAAGTGTCGTTCTGCTGGTATCAAGGTTGTCATGGTCACCGGAGATCACCCAATCACTGCTAAAGCCATCGCGAAATCTGTTGGAATCATCAGCGAGGACACCGAAACCGTTGAAGACATCGCTATTCGTCGCGGAATTCCAGTCGAGCAGGTCAACCCACGTGAAGCTAAAGCTGCCGTCATCCACGGATCCGATCTTCGTGATATGAGTGAATCACAGCTTGCCGATATAATCAAAAACCACAGCGAAATTGTGTTCGCCCGTACATCGCCACAACAGAAGCTCATGATTGTCGAAGGATTCCAGAAGCAGGTAGGCAATCGGAATAATTTTTTGAATTATTCGTTTTTTTCGTTCAGGGTCAAATTGTCGCTGTCACCGGAGACGGTGTCAACGATTCGCCAGCTTTGAAGAAGGCCGATATCGGAGTTGCTATGGGTATCGCCGGATCCGATGTGTCCAAACAAGCTGCCGACATGATCCTTCTCGATGATAACTTCGCCTCCATCGTCGTCGGTGTTGAAGAAGGGCGTTTGATCTTCGATAACTTGAAGAAGTCGATCGCCTACACGTTGACATCCAACATCCCCGAAATCTCGCCGTTCCTTACCTACATTCTTTTCGGAATCCCACTTCCTCTTGGAACCGTCACCATCTTGTGTATCGATCTTGGAACTGACATGGTTCCAGCCATCTCTCTTGCCTACGAAGAAGCCGAATCTGACATCATGAAGCGTCAGCCACGTGACCCAGTGCGCGACAAACTTGTCAACGAACGTCTCATCTCGCTCGCCTACGGACAAATCGGTATGATCCAAGCATCAGCAGGATTCTTCACCTACTTCTGGATTATGGCTGATAATGGATTCATGCCGTGGGATCTCTATCAGCTCCGTGCCCAATGGGACTCGCGCGCTTACAACAACGTTCTTGACTCGTACGGACAAGAGTGGACTTATGCGAACCGCAAGATCCTCGAATACACCTGCCAGACCGCTTACTTCGTCTCGATCGTCGTTGTGCAATGGGCTGATTTGATCATCTCGAAGACCCGACGCAACTCGCTCGTCCAACAAGGAATGTCCAACTGGACTTTGAACTTCGGTCTTGTCTTTGAAACCGCTCTTGCCTGGTTCATGTGCTACTGCCCAGGACTCGACAACGGTCTCCGTATGTATGGATTGAGGTAAGAATCGGTCATGGTCGTTATTTGAACTTAAATATTTGTTTTTCAGATTCTCTTGGTGGTTCTGCGCCCTTCCATTCTCGATCCTCATCTTCGTCTATGATGAGATCCGTCGCTTCTTGATTCGCAAGTATCCGGGAGGATGGGTCGAACGCGAGACTTACTATTAATTTCACAATTGTTTATTTTTTTGTGTAATTTTAGCAAACTAGCCTATTTCATTGCGTTCCAATCACCACTTTAAGAATATGTGTATGATGATTTCTGCGATAATCGAATGACCCCCTCGATTTTCGAAGAAACTATCTTATTCTGTTCATTGTTTCATTTTTTTGTGCTCGTCAAACACTGACTGTAGTGATTTGTTTTCAGATCATTCCCCCCCCCCCTCCCCCAATCGATTTTGAGAATTCTCTTCAATATTTTCAGCTTGATAGCTTTATACCTTGAGCGCTAAACCAGAACCCATTTGCAGATGATGATTCCAACTTTTCGTTTTTGGGAGTGTTTTTTTGCTTTGTATTCGTTGAAATTCTTGTCCATGCGAATAGTTTCATCATCGAACCGTTCAACTCGATTGTGCCTCGATTCCCCGTTCATTCATTCAAACAAAAATGATTTTTTTTTTGTTTCTTTTGTCGATTTTTTCTAGTTGAGATAAGTAACACGTAATAAATGAGAGAATTTTCCGAGCTCGATTCCATCGTTGCCATTGACGACCTCCGTCGGCCGCGGGGAGCCGCATAAATAATAGATACGGTGAGAACACTTTGTACGTACAACACGCCGGATATGCCGGGGCCATTTTTCATTCGTTGTGAATGAAGCTGCCAATTTTTTTTGGTTAAGATTTAGTCGACGTCCGTTTTGCGCGTCCACTGAGCCGTGTCTGTAAATTGGAAATTAGAAGGCTGGCAGTGACGCAACGACGGCAGATGGTCGGTTAATTAGATATCGCCACCCCCCCCGTTTGACACACAGTTTCCCCGCAATCGTTATAATCCTTATAAAGGAGGCGATTCGAGGGCAACATGCGTCTACGAGAGCGTGTTTCCTGTTTTGAGCAATCTATATTTGTAGAGTCGATAAAGTGGCTTTGAAACTCAATCTACTTCATATTGACTCAAAAGGCCATTTAAGATTGGCACCTTGGGGTCATTGAATTTGCATATTTATGCATATTTCATTAGAATGACCACCCATGCGGGCTTCATATAATTAAATCAATCATCATCTCAGCTCGCACAGATTTCGCGCATCGCCCCCACCCCCGTTCTCGTCGTCATTTATTATTGCTCGTTCATCAATGAGTTCAATTCTTTGAATATTCTGAAAATTTCGGATTTTGATGACGTCAGCCATCTGAAATCTGTTTTAATGGAGCGATTCCGTTTTGAAGAAAAAAAAAGAAAAACGATTTCCATTTATTTATTTTTTTAGGAGTGTATAACACATTTTAAAGAAATGCTAAAATTCAATTTAAAATTGGCAATTTATAGAAAGTTTCTGGAACAAAAGAGCGGCTAAAAAAAATAAGCAAACTTATTTTTATGATAATTTAAAGGCCAAGACAGAAAAAAAGAAAAATAGAGAACATTTCAAAGCAGTAATGATTATTTTTCTTTTTTTTTCAATTTTTCTGCATTCTATTATTTTCACATTGAGTCCCGCAACGACCATTTCTGACAGTCGATTTTTGTAGAAACTGCTTATAGGCAACAATTTCTTGATATCATTGTTATCTACGCATGCGCCTTTATAACCTACCTTTACTTCTTTCTATTTTAAAATAATTGTTTCGCAAGTGCAGCCTTCAGCAAAAAAAAGTTGCGTGAACCTTTTTTGGTTGGTTGGACTGAAATCAAGATGACAGCTGCATTTCTTTTTTATCCTTTCGAACCATCTATATATATTTATGAAGTTTTCTGATGTTTCCTGGCCAGTAAATTTTCCTCTTTTTCCAAGTAAATGGCGGCTTGTATTCGCACTTGAATATTAAATTACTTTGAAAAAATTTTTGCGAAAAAAATGACGGCAAACAACGCCTAAATCCGGGTCGTTTGCTCAATTAATTGAAATGTGATATGTCCGGAATTCGCACAGCTCTCATCCCATCCCAATCGCCCTCCCTCTCGACGCCATCAATATTTAATCGCGTTAATTTTGTGCCGGGATTACCGGCTGACTGAATAAGAAATGCGGCAAAACCAATTAGCAATAGGGTAGGGGGGCATCGTCAGGAAGACCGTGAATGGGCGGCGGCTGGTCACCACATGTGACGCCATTTTTAAGAGTTCTTGTTGTTTCGCCACCAATGTGGTGCACCATTCAATCCAACTGTTACATTTTCCAGTAGCCCATTCCCATTCTTTTTTTTTGGAAATATCTCGACGATACTTTTGAAAATTTTTTGTTCTGTTCGTTTGGGTCTCGTCACGATCAAGTAACATCACAATTATTCTTGGATAAAATTACATTTCAACATTAGTCATTTTTTTTCTCGTTCAACATTTTCACAAAACTTTGCTGCGGACATTTGTCTCGCAATTTGCACCAATGCGAAATTTATGCAGATTTTTCGGCGAAAATTTTCAGGCTCCACCAAATTGCGGGGGGTTTTCGCGGTTTGCTCGCTGATGAATATCCTATTATTGGAGTGTCTGCGTCTCGCCGATTTGCCTACACACTCGTCTTTGAAATTGTCTCATTTCGAGCACGAAAAGCGTCATCCAGATGAATTTCAGAATTATAGCAAAAAAAAACAGTTATTGCGTTCACCTCTATATTTTTGAAATACTGTCAAATTGTTGTAGAGTTGGGTCTCGCAACATGAGTGTCGATTTACGTTGCTAAGTGGTGAATTGTCCGTGTGGAGTACACACCAAACAAGCCGTCGTCTCGAGACCATTTATGGCGTTTTGCCGCGCGATTTCGACAATTGAAATATATATATACAGTGCGTTGCAGAATTATAAGGCCACCCCCAAATTTGAGCGCCGCGCAATGATTTCGATATTTTGAGACCAACCAGTGTTAAAATCGTGTTCAGCATGAAAAATAACCTATATGTACCAATTTTTATGTTAGTATCTTCAAAAGTAACCGCGCAGTGGTCCAAAATCGTTTTTTCGAGCGGTGCAGAATTATAAAGCCACCCCCATAAAACGGACTTTTTCGCATTTTTTTGAAACTTTGGCGAGACCAATGTGCATAAAAATTGTTGTGTGGCTTTGAGAACCTACAGTGGTCCTTATTTTTCACTTTTTGAATCATTTTTAAATGCCACGTGGTCGCTGTCTTAGTGCTTCTGAGCAATCTCAGATTAGCGCATTCAAAACGGTAGGATGGTCGAGCCGTAAGGTTGCGAAAAATTTAAATGATCCGAAAACATTCGTAGACATCTTTGTGAAGGATCCAACTCGTGTCAACATGTCGCAAAAGGCAGGCGGCAGAGGAAAACTGGATTATCGCGCTAATCGAGCATTGATTCGAGCAGCTTCGAGCAGTATGAAGTCTACAAATGACATCAAGAAGAAGCTAAACATCGACAAAAGCAAGTGGACAGTTTGGGGAGCCAGCAAGGATAACCCCAGCATTGCTAGAGAAAAAAAGGAGCCGGCCCCGCGACTCACAGAGGACCATAAAATTCGACGCCTTGAGTTCGCATTCAAAAATATGAATACGGATTGGAACAAGGTGCTTACATTCGAGAATATTGTGAATAATAGCCATTCAAACTTCAACAGGTTATTTTTTCCGATGAAAAAAAAAATAATTTGGATGGCCTAGACGGCCATAACAGTTGCTGGCCCGAGTTATGAAAGAATCACCTCCTGCTTTCAAAACTCAATTTTAGAGAAGGAAGCGTGATATTATGGGGGAAGCGTTTTCGGAGGCCGGATTTCTGGAATTGGCTTTTCTGACGAGTAGGGTGGACTCTTCGGATTATCAGAATATCCTTGAGAGCCATATTCTTCCATTCCGACGTCATTATTGTCCTTTTTCAACAGGACAATGCGGTCATTCATGTAAGTCGGTCTACTTTGGACTGGCTTCAGTCTCACAGTGTGGACGTTCTCGACTGGCCAGCCTGTTCTCCTTTTTGGAGTCCCATGTAGAACGTCCGGGGAGAATTAGTACGGCATCTCTATGGCCAAGGAAGCAAATTTGAAGAGTTGGCGAGCTCAAAACCGAAATCGTAGTCGAATGGAAGACGTTAGAGCAAAAATTCAAATCTAAATCGACCCAATATGTTTAAAACCTTCTCAAATCTATACCAGATCGTGTTTTTAATGTTCTTACCTCGAATGGAGGTGCCACTAAACATTAAACTGTCGTTATTTTTGAGTTTATAACTTGTTTTATGGGGGTGGCTTTATAATTCTGCACCGCTCGAAAAAACGATTTTGGACCACTGCGCGGTTACTTTTGAAGATACTAACATAAAAATAGGTACATATAGGTTATATTTCATGCTGAACACGATTTTAACACTGGTTGGTCTCAAAATATCGAAATCATTGCGCGGCGCTCAAATTTGGGGGTGGCCTTATAATTCTGCAACGCACTATATATATATATATATATATATATATATATTCATCTTCGCCCATATCTTATTATTTCTCGTTCACCACATAACAATGAGCGATTGACGGAGCTGCCCCTGAAATTAATTTTATGTGATTGAGAATGGCGCTCGCTAACCCTCGTTTTCCTTCCTTCCTGCCTTCGATGCCACCCGAGAGGCCGACTCTCCTCCTCATCAAAAAGCTCATCATTTCGCCGTCCGGCGGTCGTCCAGCATTCAATTTTCTCAATTTTTTGGTTCCCTTTTCTGCACCTGCTTCTTCAGCTTCTTTCTATTGTTTTTTTTGGTGTCTCTATTGCTCGGTTTCGAAATATCGCCATATCTGATGAGACGAGAAATTGTCTACAAATGCCGATTTATATAGTCTGACGCCCACTAGTTGTAGTTTGCTCATGGACCGTCTCCAGGGAATTTTTTTTTTTTGTTAATTTGGTCCCATGTAGTTTTGATATTTTGTCTGCAGATTCATACTGCATGCGCATTTTATCACCGCAATTTTTTTTTCTGTTAAAGTTTAATTTAGAAATTTGATCTGGGTCTCGCAGCCGTTTCTTTTTTTTTAATCCAGAAACATACAATTTGAAACGTCGGATTGTTTTGGGACGGGGAAGCAAAAATGTCGGCAGATGCGAGAATTCATTTCGAAACATTCCTCCTCTTTAGTATAGCGAATATGAGTTGCGCAACTCGCAGATTCATCCATCATATTCGAAGGCCCCCCGGCAAAAGATTAGGAAGACCGAAAGACGTCTCGAAACAATGAATTAATTCGAATTCATTTCGCCTCGAAGAGTTTTCCCTCCGGAATGGAGAAGAAGAAGAAGAAGAATGGGGGGAAGAAGCTGAACATTTCGTCGTCGTCGTCGTCGTTGTTGTTGTTGTTGTGCAATACATATAAGCAAGAAGAGATTGGCCGATGAGATACAAGACATGCAAATTATGCAAGCAAAATCGTTGCGAGGGTGTGCCCCCCCCCCACCAACGAGGGTGCACGACTTCACCAACGCACACCCAAAAATGGCGCAATTCGACGCCAAATGACTAGCGTGTATTTTATTACCAGCTAGCGTCTCTTCGGCGACCGATAATTGACCTATTTTGCCTCGTTTTGCTCTTGCACTAGTTTTTTCTTGTTTCCCATTGTTCGAAATTCCAATTTTTTGTCCTCATGAAAGTTTTAAAATTGCGAAAAATTGCTTGAAATTGTGAGAAATCGATTTTTGATGCACTTTTTTGGATTTTCAGCTTTTTTTTTAATATGCCATATTACAATTTAATTTTTGAATCGATTTTGCGAAACTCGATAATCATTCAAAAATATTTAAAAATTCGTTTTCGTCGAGAAAAAATAATTAACAAAATAAATGCAAAAATTGTTTTTTCTTTGGTTTTTTTTTCATTTACCAAATCATTGCAAAAAAAACTAAGGTCTTCTTGAAAATAGAAGCCTAATTATTTGCCAACTATCATGGTTCAAAGGCGCATGGGACCAGTAAGCTCCGCCCACTTGCTCTTCAACAATTGTATTGTGATTAGCTTTAGTGGTTTGCATCCCAGAAAAACCTATTTAATTTTCAATTACCCTCTTCAAAAGCACCATTCTCATTTCATTCGAGAAAAAAAAATGCATGTGCCTCGTTGGTATGCAACATTTTTTGAATTTGCATAATTCCACCGCACGTTTCTGCCAACAGAAAAAAATCATCATTTCGTGAAACCGGCTTTCTATTTATTATATCAAATAATTGCCTTCTTTTTCTTTTTCACTTCTCACGGAATACATAATTTTGGTCATATCCGTTTTTGCAGATGGGCGACTCGTCGAGTCCGTCGCCTTTGCGTTCGCCGGAGGATGAAGAGCTGCTCGCAAAATCGTCGAGAATCCGATTATGGGTTAGCAAAAGAATGAAGGAGGTACGAATTTTATTGCCTTAATATCGCTTGCCAATTATTTAAATTGATTTTCTTAACACTATCTGAAATCATTCCAATTTTTCTACAAAAATGGATCTAAAATTGATATTTAAGGTTTTGAAATTTAATGGTACAATTCAGATTTTATAAATCTAGAAAAAATAATAAAAATCCTGTTAAAACTGTAATTTTCTTCCAGAATCTGCAGAGCGTATATAACCGTTTTTTTTTTTAATTTTTTTCCCCAAAATTGGCACATCCTCATTTTTTTCTCCATGAAAATCGGTATCTAAACCGAAAATTTTGCGTTTTCTTCACCTCTTCCTTTTGTCATTGACCCGAAAAGAATTGAAAATGACCAAATATGGTCATATGAGACCAAAAAAAGAGCAGTTATTGCGATCGAAACGGGCTTTTATTTCCATTTCTAGTTCATTCAGTTTAAGAAAAAAAAGCAAGCCGTTTAACAAAAAAAAGTCAATTTTGTTCAGTAACCAGTCTGTTAATGAAAAGGAGAAGCTGAAAAAGATATCTGATTTTTTTAAAATATTCTTGCAACGAAGGTCCTCGCAACAAAAATTTTCTTCAATTCGCTAATTGACCATCTTATCTTTAGAATTTTTCTAGAATTGTCCTATCAGCTTGCTTCTTTTTGAAGCATTCTCTCAACTATTTTATCATTTATTCCTACTCCCATCTAATTTATTTTTTTGCTATTCATTCTCATGTTACTTGTTAGTTCTCAAGGTGCTCAATTTTTTTTTGATTCGATTCGCTCATGTTCGGCATCTGGATTGTCTCAAGTTACACGAATTCCGAGATTAGGTGTACGCCACAAGACGAAGTGCAGGCGAGCCGAGCCATTACGTGTTGCTCTGTGTTCCGGATCGAGTTTCCGTTTTTGCCAATCAAAAAGTCGACGTTTCCTTTTGCATTTGACTATATTTAGAAATTGCTCGTTTCAACGTTTTATAAAAGCAAAAAACCCTCTACTTATGACGAATAACTTATGCGACTAAAACCATCTGCGGACAATTTTGCGGTCGAGATCGGCGATTTATCTAGTCAAGTACAGAGCATCGCATCCTGATTTTTGAAGATTTTCGAGAATCTGCCCAATTATATCTAATTATTTGCTAAATAATTGAGCGGCTTCTTTTGTGAGTCTCAAATATTTGCGCTGGTTTCATATTGTCCATCGTTTTGTAAAAATACCAAACCGTTCTTTGGAACCATCGCTTCAAAACCCGAATTTGATAATTTGAATCCAAAATTTTAAAATACAGTAATTAAAGGCGCATAGTGTTTGTGTTGTTCTGCTGTGCAAGATTTGGAGGGAAAAACTCGTGTTTTTTGCGCATTCTGCATTCTACCATTAGCTTCTTGAATTGTCCGCAGATAAGAATAAATAAAACAAAAAACTATTTTGCATTCCGTATATACGTTGTTTCATGCGAAACGTCTCATGGGACATTGTCACCCACCTGCCCGCCAAACATTTGAACTTGGCGCCTTCCACCACCAACCTGAAAAAAAAAACGGGCGGCCTTGAACATTATATTGTTGCAATTTATCTTCATTCACACCTTCGGCCCGGTGTTGTTTTTTTTGTTTCAACCTCCTCCTCCTTCCTCTTCTTCCTCTTGTTCTCCTCATCGCTCGTTATGTGTGTATATATCCGTTTGTTTAATGACACCGAACCCCCTTCCACGACAATTAAACCAAAAGTATGTATGTTAATAAGCAATCAGGTCGCTTTTTCCCCGATTGCTCATCCTCCCCCGCCCCCCTTCTCTTCACCCGCTATACTACTATTATACATAATAAAGGCATCGGCAAAAAGTGTTGTTCATTTCGAATTCCAAAACGCATTTTCGATTCTCGAATGTGAATGCAATTTTTTGCTGTCCTTCTTTTCTTCCGCTCCTGCTATTAGTATAGGTTTTTTGTCTTCAAAACACCTGCGTTTTGTTTTCCTTCTGTGGCTCCAATTCATCATTCAGATTGAATCCCACCCAACTTTTTTTTTGTTTGCTCTTGCTCCTTTATGGGTCCCTTCGGTGTGCCGGATTAAAAGCTCAACTGGCCGCCAAGCCTACCTAGGATTGCTTTTAAGGCCAACACAATTTGATAGATTTGCTGGGACGCCTCTAGGCAGCCGATTGGTTTTTTTTGCACAGAATTGGTTTTTTTTCGAGAACATTCAATTTTTTGATAATTTTAATGCTTCTCGGAGGGCATAAACTTTGATAGTGTGTTTTTTTTTCTTGTCTGCCGGGACCTCTTGATACTTTCGAACATCTGGCGCCAATCGCACCTCACGCGTGCCCCCGCCGCCGCTCGAAAAAAAAATTGTGTGTTCTCCAACTTTTGCAACCCCGCGATTGCACCAAAACTCACCGTATAGTCGGATTCGTATTGCATATCATTCAGTTTTGCGAACCGAATACCATTTTTGCAACATGACACACATCATTTCGGCAATGTTCGCTAGCAATCGGGTGAGTATTTGTCACTATTGGGCACAGTTAATTCTGTTGCCTACAGTATGTTCGGTGTGTTGCTAAAAATCGTTTCGAGACATTAAAAGAAGCTGGACACACACACAATAACTGTATTACCTTTACATTACTCACGCTTACGCGCAGGGTTGTCAAAATGATGGCCCTGTTTTTTTTTCGAATCTCATCAAGATTAATTTTATTGTGATCATCTGCGGACATCTTCCGGAATGTGCGGCAATTCAAACATCCGATCTACAGGGCTCCGACCCGTCCCGAAACCGTTTTTAACACACAATATTTAAACTATGAAGTTGTCCGCAGTAATAACCATATTTATATGCATCAACCAACATTATAAAATATTTATTCTGGAATATATATGTATCATACAATAATAATTGTAACAATTTTTATTATTTCCAAGATAGAGTTGTAAAAAAATGCACATTTAATGTAATTTTTATATTTTCTTCATGAATATATCCAAATTTAATATTTCTATTTTTATTCCTACTTTAGTGTAGGTGAAAAGTAGAAATGTAGAGAGAATAGTTTTTTTTAATTAAGCGTGTTCAAAATTGTACAATTATGAACAGGCTTTAAGTATTTTCTGATTCCCCTAAACAGATTTCACAAAAAAAAAACACTTAAAACCATATAAGCAAATATCGTACCAGTTTTTTTTTCAAAATGGGCCTAGGCCCCGTAGACTGTCAGCAGCTGAAATAATCCATCTAGACCAATATTTTCTGTAGAATTGGGCGATTACAACCCTGCAACGTGTCCATAGCACCTCAAGATTTGAATGAAACTTCTGGCCCTTGCCCGCAAGTTGTGTAGACTTTTTTTATTGTTTGACCAATTCGTTTCTCCTCAAAATCCATTGACCATTCCACCTCATTAATCTGGGTTGTCGATTTCCGTTCGAAATGTCGAATTCTCCAACCCGACCGCCCATCCTATCATAATGAAATGCGAGAACGTTTTGCAATTATCCGCGCGAGCTTCTCCTCATCGAATCTGGTGCTGCTCGACGCTTTAAGTGTCACCATCTTCTTCTTACTATGCGCCTATTCAAATTTTTGGTGAACGCGTTTTGATGGATGAAACCCTTATGCATTTGGAATGCGCTTTTTGACAAATTGCACCCGGGTCCGTTGCCCATTTCAAAACCAAAAACTTCATTCACCATCCTTGCCGTTTTTTTTTCTGGGGCTTATTTCCACTATTACGATGTCTTCATTTAATTAAGAATGGTCGGGGGTGGGGTTGTTGGGCGGACCTCAATTTGTCATCTCCTCAAAAATTTGGGCATCCGTTTCGAATTTTTTTTCGACCAACAGCCAACATTCATTCTTCTTGTCCCTCTCTCTCTCGCTTCATTTTCTTCGCCTCTTTTTATATCCATATATGGATAACCCTTCTTTCCGTTTTACTGCACTGCCAGTAGTACTAATTACACGAAAACATGCCATTTCATTTATCGCATTTCGTGACATGCTGGTCTGATATTTTAATCCAATTTCCTGGGTTTGCAGAAGCTGCAGGAATAGGTCGTTTAAATCGAAAACAAAATTGCGAAAATGTGACCCGGAACATTGTCCGCAGGTGTCTGTTTTCATACCATCGATTTTTAATTATTCATTCCCTTTTCATTTATTTTTTTCAGTCGATAGAATACAAACATAATAATTTTAGAGAAATTAAAAAAATTGAAATTCGTTTAATCTGTAAACACCTCGGTGCAGTGTTACAGACTTTTGCACGTATTCATCGAATTGAGAATTTTTTAAAACCCAAAATAGAAAAAAAAACGCAATTGTGAATTATTATCGTAATTTTTCTGTGCTTTCCTAAAAGTCGTGCTTTTTGTTTCAAGGTTGCGCGAAAAAATAAGTTTCACAAAATTTTTTCCCAAAACGAAAAATGGTTTTATTCGATTTTTGATTTTCAAAAACCATTGCCTTTCATTGCAATTTTTGTGATAGTAATTCAAACCCAATGTTCCTTGAAATTCGCATATAATTTTTTGCGATTGTTTTAAAATCGTCTCCGAATTTCTGGATCCATCTGACAATCACTTGACGAAACAGGAATCAATTTTTGAAAACACGTTCGAGAAGCAAAAAATTCAGAAAATTTCGCGTGTCATAAAATGCGTTCTTCTTCATCGTTTTTCTTGTTCTTCAATTTCATCTTCCCCGTTTTCCGCCTCCCTCATCCCCTCGACCGCTCGGGGGGTTTTCGTTGTTGTTCGCCATACTCTCCTCCGTCTTATTCTTCCGTTCAATTCTCATCATCGCCGTCCAACGTACCCCCTTAAACAAACACAAATTTAAATGGAGGTCTTAATTTAATGAAAGCTGATATGAGCTCACAAATGCTCACATTGAAAACTGAAATGAAGAAATAAGAAAAAATGCAGAGATGTGTGTGCGTGTGTGTGTTGGAGTTTTTGCCAACTTGATAAATGTGTTTCCGACGTTTGACGAGACGACGCCCTCGTCTCCCCCTTCGGAGGCGAACAAAAAACCAGTGCTATAGTCGTTTTTGTTTCTTTTCCCCTACTTTTTGTCCATATTTTGATTGTTGAATTTCATTGATTTCACGTTGAAGCCGAAAATTTTTGAATCGGATTAATGTAGCGCAAAATGTGTGTCGACACACCGAGACGACAAAATACGGTCGCTACTAATTTATCTAAAATTCTGCAAATTTTTATATTTATTTTCACAAGCGTTCTTCATTAAATAATAAGTGCAGAAAAAATATGTGCAAGTTCCCACTATCTCTTCTTTTTTCTTCGCGCTGAATCTCTCGATGATTATCTCAATAAAATCAACAAGCTGGCTCCCGTAGAACACCGCACCTCGTGTGTCACCGATTCTTTTTTGAAAAATTGTTGCATCCAAGACACGGCGATTTTTCACTTAAACTACACACACACAAATAATGTTTCAATTCAATGTCGTTTTTTTTGCAGCTTGAGGAACAAAACGAGCGCCTTCGCGCCCAAAACCTGCGGTGTACCACTCAGCTGCAAATGCTGCGCAGTTTCACGGAGAAATCGCGGCAGATACGCGCCGACATGGAAATGAGTCGGAGTATAACCGGCACACTGCCGGTGCTTCGCGATGAGAACCGAACGTCGGACGACAGCGGGCTGACGTCAGACGACGCGGATCGCCGACAGATGAGCGCAAGCATATCCGAATGTACGCCGCGAGTGCAGCGGAAAGGCGCCGCGAGGGCATGCGCCGCCAAAAATGGAAGCCACGGATCATCAACATCGGAGTCTTCACCGTGCGAAGAAGACGGCAAGCCGATGCCGCTGCCTCGAAGAATCCCACCATCGGTATTATTTCCCTTAAAAATGATGACAAAAATTTTCATTTTTTGTAAATTATAGATGGAACGTGACAGTCTCAATTCTTATGTTGATGATTATGAATTTGACGTGGAAGAATCGTCATTTGAAGAAGTCGTCAGGAAGGGAAGTAAGAGTTACGCGGACTATGTCAATCTTCAAGAATGCGTCGCCATCAAAGATGATCATGTGCAATACAGCGAGATCGTTAAGCAGAGGTCGGTCGAGAGGGAGCAGCCTCCGATTCCGCCTTCGCATCAATCCAGAAATTGGGAGACCCGCTTGATTCATGCTGCTGAAAAATGCCTATCAATGGCAGAAGGAGCGGATTCTGAGGGAACGTCGAATGGGCCTTCAGCATCGCCGTACCATGTCTCGAATGTCTCCCAAGTGTCATCGTCGCATCGCACAGAATCGCCGGGATCGCGAAAATCGAAAATGTCGCGGCATTCGTCACCGCGGACGCCGATGTCGCATCATTCGACTGACGAGGGATCCGCATATGCTGTTCGAGATTTGTGTATTCCGCAAGGAAGCGATTATTATATTCCACCGGATGCTACTAGTCGGTATTCTGGAGGTTCGCCCAATCCTCGAACATCATTGATCCCATCGAGAGAAACGGTAATTAATAGCCAAATAAAGGAAACAATTTTTGAAATGAATATTTTTGTAGATGGAAAAAGCTGGATATTGGACACATCTCACTGATAGTCGAATCAAATCATTGAAGCGCAGATTTGTGATCCTCAAAAATGGTTATTTGAGTTTCTACAAGAATTGCGTAAGTCATACACGAAATTTGGGCTTCATGCAAAATCTTGCGAGTTTTAGAAAAACGGTAATCGCGATGAGGAGCCAACAATGCGAATCAATTTGAACGAAATTCGTTCTGTTGTCAAAATTGAGCAACAAGGGGCTGCATATGCTTTTCAGGTAATTTCTTTAACCGCAAATTAAGTTAAATTTTCGGTTTTAGCTTATCACGTCGACTGATAAGATGAGCTTTATGACGGAAAGTGAGAAGACGACGCATGAATGGGTTACCATCATATCGGCAGCCATAAAAGCTTCAACCTTGCGTGATATGGCGAGCAGGGCGACTCCAATAGATTCTTCTATTAGCGGATGGCTGACTCGGGTTCGATGTGGTCATTCGAAGAAAATTTTTGCGGCTCTGGTTAATCAAAAATTGATGTTCTTCAAAAATGCGAATGATTTGGTTGGGAATTGATGCATATTTCAAAATATTAAAAAAAGAATTTCAGGTTCCCAATGGATTTTTGTGCCTTCAGGGAGCGACTATTAGAGAAAAACACGACGGAATGGAAGACTATTCAGGGAGTAGTGATGAGCAACTTGAGACAACTCAGGAGCATCCGAATTCTCGCAAAAACAATGATAGCCTCTGCATTCAGGTAGATCAAAACTATCATATTTCAAGCATTTTTTTCGAATTTTAGATTGCCAATGAGGATCCAGTTTACCTGATCCTGCGAGGATCCGAGGAGAAGGAGAAATGGTTGTATTTTCTGAAATCCGCCAGTGGCGATGCTGCCCTTTGCGGCACTTCGTTTGAAATTCTCATTCAGCGAATGATGGCGGAGAACATTGAGAATGATTCGACAATGTGGAAGGATCTTCTTCTCACTTCGGTCGAGGACATTCCGAAGGATACACTCACGACGGTCGAGCCCGGAGAGAAGAAGAAGACGCTCGAGATCTCCAAGGCGTGCCATTTGTTCGTCTCTGTTCTCATGCGGCCACAGGCGACGCAATATCATGTGGACCTCGCGCAAAACATAATTTCGACGGCGGTTCAGCATGAATTCATTAAGAACGAGGTGTATTCGCAACTCATCCGACTCACCAGCGGTACGATGCCTTATGGACTACAAGGATGGAAGTTGCTCGCACTTGCGATTCCGATATTCCTGCCGAAACAGTATGCGCTTCTTTGGCTTCTCAAACGGCATATTCGACGATGGGCTGACAGTCCGGCGGATTCCGATGAAGCTCGAATGGCGGTGTTCTGCGAAAGTGCACTCGACCGATGTCTGAGGGTTGGCGGCAGACTCGAGGGTCCGAGTCGGCTTGAAGTGACGTCGATATTGACGCGAGACGTCACCAAAACGAAATTCCCGCACTCGATATCGGTAAGATTGCCGAATTCGGAGTACCAGGTATGACCAATTTATCCATATTCACTCGACGATCATTGATTTTAGATTGTTGAATTTGATGGATCCACTGAAATTGGGCAATGTTTGTCGTCGTTGTGCCTCAAACTCGGTATGCGACCCGCACTTCTCTCGGGCTATGCCTTGTATATGGATGATCCTGTAACCCGCACTTATCAATTGTTGAAAGGCAAACAGAAGGTAAATTAGGCATACTTAATTAGCGGTCAAATTCGCCTAATTGGTTCCAGTTATGCGACGCTTTGTCAATTTGGGAGACGCGCTCGCGTGATTCTCATCGCGGTCGAGTTTCTGCTGATTGCACGGCGGCCTTGTCACTTCGAATGCGACATTATTGGAGTCATCTGGTATGTGTTGATATATTGAATTTCATTCATCATCGTCATGTTTAGACGTCCACTGAGACGCCGATTGAACGCCAATTTCTTGTTTGGAGGTCGGCGGAAGAGATCGTGCTCGGCCGAATTCCGCTGAGCAATCAACTGTGCGATAGTCTCGCTGCCCTTTATGCTCAATTGGCTTTTGGTGATTCTCCCACTCAATATTTGAGCGATCAACAATTCGAGTTCATCTCGCAGCGATGCTACCCCCAGAAGATGTTGGATGTGGCGTGTATAAAAAGCCTTCGGTATCAAATTTCGCGTGGTTTGATTGATTCAATAATCGAAATTTAGGGCTCAAATTCATACAAATTGGAGTGAATTGCAAGGAATGACAGAACAGGAAGCGATTCGACTTATTATCCAGGTATTCCCGTTTTTTTCCTGATGAGATTTTCAAGGACCCTTCTTTAGGTTCTTACCAAATGGCCTCTATTTGGTGCCGATTTGCATGAAGCCGCTATGCGGACGAGCAATGAACGAAAAGTTTACCTGGCACTTACTGACAACACGATTACTATTATTGATCGGAGGCATTTTGTGAGTTTTGAATATTGTGAGAATTAATGAATTGTACTAGAAATTTGTCCGAAATTGTTTCAAAAATTAATTTTCGCTATTTTAGGTTATCATAATCAGAATTGATTTATTAAAAATCGGAAATTTTATATTTTAGGATGTGATCCGCACGATTCCCTACAGTACCCTGTCGACGTTTGGCCAATTCCAAACCGATTTTATGCTCACCATCATGCGACCTCTTAACCATGGTTCGCACCCTGATGAGGCACCAAAGGAGAGACTCACATTCTCAATGTCGAAAAATGAAATCGAGCAGGTTTTCCATATGCCTATATTTTTCTTGTTCAAACACTTTTTTTTCAGGTGACCCTCCATCTTGCCGAATATATTCGATGCCAGAAGCTTGTCTGGAAAGTGTCGAAATAAAATAACCAAAAACAAAAAATGATATTTCTTTCTTTTTTTTTACAACGGTGCCTCGAATCCCTTCAAACTTATGTGTGCTCATCAATTCACTTCATTTTTCATCTTCTTTCATCAACGACATTGACAAATTTGAATGAAGCTCAATTGTTTCATTTGAGAAGAGTTGCTTTAATTTATTGCCTGTTGAACTTTATAAAATAAACTAATATGTATTAAATAATTTGGGAAACAATTGTTAGGTTTATCAATAAGTGCATTAAAAATGCGATTAAATTTCCATCAATTTTAATTTTTATTCGCAGGTGACTGCGATCGAAGTGTTGGCTTCGAGTTCTTCGTTGTTGAATTGTTCCCAGACGAGGTCGCAGAAACTCTTCTTTGGAATATTTTTCGAATTTCGTTGGAAGTGGCGAAGAAAAATAGCGGAGTGGCGACGCCGGCTAGCAGGTTTGCCTTCAAATGATTGCCTTCTATGGGTTTTACTAAACGAAACCTTTCTCTACCGTATTTATGATCCTTTTCACTAGAAATGCGGTGCTCAGCTCGATTTTAAATGTTTGACAGTATAGAAATACGCCGGAACTTATCTATAACGGATTATCGTCACGAGACACAACGGGTTCACTCACTTGAAAGAATATGAACAAAATAACGGCTTGTTTCAGAATTTTGACCTCCTGCTTGTTCAGAAGCGCTTGCTTCATATAAATGATTCTTGCGATAATTGCAATATAAATTATGAAATTGATAATTGGTAACATGATTTGAATTACCAATTCCAGCTGAAATTTCAAGATGAATTTGAACAGATGATTTTTAAATGACAAAAAACCGACCACTTGAATAGCGTATGGATTGGATAAAACGTATTTCGATGGGCTCACGCAGTTCAACGAGTACTTCTGAATGTCCGATTTATATCGATATGTGCATTTGTTGAGAAACATGGTTAAATCAATGATGAGTGCCAGAAGCCATATTGCAACCAGCCAAATTTTGATGAAAGGTCTAAAAAAAAAGAAGGCTTAGAATATTCTAGAGAGATTTTCGCCAACGTCTGAAACGCCTCTTGAATATCTTTGGGCAGCCAGAAGACGAAAAATCGTTGAATTGCAATGACGAAGTTTGAGAATAGAACCCCATATGTACAGAAATCGATGATATAGGAGAATGCTAGGAAAAGGTCTGAAAACGCGTCACCATTAGAATGTGATTCATTAAAAGTCGACACAGCTGAAACCAAGGCTACAGTACCTGATCGCACAAATTCAACGGTTAGCGATGTAAACAGGGTTACTGGTATATTAATAACCAAATTTAATAATGATGATATGAAAACAAATAAAGTTAATTGGGTGAGAATCCAGAAAAATGGCAGCTTCTCAAATGTCCTCCAGAATACTATACATATAGTTAAACTAATGCCATTGAGAATTGTTGAAGCAAAAATGGAGATAATGAATATGCTAATAACCATGTAATATATGAAATCTTTGTCTTCTGGCGGAATCTCGCCTTCCACCTGTAAATCAGAATTTAGATTTATTTAAAATTTTTTTAATTTTTTTTGCCTTGAAAAAACGGTCGTGGCCGAAGAAATAGTTAGTTCATAAAAACAAACATAATTTTCAAATTTTTTTAGTCTGAATATTTAATAAGTTTTGCGTGATTTCTTAAACGTTTTCCATTTTTTTTTTGTTTGAAATTTTTATCAATTGGAAATCGCAGTGGTTCGTATGTTTGGACCAAATTAGAACCCGCGCTGGCGAAACCCCGGAAAACTTAGCCATCGAGTGAAATCGTAAGACACTTTTTACCTCTGCTAGACTTGAAGACACCGAATGTTCGTTCGGATCGTAATGATCCTCTCCATTCGGCGTCAAATGGCATTCAACCAGTTCATGGATTATTAGAGAATATAGGAGAAAACGCATGCTCATAGCATACATATGTATGTTCGCAATATGATTACTTTGTGGTTTTCGACTCGAAGCAGGTGAATTACATAAAACCAAATTGCCTACGAGCGTTTTGTGGAATTAGAAGTTGCAACCTGATAATCAGGTAGAGTTTATGGGCGTTCCGGAACACAACAAATTTTTAATTTCATGAAATTGTTTAAAGGCATGAAATGGAAGTTTACGGTAGTTTTCTCAAGGCAACTTTTCAATGAAAAATTGAGTTTCAATACCTACCTCTGTTATAGGTCCCTGAACATTTTCGACAGCTGGCTTGTCAACCTGACACAATGTGATTGTGATTATTATAATAAACATGAGATAATTAGAAATCTCGCAGATCATTCTCTCTACAGTGCTCCACATAACTATATGCCCACCCCAATTTTGTCGAATAACTCAAAAACACGAATACCTCCAGAAATGGTTTCAATTAGAAAAATATGCGCATTTATTATTGGTTTCATGTCATATTCACAAAATTCAACAAAAAATAACAATTTAAAAAATTTCGTCATTTTCACGAAAAAGTGGAAAAAAAATTTCCAATAATTGTTGTGATGGAGCCTTCTGGCCTTCTCGTTTTCGAGTTATTCGACAAAATTGGAGTGGGTATATAGTTATGTGGAGCACTATATTTACCAAAACGAGAACTTAAGGTAATTTCAGAGAGCTGAACTAAAGTGAAAGTTAGCGCACAAAAACAATGTGGAAATATTTCGAAAATAAAACCAATCGAGAGACGCTGCATAAAATTTCTAAATGCCGGCCGTACCTTGCCTATATGCAATTGGTCGGCGTCGTCATTCGCATTCTCATCGCATCTTATCGTCAAAATAACGATTAGAAAGTATAATGGGGTTTTCAGCATCGAACTTAAACTCGAGGAAGCTGATTATTTTGAATTACACTGAATCCGACAAAAAACTGGCAGGTGATTTTTATTTCGAGCCGAATTGTCAAAAAAGAAGTGACGTTAAAGTTTATTGCGAAAATTCTCTTGTAGATTATATTTGAATGTTTTATGATATAGGAAAATGAAACTACTGTAATTAGATATTCAAGATTGATTTTCCAATTTTCGGCGTACTCATTTAAAGAATTTTTTAAATTCCAGGCGGTTGGACGGATTTGGGTGAATGGTTAGAGTTTTGGTCTGATTGATATACTAAAAAAACTTCAGCAGGAAGGCGCGTACGAAAATATGGCCAATTCGCGGAAGGATCAAAAATGGCATAAGCGTTTGATCAATTAAATTTGTCAAATTCGTCGTTTTCTTATCGAATTGTGCGCCAATTTCAAAATTTTCACAAATTATCGATTTTCAGCTAAAATCTTTTAAAATCACTGATTATTAAACAACATTTTTTTGGGAATTTAAAAAAAAAATTTTTTCAATAATCGAGCTTCACCTTTTTTGTGTCGAACCGAATTTTCTTTTTCGACAATGCACCATAATGAACAGCGAGGCGTAAATATCAGCCGCGCGTAAATCGACACCCTCATGCAACGAGACCTATACAGGGTGTCATTTAAGTTCCCGCACAAAAGTTTGACGCCATGAAGAGCTTGGCTGTCGCACTTTTCGTGCACCAATACAATTTATTTTTGTTAAATAAGGTATATTTTACTTACTTTCCAAGTTTCACCTCATTCGGATGTGTTTCCGAGAAATGGCGAAGGCTAACATCCATTGCGCTTCCATTATCGAACTTCATAAGCAAAATGTGAGCTCGAGAGACATCATTCAACGGGTCGGTGTGCCTCGTAGAACGGTTTGCGACACCATCAAACGTTTCAAGGAGCTAAATACGACCAGTCACCGTCCCAGACAAGGAAGACTCGTCTCAGTAACCACTCCTCAGAAGATCAACGCCGTCAAATCGAGGATCAGGCGAAACCCCCACAGGAGCATGAGAAAGATGGCGTTAGACATGGGAATGAGCATCTTCGCTATGGAACAAATTGTCAAAACGAAGCTTGGACTGACCCCATATCGTGTCCAAAAAGCGGCAATTCTATCGGCCGTCAGCAAGCAGAGACGCTTCGAAAAAGCAAAACGACTTCTTACTCGCACGCGGTCTGGACAACACCTCGTCACTGTCTTCTCCGACGAGAAGCTGTTCACTGTGGAGACGGCATTCAACTCACAAAACCATTGAGTACTTGCCCAGACATCCCAGCAAGCTTCTGAGAAAAGAAGAACATATCATCCAGCCTCACATCCTGCCAGCATGATGGTTTTCGTTGCCATCTGCTCAACCGGGAAGTGCCCCCTGGTTTTCGCGGATCAGGGGGTGAAAGTGAACAAAGAAGTCTACGTTCGGGACATTTTGGAGAAGCATGTGATGCCCTGGACCCAAACGCATTTCGGTGGGCAGAAATGGGTCTTTCAACATGACGGAGCAGCCGCCCACACTGCCAAAACTACTCAGGAGTGGTGCCAGACCCATTTTCCCGACTTCATCAAGTCATCCGAATGGCCTGATTGCTCCCCAGACCTGAACCCGCTTGACTTTCCCGTGATGGGGTCTTGCAGGAGAAGGTCAACGCAAAACCCCATTCAAGTGTAGAGGCTCTGAAGAAGACATTACTGGCGGAATGGGACAATCTTTCCATCGAATACCTGCGTACCACAGTCGCATCCTACCCGAAGCGTTTCCGTGAAGTCATAGCTGCGAAAGGAGGCCGAATCAAAAAGAGTTAATAGATAAATATTTGTTATACTATAGATAAAAAATATTTTGAGTCTCGTTTGATTTGGACTTTTAGTTTCAGAAATATACGTCTTCAAAGTTGTGCGGGAACTTAAATGACACCCTGTACATAGTTACAGTAGACCTACGTGACTTCGACTCATGCATGTCTATTAGTTAATGAATTCAACTTTTTAGAATTTTCAAATGACTGTTTTTTAAATATTTATTTCCTCTAAAAAAATTTGAGGGTCGTGCCGAGACCATATCTAAATTCGGATCGATTGCGACAAGCAAACATCTGCCAACCTGCGCACATATCTTAATTATTCAACAATCACGAGATTTTCGAGAATGCAGGTTCAATCCGAGCAAAACATTTGCTTAAAGAAAACTGTTTTTAGATCTACAAAATGATAGTTTCTTTCCCGGTGTAAAATGAGGATGTGACCTTGAAAAAAAAAACAACACAAATACGGGTCGCGTTGTGTACTTAATACGACATTTTAGAGGGACAAAAACTGAAATGTTGTTTTTTATTAAAGGTTCATTGCATGCTGAAAATGGAAGCAGTTTTTATTTTATCGCCAGGTTTGAAATTCCAGCACCAAAGGTAAATGTATGTAGATTTTCGCCGTTGGCCTCGCCGTGATATTTATTCGAGGAAATACCACAGACAGTTGTGCAAAATCTTTTAATTATCTAATTTTAATTAACAAATTTGAATTTCTATGAATGACGAGTGAAAAATAATCCATAAAAAGAACTTTTTGTTTTCAAATTTTTTCAACGTCTACAGTACTACTGTTTTTATATAATAAATCGCTGCAGGAATCGTGAAATTTTATCGTATACGCCTTTTACCTGAACGATTTTATTATTTAAATCCAAGTTTCTCGATTACTTTGCTATTATTGCTATAAAAGGCCCATATGAAAATTTTTAATGATACTTGGGCCTCCCATGAGATGGTCGGACTTGCTTCGGAAGGAGATCACCACAAGAAGAGCTGAAGGAACCGTTATCACCCCGCGGTCCACCCAAGCCAAAGACCGAAAAGCTTCGAAAGCTGTGGTTCGCGCCTCAACAGGCGAAGGGCGAACCGACTAACAAGGGAAATCATTTTACCTCCAGTCTTGGGATTTTTGTAATTTTGCACACGTAAACTGGAAGGTCTTCTGAGTGTGTTCACAAAATTCCAGCCTCCACTGGGGGGTTTGCGAGTTATGGCCGTCTGAAAATTCAAGGCGTTGAATGAAAAAAAGTGTGCGCCGGGAGCGAACCAGGGTTGTGCGGCAATCGGAAATTTCGGCAAATCGGCAATTCGGCAAGTTGCCAAAAATCAAAATTTCGGCTATTAAATTTTTTCCACGATAATTCGAAATATAAATACCGAATTTTCACGGTATCCCAAATTATTCAATGGACATTGATTTTTGTTTCGCCGATTTTTTTTTTGATATCAAATTGCTGAAAATATAAATTTCGACAATTTGGCAATTCGGCAATTTGAAAAATCGGCAATTTCGGCAATTTCGGCAATTGGCAATTCCATTGCCGCACAGCCCTGGAGCGAACCTTCATCGTAAAGTCACGGTTCCGATCGGTTCGCGAACACATGCCACTTCACTTCACCTGGATGCCAAACTGAAGAGGCGTATGCGTAACCCCTTGCCCAAATGGTTGCTGACAATGGAAAAACGCCTTGAATTTTCAGACGGCCATAACTCGCCTGTAACCCCCCAGCGCAGGCTGGAATTTTGTGAACACACTCCAAAGACATTCTAGTTTACATGTGCAAAATTACAAAAAATCCCAAGAGGGGAGGTAAAATGACTTCCCTTGTAAGTGCAGCAAAAAAAAACTAAAAAACTGTGGATTTGGAGGCTTTGAAAAACCTGGACGTTTTGAAGTTTTTTTTTGCGAAATCTGCATAGTTTCTAAAAAAAATTTAAAAAAAAACACACATAAAAAATAAGATATAAAAAATAATAAAATTTAAAATAACAGCGGACGTTAAATATTCCATGGCCGAATAGTTCACGGCCGCCCGAAATGAGGTTTTTTTGATAATATGAAATAAATTAACATTCAAGATTTCGCAAAAACCTTTTTTTAAACAATAATTTTATCCTATATTGTTGAAGTCGAAAACTTAAAGAAATTTTCACACCGTGTTGAAAAATTCCGAGAAGTGACACATTCATTTAGCAACCCAATAAAATGCCCAGCATTGGTTTTTTGTAATTTTTCTTCCGTCTTTTGTATTTCGGCCCCCTCGACAATTCTATCTCTTTTTTTGTTGTTATCACAGTAGTAGGTATTTTCGAGGTCAAAAATGGCAGGCAACGCGCAAAAAATAGATAAAGAAATGAAAAGCATTTGGGTGAGAAGAGGCGGTGCAAAACCATTGGAGGCGAGACACACCGGCAACAAAAGTTCCTTATTGAAAGTTTCACAGTATTACAACGAATGGGGGGGGGGTACCCCGAACGTATAAAAGGACGCTGAATGGGCAGTTGAATTCACTTGACTAGTCTGGTCCTCTCCGTTTTAGTCAACCAGTAAGTTTTATTAGGGTTCTTAAAAACAACCATCTTACATTGATATTTAGAAATGTCGTCTGAAGATCCAAAAGTTGTGGCTCACGAGACAGAGTCTCTCCGCAAGGTTGCGTTCTTCGGAATCGCCGTCTCGACCATCGCCACCCTCACCGCCATCGTTGCCGTGCCAATGCTCTACAACTACATGCAACACGTTCAGTCTCAACTCCAGGCCGAGGTTGAGTTCTGCACCCACCGATCTAACGGACTCTGGGATGAGTACAGCAGAGTAAGCTTCCCCTTCTTGTTCTCCTTCTTTTGAATCCCGATCCTCACACTAATATGTCGATTCTAGTTCGAGGGATTGACCGGAGTTGCTGGACGCATCAAGCGTGACGCCTATCACAGACGCGCCGCTGGAGTCAGCGGAATCCACAGAAAGATCCGCAGACAATCGTACGGAGGAGACGCCGGAGTCGGAGGATTCCAAGGATCTGCCGGAGGAAGCTGCTGCTCGTGCGGAGTCGGAGCCGCTGGACCAGCTGGAGCCCCAGGACAAGACGGAGCCCCAGGAAACGACGGACAGCCAGGAGCCCCAGGACAGCCAGGACAAGACGCCACCGAGGACCAGACCGCTGGACCAGACAGCTTCTGCTTCGACTGCCCAGCCGGACCACCAGGACCAGCCGGACCAGCTGGACCAAAGGGACCATCAGGAAACCCAGGAGCCCCAGGACAATCCGGAGGAAACGCCCTTCCAGGACCACCAGGACCACCAGGACCACAGGGACCACCAGGACAGCCAGGACATCCAGGAAACGCCGGAGCCCCAGGAGCCCCAGGACAGGTCGTCGATGTTCCAGGAACCCCAGGACCAGCCGGACCACCAGGACCACCAGGACCAGCCGGAGCCCCAGGACAGCCAGGAGCCCCAGGAAGCGCTCAGCCAGGACAGCCAGGACCACAGGGAGACGCCGGAGCACCAGGAGCTCCAGGAGCCCCAGGACAGCCAGGAGCCCCAGGACAAGACGGAGGAGCCGGAAGCGAGGGAGCTTGCGACCACTGCCCACCACCACGTACCGCCCCAGGATATTAATTGCGAAATGCTCGACATTCAATTGTATTTCCCTTTACTGCTTTATCATTTTCGTCGCTCAAAGCTTGACGGATTTAGTCGAACCGAAATGTAGTCGAATAAAAATCCATTCCATTCGGAACATCTTCATTACACCCTATCGATCTATCAAACAACATATTACAACTCATGCCGGGGCCGACCAATTGCGGTGTTGCCGATGTTTCGTCGAAAAATTCCATTTCAGTTTTTCGATCATCAAATCGAACCAACCTCTATGATATGAGAGAAATGTGATCGATTCGAAAATGGCATTGAAACTTGAGTAGAAAATAATAGCGGTTCACAATACGTCGAAATTTCGAAAATTGCAGAATATGTGAGATTGTTTTATACCCAGTTGACGCCAGGCGACTACATAATGTATGGGAGTAGTGTAGATTTACGGGCGCTGTGGTCTCGCGCAGATTAAATGGTTATTAAATGGTTGATTACGTGAATTTTAATTTTTTAAAATCTTAGAAGAAAAAAATAGACAATTCGCAATGACTATATATTTAATTTTATTAATATTCACGGCGAAATTTGATTATTATTTTTAATTTAAATTCGATTTCTTTTTCAAATTTTCCTTTTAATAGTTTATTGCCAATTTTCGGTTATTGAGAAGCCACTTTTCTCACATTGATTGTTTAGTTAGTATAGGTTCAATTCTATGTGAAAGTTAACCTTGAATCTTCGATCTCGTCTGAGTTTCTTGGTAAGATGATCCCCTCATATCTTCACTCTATGTATAAAAACGGAAGAAAAATGAATTTTGTAATTGACTTCCCTGAATAACAAACTCTTCTTTCATGGTCGTGTGATTGAAGCAGTATTCATATATGTACATATCTACATATATGTATAAACATGTTCGATCACTGATCAGTAAGAGTCAAGCAGCAGACGCAAACAACCCAATTCTCATTGTTCTGGCATTGATTGGGGCTTCAGGACAAAGAAGACAAACCCAACCGTTTTTTGTAAACCTCGACACCCAATTTGCGCATCATTTCTATAGTTGAATATTCTTATATTGGACGACCTTCAAATTAAAGAAAGAACTTCCGATTTCCTCATTAGCAACACCGCAATTGGTCGGCCCCGGCATGAGTTGTAATATGTTGTTTGATAGATCGATAGGGTGTAATGAAGATGTTCCGAATGGAATGGATTTTTATTCGACTACATTTCGGTTCGACTAAATCCGTCAAGCTTTGAGCGACGAAAATGATAAAGCAGTAAAGGGAAATACAATTGAATGTCGAGCATTTCGCAATTAATATCCTGGGGCGGTACGTGGTGGTGGGCAGTGGTCGCAAGCTCCCTCGCTTCCGGCTCCTCCGTCTTGTCCTGGGGCTCCTGGCTGTCCTGGGGCTCCTGGAGCTCCTGGTGCTCCGGCGTCTCCCTGTGGTCCTGGCTGTCCTGGCTGAGCACTTCCTGGGGCTCCTGGCTGTCCTGGGGCTCCGGCTGGTCCTGGTGGTCCTGGTGGTCCGGCTGGTCCTGGAGTTCCTGGAACATCGACGACCTATCCTGGGGCTCCTGGGGCTCCGGCGTTTCCTGGATGTCCTGGCTGTCCTGGTGGTCCCTGTGGTCCTGGTGGTCCTGGTGGTCCTGGAAGAGCGTTTCCTCCGGATTGTCCTGGGGCTCCTGGGTTTCCTGATGGTCCCTTTGGTCCAGCTGGTCCGGCTGGTCCTGGTGGTCCGGCTGGGCAGTCGAAGCAGAAGCTGTCTGGTCCAGCGGTCTGGTCCTCGGTGGCGTCTTGTCCTGGCTGTCCTGGGGCTCCTGGCTGTCCGTCGTTTCCTGGGGCTCCGTCTTGTCCTGGGGCTCCAGCTGGTCCAGCGGCTCCGACTCCGCACGAGCAGCAGCTTCCTCCGGCAGATCCTTGGAATCCTCCGACTCCGGCGTCTCCTCCGTACGATTGTCTGCGGATCTTTCTGTGGATTCCGCTGACTCCAGCGGCGCGTCTGTGATAGGCGTCACGCTTGATGCGTCCAGCAACTCCGGTCAATCCCTCGAACTAGAATCGACATATTAGTGTGAGGATCGGGATTCAAAAGACGGAGAACAAGAAGGGGAAGCTTACTCTGCTGTACTCATCCCAGAGTCCGTTAGATCGGTGGGTGCAGAACTCAACCTCGGCCTGGAGTTGAGACTGAACGTGTTGCATGTAGTTGTAGAGCATTGGCACAGCAACGATGGCGGTGAGGGTGGCGATGGTCGAGACGGCGATTCCGAAGAACGCAACCTTGCGGAGAGACTATGTCTCGTAAGCCACAACTTTTGGATCTTCAGACGACATTTCTAAATATCAAAGGGGAGAGTTAAAGCGAGAACAGTTGAATGCTTACTTGAATGAAGACTCAACTGAACAAGCCAAGTGAAGTCGCATGGCCACTCGCCGCCTTTTATAAGACCTTGCTTGTGTGTTCGATTCGTTGTAATACTGCGAAAAACCTTAACCAGGAACCCATTTTTTTTTCAAAGCGCCGCCTCCTTACTATTCTTTGTCTATGTTTCTCTCGACGTTATTTTGTAAGCCATTTAGATCGTTGACTGCAAGATGCCGCGATTTAGATATCAAGGTGAAATTACCTATAAAAATGTGTGTGTGTGTGTGAGAAATGTTTAGTTCCTGCCGAGATATAAAGAGACAGATGGATAATTATTTTAAAAAATTATATGAACATATGAAATTGCTAGAAGAATTACAAGAAATTCTTATTTTTTCGAATACGATTGGTAATTATTCGAATCCGTTTTGTTTTAATATTTCAATTCGAATCGGATTCGACAAATAACCAAAAAACCAATCGGACCCAACAATAATTTCCAATCGGATCAGGTTGATTCCTATGCCGAATTTTGTCGGATCCGGTTGGGCTTGACTTACCAGAGATTATCGTTTTGTCAAACAGGCAAAAATTTTATCGAAAAGGTTCCCGCATTTTATTTTTTTCAACGTCAGCTTTTTTTTAATTTTTAAAACTATGCTTACAACTCATTTAGTGAATATCTCAGCGAGTCGATCGGGACTAATACGAGACGCTTTTTGGTTTGGTATAACCCGCGGAACATTTTAGGACAATCAGGGGAAAAATCCAATTGATTGAAACAATTGCCGCCCTCATCGATACGCTAAATTGAGGGCGATGTGTAATTGGAGTGTCGTACTAGTATTGTAAAACAAGTTTTGGAACAAAAACTGCTGAAGTTTCTATGAAAGCCATGGAATCCCGATGTTTAAGCCAAAACCCGTCCTTTTCGAATTGATGAGATCGCAAAAAAAGAGCAATTTGAGCAATTGTGGACCATCGTACTTTTTTTTGTTAAGGTAATTCAAATTGCGATTTATGAGAATTCCATTGAAAACCTGTAAATCAAACTCGCAGTTTTTTGCGAATGTAAAAATTATTCTTCTTTTTTCCTTTCAGGACATTTTAAAATTAGAAAAATAAAAACTTCAGTATAAGGCGTCAAATATAATGTTATGCGCCTTTAAGTTTATTTTATCGTCTCCTTCCCCAAAAATGTACGTAGTTTTTTATAAATTTTACTATTTTTCCGAGTAAAAAACACTGCGAAATTGCCATTTCGATCGATAGACACGTTTTTTTTTCCATTTGCCCGGTTTGCATTGTTTGCCTATCATTGCATTTTGTATACACATTGTGAGAAATAATAATAATAAGCAATCCCGCACCGAAAATAGTGTGTTGTGTTCGTCGGCAGAATGCCATTTTGTGCAAGTTTGTTGTTATTTTGCGCGTCGACTTTCGATGTCATCCATTTCCAAATATCTATGTATGTTTTGTATCCTTTGGGGTCCGATGGTTCATTCTTCTGTGCCAAAAACTCCGGCCGGCTCGTTTTTTTTTTGTTGCTTTTTTTTATTGCATTGCATATATATTCTATTATATTCTATTATATTCTATTATTATATTATTTACATATATATTCTGTGGCCAATTTTTTTTTCCCCGAAAATCGCGCAAAAAACGTGCTAAATTGTTTGTTTTCGACAATTAGTTCGCTATTTATAGAGCCTTTTTTTTCTTCGCCACAAATATGCCTAATTATAAGATAGTATTTTGGTGTTGTTTTTTTTTAGGCGACTGGATATTTTCCAGTTCAATTTTCTTCAAAAAATCTATTCAATTTGAAAATTTGAAAATTTTTTTGGTTTGAAAGTCTGAGGTCCCAGATAATCAAATCCCCTTCAATGAAGATTCTGAACTATTAAGAATAATTCTAATTTTCGTTAGAAATGCTATGTCCCTTTAATTAGCAATAATATAATTCTTGAGCAGTTTTACTGTTGAAATGTCCAGCGTGTGCAAGGGCCGCGCCTTTAAATTGTTTCACTGCACAATTCCTTCATACGCATTCCTTCGCCGCCAACGGAATTCCGGTCGATTGGATTTCATACCCGTCAGCCAATTCACATCCGTTGACGGCATGTGCTGTTGTGTTTTTTCATTAGACAAGTTTTCGCGTTTGCGATGTCTTCGAAAATTGAGCTAATTTGCTTGAAGCACGCACAACAGCATTTTCGGATTCCGGCGACGTCGTCGAACTAAAATTCGGTTTCTTTTTTCTCCTCCCGCTTCATGTAACACCTAATTTCGCGCACTCGACTAATAAGCTTATCCAATCACAATAAGTAGTTTATTAAACACAATTTTTTTTTCTGATTGGATTAGAGCAGATTATTATTATTATTAATAGCAGTGTGATGAGGTGTTCTAGCTTTCGCAGACCGATCAAAAGCAAGCATTGGGTCTCGCAACTTTCTTTTTTAAAATTCCACTTTTTTTTTCTCGCGAATTCAATTTAATTTCCATTATAATCGGAAATTGTTCAATTTTTTTGTAGCACACTAGAAACATTTTTTTTCAATTTTCATAATCAGCACTTAAATTTTTTATTTCCTTGCTGATTATTTTCAACCCGCTCAGCCTGTTTACTTAAAGGATTATTAGTCATCTTGCGGAAAGTTTTCTTTCAAAAAAAAAAGAAAAAAAAGAAGAACACTTTTTTCCTGACACCCTGATGATAAATAAGCCCATTCCCATCCACTTTCCCACCACATAAAAAGAAGAAGAAGAAAAAGTTTTTTTTTTGTGTTGAATGCAAAAATATGTGCGGAAGACAATGAAATTTATTGTATTCGTCGTTGAAGACGCGAGATTTTGCCAACTTCATTTGATTGCACCAGCGCCCGCGTTTATTCTTTTCTTTTTCTCCATTTTTTTTGTCCATCCGTACTTGAACACACCGAAAAAAGGCACGAAGACGAAAAAGGTGGAAGCTGCGAGTCCGACCCATTCAAAACTTATTTTTTCCGCTTCACGTGTTTCTCGCCACCTAAGTTACCTGAAAACATTGCTTGCCGCCCGCGAATTCTTTTTTTTTTGCTAAAATTTCGCGCGCTCAATTTGAATTTGCAAAAATGGCACGCTTTGGGTTTAGTTTGATTCTGACCTAAATTTCAGCTATGCATTTTTTGAAATAACTGAAATTGCGAGAATACCTTGTTTTTCGTTTTGAGAGTTCACTGTAATATTGCGGAATGGGACCTATCTCGAAATATTTTGCAATATTGCTGTAATTGTTTTTTATACGAATAGTTTGAAAACGAAGAAATGAGGAGATTTCAACATTCTACGGCAGCCAGCAAAGAGCCATATATAGTGCTTAAATTTTATGCGTATTCGAACGTCATAAGTTATTCCCTCGATTTATATGCATTTGTCGCCCCTCGCTCGATAACGCTTTTTTTCTCCACTATATATATGGTCACTTTTTTTTGTTGAATACTTTCAGCACATCGCAAATTTTCAACCACAAAATAATATTCATCGATCCAAATTTTGAGCAAATTTGAAATTCTAGAAAAAAAGCTATTGTGGGTGTCAAACGACTGATCGAAATTCAACAAAATTGGCTATAACATTGTATCGCGAGACGAAGAGAACTGTGCGTGTCTGCGTACTCGGCATTTTAGCGTACGCCCAATTTATATTTAGCCTGTCCATCATCGATCAGTCATTCGACAGAACGAAATAGAAAAATCCGGAGAAGGAGTGTGAATTGTGACAATTGACCTATCAAATTTCTCAGAAAAATTATTTTTATAAGTTTTCAAATGATTATATCATTAAACTTTAACTTATGTTCCTTTAATGATTAAAGGAACATAATCGCATTTCTTTTAGATTCAAATCTACTTAATCATCCATTGCCTTCGTTTGAAAACCAAATTGGTCAAAGTTGGTATTGACGAAAGAAAAGACGAAAATTGTTCAACATGTCATTAAATCGACGAAAATTTTCTCAAAAAACCTGCCAAATTTCGAGTATATTTGCTTGCAAAAATGAGACAAAATTGCATTTTTTTCTTCTCATTTCTCTCATTCGAAATATTGGACCTAATTAATATATCGCTCATGAATATTTGATGCCATCGATTTCTTCTTCGTATCTTTTTTTCTGCGCTCGTAGAACTTGACGCCAAAAACACAAAATACTATAAAATTCTAGGGTGCTTCTTTAATATTCGACCACACACACTTTGCTTCGTTTGTATGTTTTATTTTCATTCTTTTTTTTTCTGCAGATCACATGCGATGTGATGCCATCGGACGGCAAACCATACAAATATCTTGTCGTTTATCCATTTTCAGTGCTCTCTGTCTGTAAAGTTACATTATGTGTAAGTTTTATTTTAAAAATGCATAATAGTGAGGGCAAATGAATGGAAAAATGGTTTACGATAAAACACGAGCATAGTGTACCAACGGAGTGTCGTTTGAAACAGTTTTAAAAAATACAAAATTCTTGAAAAATATGTCTTATTATCGCAAAAAAAATAGCAAAAACCTGTTTAGATTTATTGTAATTTTTATTTGCATGTTATGCGTAGTATGGCATATCGAAATACCACAGTTTAAATCGAATATTGAATTAACGCCGCGAAGAAAATACAATAGAAAACAAATGCTCAAAATCCCCGCTTTTTTTTTGAGATAGTAATACTCTATTGGCAATAATTTTGTGAGAAATGAATGTTTTTCTCGAAAAAATTTGGATTTTTAACATTAGTTTTGTTTTTCTCACCACCTTTTTTGTGTAAAAGGTCTCAAAAATGATTTTTGATGAAAATGTGCTTTTTTGGCGTTTCCATGCTGAAATCCAATTCCGAAAATCCGCCAAGATTTTTCGTTGACATCGCTCAAACGTTGAACAAATCGAATTTGACAATTTCGGAAGTTAGTTCTTTGTTACCTTGATACAAGCAATAAACGAAGGAAGCGAAGTGGTGTGATGCTGGCGATTTGGTCATGAACTTGAAGAAAAACGAAAAGATATGCTACTATCTTCTCTATTTCTCCCCTAAATTTATAGATTTGATAAGCAAAAGAGACGCATTGAAATTTGAGGAGATATTTCAGATATTATTCTCACTTTCCTTATATGGATGGCTTCAGAATCATAAAGGAGAAGGTTCGGAGAATCGAGAATCTTCAACATTTAGCTATTCCTTGTTTTCAGAATTCTATTCAATTCTCGCTATATTTGACCTCATCACTTTATCGAGCGTCTTGGTGTCGTTATGGTTCATCGTCCAGAAATTTTATTGGCGCAAGATTGTTGGTGAACCATTAATTACAGTAGGCAAACGATGGATTTTAGGAATTCACTTGTAACGGATTAGGAACAATTTCGTCGATTTGCTCAATCGTCTTGAATATTTTCATAACTGAGAAGACACTTAGCGCGCAAACAGTAAATCGAATCGAATGCCAAGATCGAAATCCGAAATTTTTTGCAGCTAATTCACTTGATGACCCTCTCGTTGTTCGTATTTGCTGGAATCTTCGCCTATCGCGAAACGTGCAACACCGTCAGCAATTTGTTCATTTCCGAATGGGGACAGGCTACTGAAGAGCATGAAATCGAAGCATTAGAGGATCATTTTTAATTGCGGGTTTTCCTAGTAATGGGTAATTTGATAAGATAGTTTATATTTCAATAAATGCCAAATTCATTGTACTTGTATTGTCAGAAACCGATATGATAGGCAAATTCCGTTCAGGTTTACCTGCAGTTGACTTCCGTCTGTCGCCATCAGGCAGTCAACAATAATGGTCCGCCTATTTGCCTTGTGAATTGTTTAGTGCCAGCCTTCGAACCCATTTGGAGTATCCAAATCAATAAAAGAGCACGTGGGACGACGAGCAGCAGGCAATGTTTGCACGGTAACTGCGAACGTCGTATTTGCATATAAACCCTCCCTTCGGGCCAAAATAGGTCAAAACACCAACCTACCTACCGGCTTCTCGAGTTTACTCCTATTATGCGGCTCGATGTCTAAATATTATCGTCGTAAAATTGAACTTATTTGCTTGAATTTCTCTGTTTTAGAAAAGCGTAAAAAAATGAGAAGCTCTGATAGGTTTTTCATAAGTTTTCTTTTCCCGTGAGCCAGAAGCTTGCGAAATTCTAAAAATCACGCTACATTTATTCTTTGATCATAAAAGAATAAACAATTACTTCATAGAATTACATTTTTGATATTTTCCAAATAAAAGGAAATCCGTTTATAATGCAGTTTTCAAATTTCGTTAATGTGATCTCCGTAATATTCAATTTTTTTTTCACCTAAATCAGTCACAGAATTACAATTGGCTGAGTTTTGTTGATAAGCAAAGTATCCATATATTTTCGGCGTCGCGTGACTGCTTAAATTGGCAAAATGCCGATAAAAAGTGTTCTTGGTGTATGGTGTGCGCCAGGGCTGTGCGGCAATGGAATTGCCGATTGCCGAAATTGCCGAAATTGCCGATTTTTCAAATTGCCGAATTGCCGAAATTTTGATTTTCGGCAATTTGATATCAAAAAAAAAATCGGCGAAACCAAAATCAATGTCCATTGAATAATTTGGGATACCGTGAAAATTCGGTATTTATATTTCGAATTATCGTTGAAAACATTTAATAGCCGAAATTTTTATTTTCGGCAAATTGCCGAATTGCCGGATTGCCGAAATTTTGATTTTCGGCAATTTTCCGAATTGCCGAATTGCCGAAATTTCCGATTGCCGCACAGCCCTGGTGTGCGCCTTTAACCGTGTGCTTTGCCAACAATACTTGTTCGGCTTGAAGAACCTTGTGCCAACTTGATTCCCTTTAAAACCTCCATTTCGCGTTTTGATGCTCAGTCTATGAAGAGACTTTTCTGCAAAAAAAAAAAGAAATAAATAGTTTCTTTTTTTCGCATAACGTAAAGAGTCCATTATATTGTCGTGGAATTTGAAAGATTTGAATTGCGCAGACTGCTTTTTAATTGGTCTTTCAAGCTAAAATGAGCTCAGTCGATCTCCGCTTTTGTTAATAATCTAAAAATATTCTTTTGTAATTATTAATTTTTTAAAACTATTCTCTCTAGTTAATATTTTTACACTTGCTCATAAGCGTTTGTCATACGGGACTCTTAGTGGCAAGCATAAATGATAAAATAATCGTGCATTCGTTCGTCTACGACAAAAGTCCTGTTTTCCGCCAACATATTATCACTTTTTATCAATGTGACTCTTCTATAGAAATTTCTTTTTTTTTGTTGCATTTATGAGCACAAAAAGTTTAAGGAATTTCAAAGTCTCGAGAGGATGTTCAAGCCGTTTTTTTGGCTTTTCCAGATCCCCCCGGGTAAATGATTCATAGTCGTATACGACGAAATCGCTCTCCAAAGACGATTGCGATTTTACCGTTTACGATTATGCTCGTCATATGTTTTATTGTATACGATTTTTATTTTAAAATCATACACTATAAAATTTTAAAAAAAGCGTAAAGAGCATATTTGGTGTGCTCTTTACGTTTAGACGATTTCGAACCATTTTCCGGAGTCTTCAATTCACGCGTTTTTCATTCATCCCGTCCCCATAGAAACTTTTTTTGTGATTTGTACTGCCTTCCTCGTAATTGAGAGCACCTCAAATTTGGCTCATCAATTCCCATAGCACTTGACAATGCACATATTTGGCTAAGCGAAGCCTTAGTAACGCATCAGGGTCAGTCAGGTGTCAGGTGCTTCTCGTGTTTTATTCAACTAGTGTACATTTCCTTTCTTTTTCCCCGCCGTTGCCGCTAACGTTTTGGCATTTTTTCAGGAATGCATACTTCGAATTTGATTTTCATTTGCAACGTTTCACTTGTGGTGAGTTAATTGAAGAAAAATTCATTTCTGGCAATCAAAATTAAATCAATTGTTGGTACGGTAGACGAAGAACTGCTGTGCACACCAATACGAGAAAAAACACTGTCCTTATTTTTTTTTTCAAATTTTCGCTATATTTAAAATTGTAAATTATATTAGTTTTCACCGTAAAATTGAATTAACCTCTCGAATAACTCTGAGAAAAAAAGTATGAAATCATTTGAAGGTTTCGATTTACATTAATTGGGTGAGTCCATTGAAAAAAGAAGAAAAGAAATACTCTGAAAAAAATCCCGAAAGTGAGAAAACAAAAATCGATTGTTCGTATTTTTCCTATATATTTTTCCACTGGAATCATGCCAATTAAGCCTTAACATTTTAGGTGGTTTCAATTGCCGGATTGTGCCTAACTTCCTCAATTTTTGACTTTATTGTCTCATCCCGACTTTATTACACTATTCCAGATCATGTATGTTTAAACTTTCTATTAAAACAATTTATTCTAATTCTTCAGAGGATTCTCATCAGTCCAACTTTGGCATTATGGCTTTACCCAACATCGATCGTCTCGTTCATTCTCTCATTTGCCGCTTTGCTATTCCTATCAGCCGGCGAGAAGGTCCTGGATTTTGCGATTCGCCATCAATTTTTGCTCTCATTTTTCGTAAGTCAATTTCCTGCCAATTATTCGCTCAATTTTTCGCCTATTTATAGCACGGAATTCTCATGTGCGTCGTCTGCATTCTGTCAGCATTCGTCAGTTTCCTCTGCGCTCAGAACACCGCTGACATCTCGATGTGAGTTTTGTGTTCGAATCGCGAAACGCGCAAAATTATTCGTCGCAACGGAAAATAATTCTCGTTTTCATTTTCAGTTTTGCCGCCCACGCGACTCCCGTCCAATTCCAACAAGCCTCCTCGTGGTACTACATTCGCCTTCGCGCTCTCACCGTCGTCGTCGCGCTCCAATGCATTCTCAACTGCGTCATCGTCGGCGTGCTCTATCTGGGCATCAATTGCAAATACCGTACTTTTGTGCAAGTCGCGCAGAAGCCGATGCAACCCGATCTTGTTGAAAGGACCACTTACTTCGCGTAATCCCTTCACACAACAAGCATTCTACAAGATCTCTGTGATGAATCGCCAATATTTAATAATCAAATTCAACTAATTATATGTGTATTTAATAATTATATCATCATGTCCTATAATAGACCGACCGCATGTTTTGGAACGCTGAAATCCTGCCCTCAAGCATATTCTCAATTGCGTTTCGAATCTAAAAAAAATAATAATAATAAATTTTGTATATGAAGGTGGCGGACCTCCGTCATATTCCCACGATCCTCGGGATTGTTTGGAAAACACTGATTGATCATCACCGTTCGCACAAACGTCGGCATTCGGTCGGGCGGCTCCATTCGATAGCCTTTTCGCACTTCTCGGCTGACTTCGGCCAGTGTCATGCCCGGATATGGAATTGCGCCGTCCATGAAAATCTAGGGACAATTTCAAAAATGTTCGAAAATTGCGTCGCAACCTCCCATAGCAAAATTCCAAATGAGAACACATCGGATTTGAAGGTGTAGGTCGCTGAGGCCATGACCTCAGGAGCCAGCCAGCGAATCGGCAGCTTTTGGTGAAGGTCCTGAAACACTCGGATAGCCAATGGTGCAAATGCGCTCCATCGTAATTGGTTTTAACAAAAAAGAGACAAGCTTTAGAATTGCACGATTACCTTCAACTTATACTTGTGCGCATGATCCGATAGCTGTTTCGACAAACCGAAATCGCTAATTTTCACACTACACTTGTGGACGAGAAAATTTCTCGCGGCCACGTCCCTATGAATGCATCCATGCTGGTGCAAATACTCGAGTCCTTTGGCGGCATCCAACGAGAATCTCATCTAAACAGAAAAAATGATGTTTTTTTTTCGCTCCTCTTGTGAATGATTCCTAGTCGTATAGGAAAAAATAGAATTTCTTCATCGTATAAGGTAAAATAAAAATCGTATACGTTTATGCGAATCGTATAGGATTGTATACGATTCTGTTGAATGGTTTGTAATCGTATACGAAACATCCGCATAAGTCCCAATCGTATACGAAGAAATGCCAATTGTATATACCAGAGTCCCATAATAAAATACCTTATCTCTCAGTGTCACATTATTCTTCTCATTTTGAAGATACGAGTCAAGAGCTCCCATGTTGGCGAGCTCCATTACGAGCATTATAGGTTCCTGGAATGAAAAAATTCAAGGGGGGGGATAGTCGAAAAAATGACTACTGGAATCATTCGACGCGAGACCCAACTCTAATAATAGAGTTGCGCCTTTGATTGACAGAATCACGACAACTGATTCTAGTAGCCACTTATTCTTCATAAATAGATTATTAATTAAAGGGGCATGGCTTTGAGACGATTTTCATAAAATACAAATTGTGATCTACCCTTTCGACGCAGACACCATAGAAGTTGACGATATTCGGATGTTGGTATTTTCGCATGATTCTCGCCTCCTTGCACACCTCCTCGATCATGCTCTTCGTGCTCATTTTCGTGTTGCCTTTGCTCACTTTGACAGCCACTGGAATTTTGCGACCTTTATGGTACATTGTTGCGCGGTAGACGCCTCCGAATGCGCCCTCGCCGAGCATTTTGCCAAGTGATATCTGCAAAAGAAAAATGCGCACGGTGATTGTACGAATGGGCTCACCTGATCGTGCCTCAATTCCCATTCCTGCTTCATTATCGGATTGATGAGAATCGCGCCGACTTCTTTCGAGACTGGCGTCTTTTTGGTTTTCAATGAGGTGATCATGTCGAGAACACTATCGAATCGCTTGTCGTCCACAAGAATGGTGCCTAGAAGAGCGATTTTCGCGAAGAAACCATTTCGGAGCTCAATTACCATCTGGAAGCTCGACACATGGATAATGATGGCATTTTCCATTCCATTTGACAGATAGAATAATTGTGAGGCCCTGAAACAAAGGAAATTCCATGTAAAAAAAAAAGATTCCGACAAATTTTTCAGCTTACATCCTTATCTTTATGTGTGGTCCTGACGAGAAAATCGCCATCATTCTCGAGTAGTTTGTTAATATCGGCTCTCGGCAACAATCCATGATACCAATCCATGTCCTCGTGTGTCGGCTTCATATTCACGCCCGACTCGATCCAACTCGTGCCGGCATCGCTGAGATCCTTCCGATTCTTCACCGCTTGTTTATCTTTATTCGTACTGGCCAAAACATAAAAAATAGTGGCTCGTTTATTGTGTCCATCCTACCTCATTATTTTGAAATACACACACACGAGTTGTTCTCGATTAGATTATAAAAAAACGTAGTTGAAAATGGTGAAATTTCTCGAATATGTCACGTCGTTCAATAAGCTGTTGTCAGAAAATAACCGTTTTAATATTGTTTATCACAAATTCCATCTGCGGACAATTGATTGCCAAAAAAAGCCCAGAATCCACTGAATATTCCCCTATACAAATTTTGGTCGAAGACAGGCAACTGTCGGAAATTTTAATACTATTGGATACGCATTTTTTTGACAACAAATTTTTGGATGTGCCTTTGATGGATACTGTAGTTACGCAGCCAAGGCTGATACGCAGCCAAATCGAAAATAATTGCGAAACCAAATTGCTTGGATCATATTTAAAAAGACATCTGTCATCGTCAATAATTTTGAAGTCATAATTTTCTTATTTAAAAATTCGCTAGGGTGTTTGGGAAAATTGAAAAGTTAAAAAAAAAGTCTCTGGATATTAATTTTCTCAATAATGCTATTCAAGCGTAGATTTACAGGCATTCGCCTTTCGAAATGATCTGACAACATTTGATCTCTTAGTCTTCTATAAATAACATGGTAATCCGTGCGAGACCATATCCTAAGGCGCATGCGTGTAAATCAACCCCCACATATGCCGGACGCCAACAGTAGAATGGTATTATGCGGATTTTGAAAATAACATTCAAAAAAATTGATAAAAGCTAACAAAAACTTAGAAAAATCGTAATGTAGAGAACGAAAAAACTAGAATTTTTTTTTAAAGTTTGTCGCGTTTTTTTTCAGAAAATCTGCATACCATCATAAATTATTACTTAAATTCCGACCTTCACTTTGCTGTTTATAAAAATAGTTTATAACATTTTTTTTTATTATTCACATAAAATAATGTATTGCAGGTTTTCCATGAGAAAGTCTTCTGTATGACAATGATATTCTGAAAACACAGCGATTAGCACGGTGTGAACTCTATTTGGGTTTTTCAATCCGATTATTTTCATTATTTTTGAACTTGGAATTTCCTATAAATTATTTCGAATGTTCTCTTTCTCCGAACAAAAACCAACAACTCAATTTTCTTTTTTCTTTTTTTGGTGGCTGGTGCAACAAATTCGAGCCAAGAAATGCGAGTGCTTGTCGATGCGCAAAATGTTTCATTTTTCTCTCGTCTTCTTAAGAAATCGCCCTTTTCCCCCATTTCTCTTCTTTGCTCCCGCTTTTTTTATATATTAATATGTAGACTAAGCCGATTTTTAACATATTTATTTGTAGTAGTGATTAAGCTGAATTCATGAGATTTCCTCATATTTTTTACGGATTTATTGCTAATTGAGACTCCTTCAAACTCATCACTTCTATCCCTTTTTTGATGGGATTTCCTCTACACACTCAATTTCCGTTTTTTTTTTTTTTGAAAAACCCGAATAATATTCTCGCTTTTTAACATTTTTATTAATATTCATTTTTTAAGCATAGCTATTATTATTATTATGATTATTATTTATATCTATGTTCGAAAGGAAAAATGCATAAATACATATAAATTGAATATCTCATGCACTATTTATTTTTTCTTTTTGAGAATTATTAATCAACTTGCCGTTTTCTTGAAAGTTCGTAGGTAATTACTGTTGACTTGCAGATAAGATTTTTGTTTGAAAAAAGGTTAACGCAGTGAAAATTTTTTTTTAATAAGGCAAAATTTAATTGCTGCAAAAAAAATTGATTTCTTTTATTTTCTCTGAATTGTCCCTTTTCAGCAGATTATCCTTAGTACGCCTTTCTAATTTCCTCTGTTGAAATTTGAATATGACGGTCCGCAAACACCGAGGACGCATTTGCGGTGGTACATCTTATTTCACAATCAACTTTAGATAAATTTTTAGACCTCTTTGGTCGACCCAAAATAATAAATATGATCGCAAAGTATGGAAAACTAATAAATATATTTTTTAATCGAATAACCAAAATAATCGATTTTTCTATTTTTGTAGATTTCGAAAAAAAATTCCGCTAGCACGTCATTCCTTATTTTACAATGACAAAAAAAATTTCTTTTTTGACTTCCAGTAGAAATTTTACTTCAATTGGACCACTCGTTCAAAGTTATGGCGAAATATAAATATTTCGTATATTTTTCTACGGCACCGGGTCGACATAAATTTGAATGAAATTTCTATTTTCTGCTTCCAGAATATTTCCTCCAAACCATTTTTGTGGTCTGCTATTTAGAATGTCATTGTTTCTGTTCAACCGAAATAATCCAAGTATTGTGATTGTCAGCAAAATCCGAAAAAATTCCCAAAACTCACGATTTTCGACGTTTCGCACACGTCTGAAATTTGCGCAAAAAAAATTTTACAAAACACAAAATTCAGCTGGACGTAATCATTATATCATAATCATTATTTGTTTCCATTTTTTATTTGAAAATATCGTTTAGGAAGAATTGAGAAGAAGAAAACGCGCTAATTCCTTCGAATTTTTTGCGTTCTCTGATCAAACAATCTTTAAAAGTCATCGATTGATAAGGAATGATTGATTGTTGCATCAAAGATTATATCAAAACGATATCCAGTTTTTGTTGTCTATTTTTAGATATTTTGTGAACAAATGGAACATCAACACCGCTCGATGAATTGAATTTGAATTATGCTGAGAGTTCGTACAGCTGCCAAAATGCCATTATTTAATTTTTAGCAGTTTCGGGTCAAAGTCCACTTTTTTAGAGCAACCTTGTATGGGAAGGAGATTTTGAATTAAGTCTTTTCCTACCGTAAGGGTTCAAAAGCCGCTATCTGAAAATTTTAAAAAGAAATCTGATGACTGGACTTTGACCCTTTCTATGTATTAAAAAAAATGCAATTATATGGTTTCATTTTGTGGGAAATTTTTTCGCGTTTTTCCAAATGTGCAAAATTTCCCACAATTTCGCCGCGTTTTTTTTCTCTTCGAGTTTTTGACCAAAATTGAAATTCCATTGATTTTTGACAATTTTTAAACAAAAAGAAAAATATGAACAATTTACCGAGACTGGCTAGATTTGTTCGGTTCGAACGTGAATTTGACAACATTTTGCAATTTTCTGTTAGTCATGCGCCTTTAAACCATTCGTCATCAATTTGATACTACAAACATTTTTTTGTCGAACTATCGTTGATTCGCGTCGAGAACAGATCAAAATATTCTCAACCTGGAATCAAAAACTCACTGATCGTTTTCCTATGAGAAATCGTCTATTTAAATGGCCAAAAATGGAAATAACAATTCAGGGGAATTCTAAGGGGATCGGGGAGGGGAGGGGAGGGGAGGGAGGCACTTCGGAGCAAAAAATTATTTAAAAGTTGATGAAAATAGATTCATATCTATATTCTGAATCATTTTTCATCCAATTTCAAAATTATTTTTTTGTCCTTTTCCCAGTTGCCGTGTTGATTTTTTAATGCTATAAAAATCTCAAAATTACACTTTTTTTTCAATCTATACATGTAAAAAATGCACTTTTAATATTTTTATACATTTTCTAAAAAGAAATTCATTTCATGAATAAGTCAGTATTTGAAAGGCTCATGAAACTAGAGCTCGTATTTCGCGTCAAGACCATTAAATCAATTTCGCATAATAATAATAATCCGCTTTTCTTCTTCTCATTCTTCCCAAAAATAAAAAAGAAACCCGAATTCCATGTAATCTGCTGCTCAGGCAAAGCCAGCCATCCAATCGCTATGCCCAAATCCAGTCATCATTATTTGAACTTTGTTAAACACCATTATTCCTATACACATAAGAAGATGGTAGATCAAAATTGCCGATGACTATTTTGAGTGATTCGGATCGTTTCAGCGGCCGATGTCGTTTTGCTCGTGCACGATCCCGTGTGAATGCGTCGCCGCCAATCTGCTAGCGGACACGATCAGCGCAGCGCCCGAATATCTTCGCAAGGAGTAAGTGTGTTGTTGGTGTTTTTTTTTTTTTTTTTTGAAAAATTGCTGCCGACAACTTCCTTCGAATCCAAATTTAGAATTTTCGAAAAATTCGTACAAAGGCAGGCGGACAACTTCCTTAAAAGGAAATGTGTTTTTGTTTGAGTCAAAGGTCAAGTCCAAAGGTCAACTAGTCTCGGAAAATCACGTGAAAATCACGTGAATCGCACTAATTAGATTAACCATATTCGAATGTGCAATTTTAAACAAGATTAGACGAAATGAGTCAATTATAATCCGATGAAATGACGTCAGAAGGTGATTTTCTTGTTTTTTTTTTCAGTGCAATGCGCTGGAACTCGGCGGCTCATTTGTATGAGGAGCTTCATCATGAGGGGCACACGAAGAGGAGCGAGCGAAAAATAAGCAGGAGTCGTTCGTTTTTTTTCTCCCCCTTAAATTTTATTTTGGGAAATTCGATATCAAAATATTTTTGTATTTCGAAATTCTTAGATTAGATTTTATTTTTTAAGCACTAACTTGAAATTTCTTGCCTTTAAAGTTTTCAAAAATTAAAAATGAATCTAAACTTTTTTTTGGGAATAAGTAGCGGAAAAACTCAATATTTAAAATTTTTTGAATGAAAAAAAAAAACAGAATTTCCAAATTTGGATTGACCTGTGCTGTTGATACCACTTTTTTTTGGCGAAATTCCCTTTTTGCCTCTTTGTCTTATTTGATGAACATCGATTATGCCAAGGAAACAATAACAAATAATAAAACACCATTTGAGAGTGTTTTTATTATTATTCAAAATCACCCGATATGTTGCACTCAAAAGTGCTGTTTGAGTGTTTGGTCTTAGCACGAAAACAGCGCAAAAAACACTATAAGGCGCATGATAATAAAGATGACAATTGCGAGCGTCTTGTGAGAATTCCAAAAATTTTTTCGTCGAGTTCAAACAATTGCAAAATCGAATAATGGCCAAAATTTGATGATATTGAAAAAAAATGAACTAGAAATTTGTTAGAATGTTGCGATAAGTTCATTTAAAAAAAATCCTGAACGAATTTATTCGATCAGCAAAATTTTTCGGTTTGGCTTTGCAAATTCGTTTCGAGACACCAGCATTGATAGGGTAGTGCGTCTTTAAATATTACAGTACATTTCGTGACGATGGATCGTAGAAAATGCTAATAAAAACTAAAAAAAAATCTGTAATTTTCAATTCTTCACTATAAAAAATTGGTCTCGATTCAAATTACCACAAAATTCAATAAAAACATTAATCGAAAATTTTGAAAAACGTTGAATATTGGGCTTTGAAATTACATATCGTTTATTTTTTTTTTGAGAACATCATTCACCGGAACACATGACGAGTTTCGATGGCCTCAACTCCCATCATCGCCGACTCTCGCACAGTCATATCAATTTCGGGAGCCTTCATGAAATCACTACCAACATGTAAGTCGTTCCCCCTTATATGGCAAACCACAGCAAAAAGCGGATTGCCCCTCATTTTCTTGTTGTGATTCGCCAAACACTGTCGGCGTCTCCAAGAATCGCACGATGCCTATGTTCGCTCTATGATCTGTCAACGACATTCTGCATTTTTCGGCGCGTCGAACACACGTGAATCGCGTCTGCGTCTCGCTGATCCGCGCACTCACTCAACGATCACGTGATTGCGCAAACGGTGGTGGAGATTATGAATAATTGTAATTATGCAGAGAAGATATAGTTAATTGGGTTCGATTGTCAATCAGATGAAAGACCAAACCCTCCTATCGGTTGGGGGGGGGGCATCGAAAAAGCGGAAAAGAAAATCGCGGTGACCTGGCAAAACGTTTTCATGATAATGATTGAGAGAGGCGCTTCCGATAAGAATTTCTCAGTTTTACGAAACTCAATTTCCTCTCCAATGCGGCTCGGTGGTCTTCCTGTTCCTCTTGCATTTGTGTATAGCACAGGTTTGGCGAAAAACAATCAAAAAAAAAAAGTCGAAGTGGAATCTGTTAGTTACTTTATTCTCAACGAATGGCATCTAGAAAGCTAGGGCGTGACTGAAAAAATTGGCGAGAATGCCACAAAAAAAACTATTGCAGCAATCTTGGGGCAGTGTAGATTTACGCACACCGCGCATCAAGACCTCTTCATATTTTTTGGAATGTAGCTAATTTTTTGCGCTGTCGCACGACGACGTCATTACAAAATTCAAATTTATCGACTTCATTCCTTTTTTTTCGAAATGTGGCGTTGACGGGCAACTGTGAAAAATGCGCATGAGGTCTCGCGACGAATCTTCGTCATTTCGCATTTGTTGTAAAAAAAAAACCACCTGAGAATTCAATTTTTTCCTACTACATATTATCTCTCTAACTATATTAGGCATATTAAACCGCCGAAAATTGAATCGAATTATAGTGCCAAAGATAGACAACTAATGGGGAATTCAAAGATTTTAGCCCAATTTTGTTTAGTCCAAATTTTCTTACAATGCGCCTTTGATGTATACTGTAGTTTTTGCATATGTGTTGTTGATACGCAGCCAAATCGAACCAAATCGTCTCGTTCAAATTTTCACGCTCCGCCCCCCAAAAATTCATCTGTATTTGACAATATAAAATTGCGAAAAAAAACGATTGATGTTCTTCATGACAATGGTCCCAAAGCGATTATAGTTTGACCATTCCTAGTTTTGAAGTATTTTGAGAATATTATCGATATCAGCTTTACATCAGCTCTTGTTTGCGAGTCTTGATTTCCTCGGAATTGTGTGGTTTGAACATTCAAAAAATTTGACGAGATAACAATTTTCAGAAGTGCCTTCCAAAAATACCACCATCTAAACCATGTGACCGCTCAATTCTTATCACAATCTATCCAAATCGTAGTGTATTTATTACCGATAAATAAGTCGAGATGTCGAAAACTCATTGTTTTTGTTTTCTGATTCATGTGCGGACACATTTCGACGTCGACGTGACCGCATTCCAATCTCAACTCGAAACTATTTGTGCTCAAACAGAACGTCGGTCAAAAGAAAAAAGAAATTTAGCGAGAGCGGCGGGTGGGTGAGCGAGGCAATCGTTTTTTTTTTCGCTTGCAGCAAAGAAACAATGTTCATCGGTGAAGGCACACGTGAATCGCGTTTGAACCGAACAGGTAGTAGTGTGTCCTTTGAATAATTGTTGGTCTCGCCGCGAAAACAGGTTCACATACGTACACCCATTACACATTATTGTGCAATTGTTGGTATGATTCTATATTCGATTCAAAGTGCGGCAATCTTCCGACGAAGCATGACCCCGAACGATCAGTTGGGCCCCGTCCCGTGTGATCGGCAAATACCGGTGCGGCACGTGGTGCTCCGACATCCGAGCTGCAGCACCTTTGTTTGTGCCCAACTTCGCATTTCCACCTTCTTTTTGAGTCGATATAGCTCTCGTTGAGATTTCCAGCTTAGCCGTGTTGTTTTTTTATTTCTTCTTGTTTGCTTCATTGAACCAACCCATCTCATATCTCTTATGTTTTAATGAGAATATCTCCATCGGTTTTAGTATCACAACCACCAGATGCTTGCTCTCACGTCGGCTATATCAGAATTTCCAGCTTCCAACGAATCGCCGCCTAAGCGATGAGATCTACGCGCAATATGGGGGGGGGCTCTAGCTTAAGGACCAATTCGAAATCACTCCGGTGCACAATATTTCGAAGCTTTTCCTGCTGATGCTCCCGTGTAAATAAAAGAGCCGCCGTCCCAACAGTGTTTTGTCGCGTGATTTCAGTTTTTGTGTGTATGTGATCGCGAGAACTCGCCTCTCTTAATTAATAATTTTCTTCTTTTTGTCTATTGCTTTTCAGATTATCTTGTTTGCCATAGGCTGCTCGTTCTCTGAAATTCGAAAAAAAAATGATTCATGCGACAAATTTCGAATCTCTCATAAGCATAAACATTTTTCATTCCGCTTGTTTTTATGGCTTCTCATTCCGCCAGGTGCAGTTTAATGGCTACGTGCGCAATATGCATTATTTCTTGAACTAAACTATAATGCACCCGTATTGTTTTTTTTGTCTCCTTCTCTCTATTTTTTGATATTTCGTAGTTTCGCTGAATTAAATATTGGGAGAGTCGTGGCAATTATTTTTTTTCGCGCCCTCCCTCCAAGCTAGCAATTTTCTCGCGTTTCCCTTCTTGCCGTGCATTCATTGCGCCTCTTTTGTTCTTCATAAACTGAACGACTCCCCTCACACTTTTCTGTGAGCCAAACAAAGTTTTTGTTTTCAAATTTTCCTGGATTGTGTATTGAGACAGCAATGGCGCTCTATTGAACTTTTCAAAATAATATGCATTTCTCAGATTTCTTCGACTCATTTATGTGAAAGTATCACAAGTTCAAACAGGGCATGATCGTATCTAAATTTAGAATTTCACAAACTATTTTTTAAATACCAAGTCACACATGATTTTTGGCGGTGGTTCGAACTTCGCGATAGGTCGCCACGAAATTTTGATCTACAAGGCCAAACATCCAATCGAAACTGTCGCAATCATCTGGTTGATGTTTCATCCTTTTTGCAGGCGTCTCTGTGTAATCGATTGTAAATTATGCACCCGTTTTTTTTTGTTGTTTAAACTGTGTTATGGGGGAGAACTGAAAAGATCAAACTACGAACAATCCAATTAGCGCTCCGCATAAATTTATAAATGAGGCGGTTCAGAGGCGGGGAGGTTTCGCCTCGCATTTCCTCATTTCTCGGGGGTTCCGCATATCAAAAAGTCATCCATCCGTTTCCTTAAAATCACTTTAATCGATTCGAGAAGGGAAAACTCCTTCGCTATTTCAAAATGCGCATTATTGCGTCGTGGTGTACTACACATTCACCTTTGGGATACACCATTCAATGACGTCATGTCTGCGTCTCTCACGCGCGTCATCTCTCGTTGTCCGCGCGCGCGCGCGTTTTTGGGGGTACCCCGCCCGCCTGGGTCCCGCCCATTTTGCACCACCCTCACCCATATAAATAGACGAGACCATTGGTCAACATTTTCACCATATTCATTGTTATTGTTGACTGTTCATTACTACTACTACTACAATGATGTTCTTACCGCAACGCGATCGTAGTCAATCACTATTCGCAGATAGTCCGAACGCGCCGCCGAAAATGCTGCGAACTGAGCCGATCCCGTGCCTGAGATGCGGAAATGTCGGATCGCCGACCGGGTAAGAGATTGATTGATTTGAAGGGGAAAAAGAGCTCCCTCCACATAGTTTTTTTTGTTTTTTTTAACGAACCGGGAAACTGAGGTTGAAATCCGCTAGCATTGTAATAGTCGCATTTTTTCGTTGTTGAAAGGAACAACTTGCAGATCAGTTCCGATGTCACTTCACAAGGTATCATCCATCAATCGGTCAGCGGGCACGAATCCCGCAAGTCGCGGCGGTGAATCATCGCTTGAATTGGAAGCTATTGGTAAGCACTCATTTTTATTTTTAGTTAGCGTCTGATGATGCAAATTTTGCATATTTCGCAACACAGAGGGTCGCCTCGTAAAACAAATATTTGAAGCGAATGTTGTTTCGGCATTCTCTCACCATTTTTTTTCTGAGTCAAAAACTGATCAATTTAGTTTTGCGGAAAATCGAAACATTTGTCGTATTGGTTCTGCGTTCCCACCAGATCGAAATAATACTTGAAAAAAATTTTTTGAGGAAGCACGTGTTAAAATTAATTTTCTAATTAGTACCATTTGAAACAGAAAATTGGAATTCCAAAAAAAAAGACATTTACCAAAAATTGCCTTCGCGAACCCATTGAATATTATTTTTTCAGCGGCTGTCCATGAGCTTTCGTTCGCCGTGCAATCGATCAGCGTCTCGGAAATGCTGCCACGAACGCCCGATTTGATATTCGTCAATGTCACCACTCTAGAAGGTTGGCTTTTCGGTGTTTCAGTGGCAATCATTATTCCAATTTTTTTCAGGACAACCCTACTGTCTTGAATTGACGCTGAAGGGATGGCGAATCACCTCATTGAGAAGCGATTGCATGGTCGGCGACTTCACGAGACTTGAGATGTTCACCAAATATTATGATAGCTTATACGCGCTGATGGATACCATCTCGCCGGGATATCGTGCGAGATTCGGAGAGAAACTCGCGCAGAGATTGAAGCTTCTTCAGGTAATTTGATAGCAAAAATGATTTTTGTTTCATTCTTGAATTTCGTCGATTCGAAATTTCGCAAACGCCAAAAAATATTTTTTGTTGTTTTTGAGTTGATCGTGAACATGCGAAAAGACATCTTAAATTAGCCGCTTTTGAAAAATTGATGAAGAAAATTCGTCACGCCGAAAATTTGATTAGCTCGATTAAATTTTGGCTATTGCATTTTCTCGGTACAATCTAGTCAAATTAATCTCATAATTCGCCCAATTGTTATTGTTTACCCTGATTTTCAATCAATTTTGTTTGATTTTTGCAGTTTGGCGATGAGGACGACACACAAATTGCACCATGCGCTTCCTTTCAGTCGCCAACTCGCTCGAGAAACTCGACGAGCTCGCTGAGCCGGTGCTCATCGACCGAATCACTGCCGATCATCACTCCGGCCAGCACGCCCGCTGTCACCCACAACACTGAAAACCCGTTCTTCCAGTAATTGTGATTATAATTGATATTGTTAAAAGTGTATAGTGTTTGATCATTACATTTTATTTAATATATCGGGTTTGCTATTCGTTACTTAATATTGTTTCGGTTATTTCGAAACACTCATTATTATTATTCAACGTACTATTTTTTGATTTAATTTCATTAATTGTCGTTCTTCCAATTAGATTGGCAAACTTTTATTCTTCAATTTTTTTGTTATTTATTACTTCACGAATTTGGCAAATTACGAATAAAATTAGTGAGACTTTTAGTGTTTGAACTTGTCTGAAAAGAATGTTACAAAAAAATTTCCTACTGATTTTTAAGTTTTTGGTTTTCAGCATCAATTAGAAAGAGTTGCTCTAGCTCTCAGAATGGAGCATTTTCGTATTATCGAAAATAAAATCTTCTTTTTAAAAAAAATACTTGAAAAAATTGAAGTCGTAAATTCTTTGGATAAATTTCTCGAAAGAAAACCAATTTTTTACATGGAAACGCAAACAATATTTCTGAAAATGAATGGAAAAAATTAAATTTTATGGAAAGTTCCCAAGCATTTTCTTGTAATTTTTTAGAACATTTTGAGGGTTAAAAAAAGAGTATTTCTCAATCGGCAATCGATGAAAAAAAAAATCAATTTTTTTTTGTTTTTTTTTTTTCAGGTTTCATTATTCCTTTTTTTACTACGTACCAAAATAATGGATCGTTTGAACTTGACAGAACAACAACAACATCCAACAACATAACAGTCATCCTTCGTTTTGGTTTCGCGCGGAAACGTGTTATTCATAGCAAAAATTTGAGTTCACACATGAGCTGATATATTTCGATTTTGGGACACCTAGGGCTTCCATTCGGGACGGCAAAAAAAATTAATTATTTTTGTTTTCAGATGAAATTAATTTATTGGACAAAAATGGAACGCCCTTTGTTGATTTACGGTGAGGTAGCTTCTAATTTTATCCAAAGTCCGAAATCCTCTGTTTTTAATTCGAATTTGAATTGCCGCCTCGAAAAATTGCGATGGTTCACAAGTTCTCATTTCTTTGCGATAGTAATATAAAATTGCGAAGAATATGGTTTGTCGACGGATGAATTTGAAAATTTTAAATTTGCGGGCTGCAATTTAACGGGTCCCTTAAAAATGGGTCCAAGGAACTTTGAATTCATTATACTCATTCACAGAAGGGATTTTTTCTTACGAGACCCAACAATAAGCAGAATGAAACCATGATGGTCCGAATTGATTTTTTTTTATTATTCAGGTATTTTACTGTCCAATTGTAAGCCCTACTAATGACAAAATATGGAAATCGATATTCGAAACTGAAACTCCGACCCTGATTCTAGAATCGATCCATTGTTTTGCTCGAATAGCTCAGCGGAATATATTGGGTCCACAATGTTCTCGAACCTTTCTGCGTCCATCAAAAGCCGATCGGACATATTAATAGTTTGATTTTTAATCTTCGAGAACATTCGAGAGACTGTGACTGTAAATGGAGACGCAGACACACAGCTGTTTGCGCATTTGCATAATTATGGTGGGGGAGGGCAGCAAGTGCCATTTTAGACGGCCCTTTGAGACGATTGAGGTCAGAGATCAGAGATTAGACTACATATAAAAATGAGTAAGAATGGGATAAAAATAAGTTCTTTATTGTAAGCAAACATACACAAGAAAATTCTCACGTAATCAACTTTTTCTCTGCGAACTTAATGCCAAAAATTGATGCAAACGTTCAAAATAATTTAAATGCATAAAATTGCAGATTTTCAACATTATTCCATTGGCAAAGAAAAACAAGCGTCCTGTGCCGATTTACGGTGAGTTTGATTCGCAGGTAATCCGTAGAATTCCCACTGCTTAATGGACCTGCAATGAAAGGAATTTAAAAAAATCAATTTTTTCATTTGAATTCTCGCACGTCGAAAATTACAAAAAATTGACACGATATATCGTAATTCTCCGCTGTTCATTTTCAAAGGCGCGCGCGAAAAGTTGCGTGGGTCTCGTCGCGATGTTGGTACTGTAATTTTTAATGGCTGTTTATATCGATATATTTGAGCGTTATTAAACGTTTTTTTTTTTTGGAAACCGGAAAAGCATTTTGTTTATTCAACTCGAAAGGTTCATCAGAAGCGACATTGAGCGAAGTCTGCATCAAATCAACACAAAGATCAAATTTTTTCTCATGATAATTGGTATCTAAATGAAGAAAAATAGACATAAATTGTCGCATTTGGTGTATTTATTCCAATAATTGTGTTTTTTTTTCCTCGTTCTTCAATCCGCTGCTCATTTTCCTCTTCAAAGTTTTCAAAAAATACGGAAAAATAACACAGAAAGTACCAATTTAGCGACGGATTTTCGACATGCGTGCATTGGGAATTCAAATGAAACAATTTTTTTTCATTTCATTAATTGATCCATAAATCAAAATTTGAATTATCACCTCAAAAAAAGCGATGGTCCACAATTATACAAGGCACTTGCGATAGCAATTGGTAATTTTCGACTTGACAAAATTTGTCCTCTAATTTTTTTATTTAGAATTTGTTCTTTCACCAAATTTTTGAACTGAAAATCCTTAAAAATGCTATAATAAGTCCTGTCGTATCAAGAAGAAATGCGTTTTTTTAAAATTTAAATATAATATAAATAATTTTCGAAAATTAGATTTTTAAAAACATTTTGTCAGACGAAATTAAAACTTAAAAATAATTCTCTTAAAGGGGGTTTCACACAACTCCAATAAGTCACATTTGTTCTCATTCTCATTGAATAAATTCATCGCGCAAATTGGTGCGAGGCGTTGACCATTGAAAACGCGCTCCATTGAACACGCCTATTCTGAATTCGTTTTTTCTGCACCGATTTATTCAATGACAATTCATCCGATTTTTTATCCTAAAATATCAAGGTAATTTTTCAAGAATTTTTTGAAAATTTCGAAAAAAATTGAAATGACTAAAAATGGTCCAAAAACGAATGAATATTTGCATATTGGGTTCAGGATGGAGCTCAACAAAATGCAGTTGAGCGTTCTGGGTGGGAAATTCGAATTGGCGTCCTCACAAATTTGCGATCTTCGACGAAAGTTGTTCATCGAAGACAAGGATTTGGACGAAGAGCAAGCGCAACAGATCGAACGCGCCGCGCACTATTGCGTCTGCTATCATCGTATGCACAATGAGCACGATTGAATCGAAAATCTAATCCGTGGCGATTCAAGTTCCAGATAATAAGATGATCGGATGCGGACGAATTCGAATGATGGGCGCCGACGTCGTCGAATTGGATCGTGTCGGCGTGTTGGAGGAGTTTCGCCACAATAACATCGCCTGGGAGATCATTCGAGGCCTCGTCAAATTGTGCTCCAATTTCGGATTGAACTATCATATTTTATTCGCCACCGTCCCCAAAAAATATGCTGATCTCTTCGCGCGAATCGGGTACGATTTTTAATTTCACGCGAGCCACCAGAATTGGTCGCTGTGAGAATTTTTCAATTGTTTTTTTTTTCTTTGAAATGAAAATACAGAAATTGGATTTTGCAAGAAATTTATGAATAATTTTTGTTGGGTCTCACAGCGACGACCGATTTTTTTTACAGCACAGTTTTCTATGGAAAACGATTATTAGCCGAATTTTTTGCAATTTACTACTTAGAAATTAATCGTAAAATCAAATGCATTAAAGGGAAGTCACTTTACTTCCCGTCTTGAAATTTTTTGTAACTTTTCCCACGTAAACTAGAAGGTCTTCTGAGTGTGTTCTCAAAATTCCAGCCTGCATTGGGGGGTTCCATACGAGTTATGACCATCTGAAAAAAAACACGCGAGTCCTTCAGTTTTTAAAAACCTTTTTTTAGAACCGTCTGTTAATTAATATATATTAATTGGGGACAATGTTCAATTATTTTTCAGAAATGCATTTTTTCCAATTTTTTTAAAGATTCACAATCGCCTCGAAAGAATTCGAACAACTTGATATGCCACACGTTCGTATGATGTTCGGCACGATACGCGACTTCAACCTATTCTTTAAAAACCATCCAGGAGAGCCATTGTGCTCATGCGATATTCATAAACGTGTCGATTTTGCGAGAATGCGAGATTTCGTCGATAAGATGAAGCGCTTCGAAATCGTCAATTTGCCGTTGGCGTCGGTGATGCTCGATGGATTTTGGCTGCCGAACGAGTTGTTCAAAACCTCAACCAAATGGGCCCATAAATGTTTCGAAACGCAATTCCAAGGTATCATCGGCTATCAGAATCAATCGCTACGAGACCCGCATTTATCAACAATTTTATTCAACACGCGCACGCAAAATTGCACACAATTTATAATTCTGAAGTTTCTTTTCAAACTGATTTTCACGAACTTTCCAATTTCGAATATTTTGGGAATACGGTATTTAAAGGCGCTTACCGTTGAGTCTCGCGAAGATTAATTTTGATAGCGACTTTTTTCTGAATTATTCGACGTTATGTATAACAATGTTTTATTTTCGCTCCAGAAGTCCTAACGGAGGAATTGAAGAAAACCGGAATGGACTTGTTGGCGATTATCGAAACGGAACTGCGAAAAACGAATCCGGCATCAATTGTTGAATCGTATAACTATTTGTACACCGTTGTACAATTTGTTCTATGCTATATCTATGCGTCGTTGGGAAATATTTCTGTAAGTTGTACCAACGAATCCAAAAATCTTCAAGAAGCTGAAATTAATTTTCAAAATGTAGCCAGTTTGTGCGGAAAAACGATTATTGGAGTTAGTCGCCACGAAATCCGACTCATATTCGTGTTATGATTCGACTTTCCGAATTAGGGAACCCACTCTAGCCGACGTGAAATGTGTGCAAACACCGCGACGCAATTATTACACAAATGAAAAATGATGGAATTCAAATAATTTTTTTACCTCTCTTATTTGCTTTGAAAAAAAAAAACGATTGAAAGACCCTTTTAAAGCTAGATTAGTTTTTTTTTTAAAGAAAATCTCTGTATAATTTTTGGTTGATTTCAGTTGGCTCTACAGTGCGCGGATTACGGTACCATGTTCGGAATGTGCTACGTATTTTATGCGCCATTGGTGGACTACGCAGATTATTTGCATAGTAGAATAATGCTTCCAGATTATCACGTTATTCATTCCGATTATCTAATGGTATGCGTGCGCCTTTAAACGAAATCACTTCAATATTGTTTTTTGTTGTAGATTTACGAAGAAAGTTATGAGAGGGTTTATCCAACGACGTCGGTGTACGAGTGCGCGATGAATTTCGACGAATTCTACTCGAAATGTAAGCAGAATGAGCCGGTGATTTGCCGCGGCGGTTATATCGACGCGCCCGCCATAAACGCATGGACCAAGTGCGAAAAAGAAACGTCTTATTAATACATTGATTGATTGCATTTGCAGCGTTGAATATTTCTTGAGGCTCTTGCACAGCAGGCTTGTCATGGTCACCGTGTGCTCGTCGTATACGGCTGACGGACCCGAAACGAAATTTATGTACTTCAAGGATTTCATGGAGAACAAAAATGTGGGTTTTTTGAGCTGGAAACTAGCTAGACAATAAATTATTGATTTTTTGAAACCCAATTATTTTTTCGTGACAATTTTTGGAAAAAGAACATTTTTTTTTCTGGACAAAATTTGATTCGTCCGAAAACACGCGCGCGCAAAATTGCACAATCACAGAAATTATTATTATTTTTTTAATTAAAATTTTAAAAATTTTCGCGGCGACAAAAAATCATCTGTCCAACTTACCGGGAAAAAATTAGACGGAAACTGATATTTTTGATTTAAAAATTTGAAATTTCGTGTGGTTGCAATTCAAAAAAAAAAACATCTATAGCTCGGTTTATTCCGAAACAAAAAAAAAGCGAAAAGTTTTTGGAATTCCAGAATGAGAAAATTTGCATTCGAATGTATCAAATTTTCCAACAAGTTCGTCCGCTGTTCACCGATGTTTCAATTCCGTACATCTGTCAGCGTCTCAACACGACGAACACGCTGCCGGAAGAAAGTATTTGGATTGGCCAACAGAAAATCACGTCGCCGTTCCAAGTCGACTATGTGATGCATATCATATTCGCTCAGGTAAAAATCGGAAATTGCAGTCTACTCTTCAAAATTGGGGTATGAAAAATAAGAAAAAAAGTATTAATAATTCTGAGGGTGTGATTTTGAAATTTCGCAAGAACCAAAAAATTTGCCATGCACCTTTAAACTTACCTTCGTTATACGACGAGTGTCGAGACCCGACGCAGATATTTTTATAAATTACAGTATTGTCGACGTCGGGCGACTGCGGGTAATTAGCTAAATGCCAAAAAATTGAAGGAGAGGTCTCGGTGCGCGGTGTGCGCCTTTAAACTATCTTTATACTTATGCCCGTAAATTTACACTTTAAGTTTTGCGTCAAGACCACTGCCTTATTTTTTGGCATTTAGCCAATCTTCTGAAGTCGCGCAACTTCAACAATAGGTAAAAACAAATTTTTTAAAACGACTACCGTAATTTTAAACAGAAAATAATTCGCCTAAGAGTACTGTAACAGAAAATACATACCTATTCCAAAAAAAAAGTGGCCCAAAAAATTTTTATTCGAGAGATCACGCGAACCGCACCGCGTCTGACGACTTTGAATATCTACGGTAGCTGTTTTTAGGGAGAAAACAGACCATGTAATTTTTTGCCTACACCGTATTCAGAAACACGCTAACCTTTTGAGTTCAATTTGCAAAAATGTGGGAATCTTGAAATCAAATATGATTTTCAGCATGATTTCATAATTTTCAGATTTTCGGAAAAGTGCTCGTGCGACTGTGCTGTCCGAAATCCAGCGAACAAATGTATCCGATGAGTGGTGCTTTGAGCTATATCAGTCAGGTATGAAGATTAATTTTTGGACGAACAAATTCTTGATTGTTCAGGTTGACGGCGAATATCCGGATTTTGAAAAGTTCCCGCGGTTTGCTGATGTCGAGGTGTTCGAAGTCGTCATGTGCCCTTCTGACTTGCTATTCATTCCACGTGGCTGGTGGTATATGGTCAAAAATCTCTCGCCAGCGATTTCCATCCATTTTCGCCAACAATAAAACCACACTAACTTGCCATGGGTCTCGACGTGTTAAAACAACACAAAAGTGGTCTCGAGACTAAATATAAGTCAATGTACATTCTCGCAAATATCCCCTCATCGCCAAAATTTTGATTTAAACATTTTGCCCTCGCATTTGTTTTTGCTGATTTGTTTACCTTCTCAACTATTTATTTTTGGATAATTTATTACATATTTATTTGCGCATAATATATACATATGTACAAACGATTTAAATTAAAATTTGGGAATTAATCTCTAATGTCAACGAACACATTATCTGAAATACGCATTTTGAACAATACTAATTATTAATGTAATTCCTTAAAAATTGGTGGCTCCTTCCATAATTCATATTTCAAAAAAATGCTTATCATAAAACCGTAAATCTCATTTTTATTGTATTCTTGTCTTTTCTCATAAACCTAACGAAAATTGTATTCTCATTCGAAATAACACTATCCGTCGCCGTTGAGCGGGAAAATAAATGTTCCGACTGTGATAATCATCAACCAAACTTTACTGGAGATTTTTCAATTTTTATATTGTCGAGCGATTACGCAAAATTGACTATATATCAAAAAATTTTAAAAGAGGTCTCGCTGCGCCTTTAATCTATCCTTATATGTACGTAGTCCGTAAATCCACACTTTTAGTTTTTGTGCCAAGACCACTTTCATTGATTTTTTTGGCATTTCGCCAATTTTCGGCCACTTTGAAAATACAGAATTATAAAAAACGTAGTATAAATTTTTATGAATTTGAAAGTGTACTTGTTTATTAGAATTTTTTATTTTTCTAACGTTAAAAATTCATAATTAATTTAAAACTTGAGAAAAACCTTAATTTTCTCACACTTTTGGTTAGTTCAATGCTGAATAGTCCACATTTAAAGGTCCAACCTTTTTTTATTGTTTTTTGTACCCAAAAAAATAGAAAATTCGTAAGGAAGCTCGTCGATGTGGCCAGCGACACGAGTAGCAAGGCAACTTGTAGCCTCGCTACTCGTATCCCTATCCGCATCGTCGAATTCCTTCTTCGATTCCGTCATGTCGACGGGAGGCACTTGGCAAAATATTCAGAATATCATAATTCTCGTTTCATAGGATAGTATTTATACCCAAAAATTGTCGACGTGGAGGGTTTTTTTGTACGAGATCGAATTATTAATACAATGATTGAATTATCGCTGCTGAGAAAAAAAATGTGGGAAGAGGGGGGGGGTCCGAAAATAGACATTTGCATAAATATTGAAGAAAAGAGAGAGAAAAAGATTGCGACCCCTTGACATAAAAAAATAATGTGATGGGCGACGAAATTTTCGAACGTTTTATGCGTTTTTTCGGGGTACCACATATTAGTTTTGAATGGGTCTCCTGTCTATCGGAATACAAAAAAAAAAGATGATCGGAATACAGAAAAACTTGTAAAACCGAGTTGCTCGTGTCAAGGTCTCGTCGATTTTGTGATTGAAAATAACAAATATTTTCCACAATATTTTTTTTGGCAATAATTTGACAGTTCTCGTTTGTCGCTCTAACTAGTGAGGGCCGAATATGGAACTCACAATTGTGGAGAATCAATTGCGTGAAAATCAAAAAAAAAATTCTGATGAAAACTTAAAAAAAATTCGGGTTTTCGATTTTTTTTTCGGGTTTTCGATTTTTTTTTACAAATGCAGAGTATGCGTCTGAAATTGCGGTATAGCGCGTTTTCCAACAAAAAGCGGTTACTAGAATTTTTCGCTGCAAAAATTGTAGTTCGGATTTTTGAATGTGAGCGGAACGCACGCGAGCCGCAACGCGTCTGGCGACATTGCATAACTATGGTAGCCGCTTTGTTTGGGAAATAAACTAAATTGATATTTATAAGAAAAAAATTCGGTTACTGAAAGCCGCATCAAAACTCAAAATCCCTGCCGAATTCTCTTATACATATATAAAATAAGTGTTGCTATAGAATCGCATGATAAACCAGCATGCACGACTCAGACTCACCGGCATTCGCAAGAATACGTCTAGGCAATCTCTGCCATCAGTCGCTTTCATTTTTTCCCAAAAAAAATTTCTTATCATTTTCGAAAACAATTATTATTTAAATGCATTTGGTTGGCAACGTATTATTAAAATTTTTATTATTTATTTCGAAATTCGGCAAAAAAAAAACACGAATAAAATTAGTGAAATTTGAAGCAAGTCGAGCAAGAAAAATGAAACCGACGGACAGAGGGGGACAAGGACAAAAAAAAGCGAATGAGGAACTAACAGGGTGCGTCAAAAATTACAGAAAAATTTGCTTATGAATGTTGATGGACTGGGAAGCGACAGAATATTTCTTACTGGGATCGGATAACAGTGCGAATCACTTGTTGTTGCACATTCTGAAAATTTTCAGATGAATTAAAAAATTTTTTTTGGAAAAGGAATTTCAAAAAAAACCGAGACATTCAACTACATTAGGTATTTTAATGTTTGGCGCGAATTTAACAAAAATCGATTTCTTCTAAAAATTTTCCAAAGCTTTGAATTTTCGCTTCAAGAGTTCAAAAAAAACCTATCTATAATTAATCATCGTTAATTACTTTCTACAAAATTACTCCATGCATTCTATTAGGTCTGCGCCAATGAAATACACCATTTTTGGTAATTTTCATATATTTATTTTATTCCGACAAAACTTTACATCAAAATATATCTTGTATATCATTTTAATAATCGTAAAAAACGTTTTCTGCTGTCGAAAAAATTGATTCTTATAGTTTTTTATTTCGTAATAAAAAGATATTTCTAAGCTGAGTCATTCTAGAATGGTGCATTTCAATTAAGCGGATCTAATATTCGGATAAAGCCTTACATTGTTAAGCGTTTACGTCGCTTAGTCTTAAATTATACAAGTTGCAGTTTGGTTAGAAGGCGTTAAGCCTGAATATGGCCCATTCGCAGACTATTCACCGCATGTCCATTGTGTTGATCTTGCTGTTGCTGTTGCTGCTGTTCGATCTGCAAAAAATGGCGAAAATTGTCATCGACGAAAAAAATTGAAAAATTCCAGGCGATACCTCGGCCGGATTGTAGCGCGTCTCAATTTCTCCGCTCGACTCGACAACTGGAAAATCGAAAACTCAAATAAATATTAATGGAATTCTTGAATTGCTAGGACTACTAATAGGTTAGTAGAATTCTCACCGCGATACTGTGGCGGCGGTGGTGGCCATTGTCGTTCGATCTTCTTCGTCGGTATGTGCTTTTGAAGAATCTCGACCTGCTCACGCTCGTGAGCCTCGGCTTCTGGTGGCGGCCACTGGACAACCGGCATGTGTTCGGGTCCTTAAATGGGAGGAGAGTGTGCACACGGAATTCGGGTTGCGAAGCTCATTCGAAACCGACCTGAGATGTCCGCCTGCGTGAGCTCGTGCTCCGGCGGCGGCCAGACCCGATTGATACGCGAAGTTTTACCCCAAATCGCTTGCTTCATAACGCCCGATTGATCTTGATTGATCCAAGCGGTGTCGTCGGAAGCCTTAACGACAAGTGGTGTAGCTCTGCAAATAAACTGATTCATGTAGTTCTTCCTAATCGCTCTAACCCCTCCTTAACGATTTCGTCTTGCGGCGGAGGCCAGACGGCGGCGATTCTCGCCGGCTTATAGAAGCTTCGTTGAAGCTCGTTCTGCTCCTGATTCACCGGCACCCATTCTTGGGTCTTCGTCTTCGGCGCGGTGATAAGCTCGACCTGAGGCTCCTCGGGGAACTCGTTCCACTTCACCTTTTGGTACGAAGCCGGCTGAGCAACAATCGTTCTCTGGAAAAAACGAAAAAATAATAAACAAATTAGGCATCATGTGGGCTCGAAAAAGAGATTTCCTCAAAATTTCTAGAACCATTTTTAATTTTACCTGAACTTCTTTCTCGGTTAGCTCCGGAATCGCAATCTTGCCAACTTGTGGTGGCGTGAATTCGACTGGAACACGCTTCTGCGTCTGCCAGCATGCGTCATCCTGCAAAAGCAAACCATCGATTGAATTTTAGGAAGAGCTTGATGTTCTTCTATGTCTTAAACCTATAAAATTTGTCACGTGCCTTTAAACTTACCATCGGTATAATTGACTTATGATTTATATCGCCATTATTTAAATAAGGCGCTTGTTGATGGGCCAACATTGCCGGTTAAACACCTACATGAAAAAAATCAATTTTCTTAAAAAGAAGATGGCAAAAGATAATGTAGAAGTAAACTATAATAAAATGGGTCGTCGGCAAAATGTGGGAGAAGAAATAAAAAAAATAGGGGGACACCTCCATGAATATTAAACAACGGCCCAATCTGATGTCATGTTTGGCGACGAACGGGAGACGAGTACCGAGAAAATTATATTACTATTTATGGACAATTTTGAGTGCAAAAATCAAGAGAACTGCTGACTTCTTTCTATCTCATAAATTACCATATATGTACATATGCATAGGAGGCCCTCAGCAAAAAGGGTATATCTAATATTGCAATGCTCATAGATCAAAACTCAACCAGTAGAGTCGGACAATCCTTCTTATTTTTTGCAAGGATGGAAGCTTTAGTTTTGAATTCTCAATTAGTCTAGAGTACGTAGATCAAGAATTTTAGACAATTCTATTTAGAAGATAAAAGCTTGAAGGAGGGCTGACCATCAATTGCCTTCAAAATCTTCTACACGAAATAATGAAGCTGAAATTCTTACTGAAAAGTCTAAAAATATTAAATTTAAAAGTGTAAAGGGTTTGTTTGATCAAGGGTCGTGCAGTAATTCACAAAAGTATTTCTAGCTGTCAACTAGGGTTCCGTGGCCGGACGCGGCTTCGAACTCGTCTCGGCTCACCGATGCGATGATTTCTAATTCCTTCCTCCAAGTTGTTGATTTCGATATTGTTTTTTCTGATGTCCAACCGCCCACCATCTCTCAATTTCACACTTTCTTTACACTGGGAAAAGTGTAAATAATTCGAGAGGAAAAAAAGAAAAAAAAAGAAGCATTTCGAAAGGTGTCGAAAATAAATGGCAATTGATTGGATCTCGGACGGAATTTCGGGATCTCAAACAACATTAGACCAATTAACCAAACCCAGACAAAAAAATGATAAATAACCTCAAATTTGTGTGCTAATAATTGGGAAATTCATAGATCCCTGCACTTCGCTCTGAAAGCGGCCTAATTATGCTAACAACATTTATACATATAGAATCAAGTGGAGAAGGTTGCAAAAAAAAATAAATGAAGAGATAGGTGGAACTGGGCAATTGTCACCAGTTTGATCTATTTATCACCAGGGTTTTGAGAGAAAAACTATGAGGAGATTGAAGGAGTCGGTGTGTAACAAATAAGACAACACATGGCTCGGAAATTGCATCAACACAACGGCTGAGAAGGAGGTGAAAAAAGCGCTCCGATGATTGCCGATAAATAGGACCAATTAGGTTCATTTTGAAAGCGAGACGCAAAACAATTGGCGATGGGTTGAGACAACAGCTGCATCAATATATTTTTCTTGTGAACGATGTGAATCATGATGCTGAAATTCGAGAACAACACCACTACCTCAATTGTGTTTTTTTTTGAAAGTGTGCTTCTCGATATCCAGGAACAAAAAATTTTGAGTTTGAAATGACAAAAGTTAAAATAGTTTGGTGGTGCATTCGCTGGGACCCTTAAAATTTGAATTTCTCAATTTTTAAAAATTGGGTCTCGCTGAGAAAATCCAAAATCACGCCCACTTTGGCTTATATCATTGTTTGAAATTATGAAGTGAACGATCTAATTGATCGATTCACGATATGCAAATTTGTCATTTTTACCCAATGCATGTACGTAAAATTTGCGAAATCTGCCGCGAAACATGACTAATTCGATTAATTGGCATTACGCTGATGAAATTTGAAACAAGAAATAATTTAATGGTCCAATTACAGTGTATCCAACTTATGATGAGATGTACCAAATCTCTAAAAAAATTGAATAATGTCCTTGTGCCGCATTTGAATGCGAATTTTTCGCGCGTTCGCCTGGGAGCCTACGAGATTCGAGCTCGGGCAATTCCGCCCTGGGGTCGAGAGGGCGAACGCACCGAGATTGTCCGTTTATCTATCCCAACGAGGCTAATTCCTTAGTCACAAGAGAGTCCAAAGTCCGTGTAATTGGAAAGAGCCCGAAACAATTTTTGAAATTTGTGTCAACAAAAAAGAAATTGGAGGGGGGGGGGGCGGGTCTGAAGATGGATGTCAAATGACATCTCTATCAGGAATACAAAGAAATCTGATCACTAAAAAAGGAAGCACAAGAAGAAGAAGGAAAAAAAAAAGTAAAAAATGGTGTATGCGTATTAAATTGAATGCGAGTCCAAGCGGAAATTAAAAAAAAACTCTTCCTTTCAAAATATGGATATTCTATTTATGGTCACCAATGTGCTCATTAGAAAGAGAATGACGACACCAGTGGGTTTCTGAAGCCTGCGGTATTTCACCAAATTATAATTGAATTATCGCGTTTCACCGAAAAATGAAATGGAATTGAGAGAAAAATTGCTCAATCATGTGATATTCTTTGTATTTCCCCCTTGAATGTACTAACAACAATGAACGAGGAAGATGAATGAAATCGCAATTTGGAGTGGGTCTCGTGACGATAATAAATGCTTAAATCTTGCCGTTTTGCTGTAACTACATTTCCGGTTCAAGATTTTGAGAAGAAACTGAAACACTTTGACGCTTTTCAAGCTCAAAATTAATATTATTAGTAGATCAAAAACCGAATCCAACATCGTCATAAATGCTTCGAGCAGCGATGAGTTTTGATGGCCGACAACCAAAACAAGGACTCTTTCGGTTGGTCGAAAAAAATAACAGCAATCGACGCAAAAGGAAATGCATCATGCCTGATATTAATTAAATCACAAGATTCTTTGGGAGGGAAATAAATATTTAATTATGAGCGTCTCCATTCATTTCTCCTTAAGCAAGGATTGTGTGTGTGTTCCAACGTCACAATCTTGACTACAATTCACAAATATTTGATATTATTATTGAAGATTCATCAAATTAATTAATAGCCATGAATCTCTAAAAATTCAAACATTCAAAAAAAATTAATGAATACTAATTAGCGATCATTAGAGCCGTTGAATATTCTGACGGTCGATCGAGAAGTTTAATTAATCGTCGAGGAATGCGAAATAATTGAGAGATCGGGATGGAAGACGAGGTTTGAACATGGCAAAGCAAAAAATTTGCAAAATTAAAGAGATTCGTTCATGTTTTTCTGTTTTCTGATGGACAGCTAATATGTGATTCGTCATTTTTATTGCAAAAAAATGGACAGAAACTATTTATAACGACTAAAAATTAAGCTAAAATTGATTTCGCGAAGGGTCTTTTCTGCGCATCTTTGAACGTTCAGCGAGTTCGACGCAAACTAGATATCAGCTTTCTCTATTTATCATTAAATGTAAAAGTATCCGTTTTTTCTTATTTAGAAATGTTTGAATGTTATAGAGAAATATCAAAATATAAAAAAATCAAAATAGAGAAAAACTCGCCACAGATCTTGCATTTCCTAATTATTTTTTGATGATTTTCGCAAAATTGTATTCAACTTTTTTGGATGAGCTTCCCAAAATATTCCTGCCGTTTAAATGTTATTCATTCTCGCAAAAACAGGTATTCTTTTTCTGAAAAAAGAAGCTTTCGCCACTTCAAAGGCGCATACGCGTAAATCTACCCTCGTCTATCTATCAACATTAGAAACATGTACATCTAAAAATTTCTTCCAAATTAAAGATTTACAAAAATTCCATGAAGATTCGCAACGCGCAACGGAAATAAATTGTCTAAGGTCTTAGCGCGATGAGCTGAGATGAGGATGCGCCTTTAACCTACCCGTTTATTTAGCCAGTAAATCTACATATTCCTCTACCACAGCTTTTCTTAAATTTTGAAGCAAAACAATTATTCCAACTTTTAAGACACCTTATTTGAGTTGCTATTCACTCCTACAGTAATTGATGTGGATCGTATCCAAATAAGGACCATACTAATATAAACGTACCTGAAGAATAACAGCGGCGGGACCACGTTCAACCTGCATCGTCGGCTGTTGTCGACTTTCGCGTGCTGCTGAATCGTCGAGCCATCGCTTGGCGCCCTCGAGTTGCCCTCGCTGATGTACCGCCTACAATCCATTGATGAGATTCTATTTGACACACAAGCGTCACCCAAAAGATGCAAAAAAATTATATACACACGGAGTGGAGAAGCGAACGCGACGCCAAGCCGCCTCAACGCGGCCATATTGTTTGCTGAGCTATCGAGAATCCGAGTGGGGCGGATCGCGCTCATCATTGATGATCATTTCGAAACGATTCATCGACACTTTTTCTATTTGTTCAAACCAATTTTTTGATAGAATTCAACCAGTTCGGTTGCCAATTCATTTGTTTGCCCGATGATAAACGTGCACGAATTGAAAATCCCCTCCCACCAAAAAAAAATAGTTTATTTTTATTGGATTGCTCGTTCGAGATTCTCAATTGAAAAAGAAAAGCTTACAATCTTCTCCGGTTGGCTTTCAGGCTTCTCGACGAACTTCTCAGCGATATGTTCGGCCTGGATTTGCGGTTTTCGCGTCGGCATCGGCGAACGGATCGGCGTCTTTTCAGCGGCGAGCTCTTGCTCCTGGATCTGCAAAAGTTTATGAATGTCGCAAATCAGAACATCTGTTTTCCATCCCGTTCTCTTTTTTTTGCGCTTTCCGATAAGTTTCTTTCGAACCACATTCCATCGGGTACAAAATAACAGCAAGTGGCATGGCATGGGGGGCAAATTCCAAATTGACCTACTTGAGCAGTTTGACGCAGCGCGGTTTTGCCTTGTGGTGGCGCGACTTCGGCTCTCGGCTTCGGCTGATCGAATTGTGGCTCTTGAGCTTGAACTCTTCCAGGAGCACGACTCCATTTTGGGCCAGTCGCCGCTGAAAAAAAAATTAGTTTTTTTCTCGCCAAATATCGAAATTCTACTATGAATTTCTTGAGACGCAATTTCGGTCTTTGCCAACGCTCCTTTCGCTGGTTGACCTTGCGGTGCAGCTGGCTGCACCGGAGCAGGCTTCACTGGTTGGGTTTGAGCAGATCTAGTTGGTTGAGACTGTGCTGGCTTCGATGCTTGTGCTGGAGCTGGCGTAACTTGTTGTTGCTGAGCTTTCTTTGCATTTGCTTGAGCTTCTGCTTGAGCCTTTGCTCTTGCTTGAGCCTCAGCTTGCGCTTTCTTTTGAGCTTCTAACGCACGAGCTTGTGCGTCGGCTTGAGCTTTCTTCTGAGCTTCCAAAGCTCTCGCCTGCGCTTCTGCCTGAGCCTTCTTCTGAGCTTCCTGAGCACGAGCTTGAGCCTCGGCTTGTGCTTTCTTCTGAACTTCGAGAGCACGAGCTTGCGCTTCAGCCTGCGCTTTCTTCTGCGCTTCCTGCGCTCTAGCGATCGCTTCTTGTTGAGCCTTCAGAGCTCGAGCTTTGGCTTCTTCCTGCGCCGCTTGCGCCCTCTTCAATGCTTCTTCCTGCGCTTTCTTGGCCTGCTCTTGCGCCGCCTTCAGCGCCGCTTCTTGTTGCGCCTTCGCAGCCGCCAATCGCTCCTCAGCAGCCCTCTTTTCAGCTTCAAAACGTGCCTGTGACTGCAAATCGATCGATTACCCTTTTATTTTCGATTCAATGAGAATGTACTTCGTCAGCAGATGGTCCAGCGCTGCTCTGCGTTTGAGCCATTCGGGCGGCGGCTGCCTGAAGTGCAGCCGCTTGTTGAGCTTGTGCGAGTTTCTGAGCTTCGATCATCTTCTGGCGTTCCTCCAACGCCTTCTTCTCAGCTTCGGACTTCTCCTGGATTTGGACGGGTTGCTCAACAATGACTTCATTAGCTGAAATTTTTGGATCTATTTTTTTTGTCAAAAAAAATTTAAATTCGGACCTTGTCTCGCCGGCGCCAAATTTCCGATCTGATTGACGACCTCCTGCTTGACTTGCTGAGGATTCTGCGCCACTCGGATACCAAACGACTTTTTCTTGGTGATGATTATCTGAAATTTCGATGGATTTGATTTCTCCGATTTTCCATCATCACACCTCTTCGCCATCAGACGAATCATCGGAAGAGCTATCATCCTTGCGATTTTTGCCTGAAGTTTGTCCAGTTGGTTTCTCCTTCATGGATACCACAATAACTAAAGAGGCGGATTAGTAAGCGTGTTAATAAAAGATTGTGGGTAACGTCTACAGTTGATTTTCGTTGCGGGACCCCCCGAAGCCAAAACATATGTTGCATTGATATCAAGTTTTCCTTGGGTTTTCGCAGACAGCCTCTTCCTCATCCCATTCAAACAAACAACGATGCGAGAGATAGATAGATGAGCGTGTCTCGAGGTGAAAAGCAATCAGGAATATATTTTTGCGAACGCCGACTTGAAATCGATGAGCAAAAACAAATAATGCGAGGTCGAGTGGATGATTCGAAAGTGCAAAATCCCACGAGTACTCGATTCCGCGTTTTTTTTTTCTCGTCGGCTGTTCGAATTATAACAAATTTGTGTCGAAATTCGAGAAGCGGGTCCCCCCCCCAACTCAACATTTTTTATGACAACCTATCAGGTGTTCTTGTTTATCCCGATGGTCGTTGAGCAATGTCGGCTGCGGGATGAACGAGATTTCAACTTATGTGAAAATCACCCCCAAAAAAAAAAATAGAAATTTCGGGCAATATCGACTGGAACGACTTATGTGTTATAGAGTTTTCGGAAACAAGAATATCTGACAAAAAGTTCGCTAGGTTCAAAAAGCCCCCACTCCAAAAAAAAATTTGGAGGTGCCAACAACAACAACGTATATGTCATTTGCTCCATGGAAGATAATGGTAGTTTTTTGAAATAAAATTTCAAGTTAGTTGAAAAAAAATCAAAGCAAAAACATCGCAAAAACAACATTTTTTCTAGTTTTTAAATATAACCATTGCAAAAATAAAATGAGTGAATTGCATAATTGTTGACCATGGCACTTTTTTGAGACGGTTATTTAAATTCGAATTTAAACAGTGGAAATTCAGATACCGTACACGTTTTTGGGAATTTAAATATTACACACAAAAAAAACTCTCAGGTCATCCAGAGTACGGTATCCCATTTCCCACTGTTTCAATTCTAATTTGAATTGCCGCTTCGCAAAATTGCGATGGTCCACAATTAAGCATGCCACTCGTTTTTTTTTGCAATAGTAATACTATTCTTTACGTGTGTTTGAACATATTTTCGCACGCTAGAGTTTATAATGTATTTCTCAAGAAAAGGCGGCTATCGCAATTTTTCGCTGCAAGACCTTGTAGTTCATTTGTATACAAGGTGGTTTTATGCCGTGCTTTGCTGACGCTTTTTTGGTGCGTCAATACATTTTTTTTCATTACATTATCATTTATTCGTATTTCAAATTTTTAGTTCAATCCAGAATTTCGATGAATTTCGAAAAAATGACCGGATGTGAAACGTTTAAGGACATAGAATCATTTCGGTATACTGGTAATTCAAAACCAATCGGATTAACAAGATTCGGCTTGAGAATCAATCCGATCCGACTGGTCATTCTGCCGATAAAATGGTAAAATTTTCGGATCCAATTGTAATTTTTCTGGTCCGATTTCTATTAGGTCCCATCCGATTGTCTAATGTTCGCATAACATTTGAATAAAAAAAATTTTAACCAATCAGATTATTCGTTTTTTTTATAGAGAAATAGAGTATATTTTGTTTAACTTTAAAATTTTCCGATATTTTAAACCTCAAATGTTAATAAATCAAGAAAAAATCAAGAAATCGAAATATATTTGCGATTAAAAGTTAGTCCGCGCATCCCCGTAAATCTACACGAGTACGAACAGCGACTAACATATTTCAAATATTGAAATTCCTCCGTAAAATTTGTTTTGTAAAAAAAACCATAATACAGGAAGATCGTGCGATTTCGGACAGAATAAAAAGTGAAGCCTAAATTTGGTCCCCTAAAAGTTCAATTTTTTTTTTCTTCGATTTGGTCCCCTAAAAGTTCAATTTTTTTTTTCTTCGATTTCCCAAAAACATATTTCTTTAATCTCTATGTTTGGTTAAAACCTCTATTAGAAGTTTTCCCAGAAAAAAAATCTTTTTCTCAAGTGACAATGTTTACTTGCCGTGTTGTCAAAAGCCAATTAGCGTTCAAACATCACATCAAACTAATTGTTACAGTAGGAAAAAGCGTCTCGAAGCGAATGAGAGTAATAATAATAATAATAATAAGAAGAAGAAGAAGCAAAACGATGGATAAATGTCACATTTTACTAATCACGTGGGTTACGATAGAAGCATACCTGTATCGGGCATCTCGTCTCAATTTTGATTTTAATGATATCCGAGGTCGACAGCTCAATACCTACTCGTTTCCACTGTCCAAAGCCCTCCTCCTTCTACTTGCTCCCGATTTTCGCACCACACTTTCCTTTATCTCTCACCGCCTCGTCTGTTGTGTGTGTTTTTTTTTTGTGTGTGGAGACCCGTCAGTTGGCGACAGGCTGTATTATACATCATGCGTGAATGATGATGACGAGAAGCCGGGCTTGTGCTCCATCCACCCCCATACCTGCCTGCCAACACGATGCCGATGATAAAGTTCTTGAGTAGATAAATCAAAAAACGTTGGTTCGAATCCTGCCGAGGCGTCTTCTCACTCTTATAAATTTATTGGGTTCTCGACGCGAAAAAACAATGATTTGCTCAATATTCTTTTTCGATTTATCAAATTTAATATTGAAAATTGATGAAGAATTATTCGATCTATCCCAAAAGTGTAGCGAGCACGTTTTCGGCAATTCGAACGCCGTGGTCTGCAAATAAAAGAAGCTACTCAGATTTGGTGGAGAATGGCGATATTACTATCAGTGCGACCACCTCCTCGTCCTCCCATGTTTCCTCCACGGCCTCCTCCATTTCCTCCACGACCTCCTCCATTTCCTCCACGGCCTCCTCCATTTCCTCCACGACCTCCGAATCCATTATCACGACCTGAAACATGGAATTTTTGCTGATATGGTCTCGAAACGATTCGACAAGCCTCCTAAAAAATATCTTACCTCCACCGCGACCTCCATTGTTTCCTCCGAATCCTGCAAATGAATGGACTTGGTCTCGAGACGATTCTCTCAAACTCGTAAAAAAATCTTACCACCACCGCGTCCTCCATTGTTTCCTCCGAATCCTGCAAAAGAATGAGATTGGTCTCGAAACAATTGAACACAAATTTAAAGACACATTTCTAAAATATTACCTCCTCCACCGCGTCCTCCGTTGTCTCCGAATCCGTTATCGCGCCCTTCAATTAGAAATTTTGATTAGATTATTCTGATATCGTTACCACCGAATCCGCCTCCATTTCTTCCACCAAATCCTCCAGATGGTCCTCCTCCGAATCCATTTCTTCCTCCGAATCCTCCAGAAGGCCCTCCGAATCCAGGTCTCCCTCCGAATCCAGGTCCACCTCCGAATCCAGGTCTCCCTCCGAATCCAGGTCCACCTCCGAATCCAGGTCCACCTCCGAATCCCGGTCCTCCAAATCCTGGCCCTCCGCCGAATCCTGGCCCGAATTGGGCAACAGTGGCGCTAACAAGTACAACAAGAACCAGGATAACAAAAGAGTTCATTCTAAAAAAAATTTAATCCTAATCACGGACAAGAAGGGGTATCGAAGAACAAATACAAACAACCGGTGTTACAAGAAAGAAAAAATTTGTGTCAAATTTTCGTTCTCTCGTCGACATATATGTATATATATATATACTACGGGGGGAATTTTTATCAAATCTGACCCGAAAAAAAACGATAACATTTCAAGGTTTCGTTTCCAATCGCGGACGCGGTAGGATTCGATGACCAGGAAGTAGCAAGATGAAGAAGAATGAAGAAGGAAAACTATTCAAAACAGAAAATAAAAAAATCGCATACAATTAAACAAATCGCCCATTTTTAGGCTGCGTTTGAGTTTGAACGTCGATCAAGGCCGTCTGCAACATACTTCGACTGTCTATGGTACAAACTAACGATCTTTTAATTCTCGAGACACCTTGAATGACCTTTGAATTCGTACTTCCAGTTTAATATATGTATACGATTGTCACGTTAGGGAGTATTAAAATGTCATTGGGTATCAACATCAATAAAATTACACACTGGATAATAAGACCCTTTTGAGGCTAATTTGTGAGCTTGTTCAGGAAGCGGAAGAGATTTTGGTCAAGAGAGTTATTGTTAGATCACTGAACATTGATTCGATGGTCTCTTTCATACGTCTGATCGATTGGCGTAGACAGATTTTCGAAAAATTTTTGGTTCACGAAATAAACCCAAAACCAGGGACTCTAAGTTTAGGACGCTCCTCAGGTAAATGAAAAACAATCTTTTTGAAAATGCTTTGATTCGAAATCGGCATCGGATATAAATTTATTTTTTCGTCGTGTCGATTGTTTTTTATTTACCTGTGGAGTGTCCAATCGACCGTCGTTTAGATTACATCTAGGAATCTATGGCCTATATAGGAACAAAAAATTTCATCGAAAATATCAAAAAGAATTCGTTTGTCTAGAAACCATTAATATAGACTAGAATATATGTGTACTTACATTACTTCCCGGTGCGTTCCTGATTTTGAAACCTCTCAATTCCGCTATTCAATCCAACAATATCAATAAATTCGTCTGAATCATTAGAGCGCCTGAAATTCATTGGGAAATTCGTTTATTAGTAATAATTTATTACTCCTCTTCAGCGATTTTATTGTCATTTTCGGAATTGATTGAAGCGTTCACAGAGATTATTATATTTCTTAGCTGAATGGATCGATTTAAGTAACCATTGTCGAACATTCAAATTACCTTACGAGATTTTTCAAGAACTATACTCAAATATTGATTAATTTTTGCATTCATCATAGGATTCAACTTGAGAGTTTCCAATAGTTGCTGTGAGGCGCTCATTTCTTTAAAGAACATCTCAAAATGCACCCTTTTCGCGTCGTTCTGAAAAATCTCCTAATTGGCTTCTTCGCCGAACATCAACCAGATTGTCAAGGTAAACCTCTAAGTAAGATGCATCATCGTCGTCAATATTCGTTGTATCAGTTTTGGGAAGTTCTGAAATTAGTCTTTTTCTTCTACTTCTTTCTTCACACGGAAGAACGAAATGTTTCGATTTTCTGATAGTTAACTTGAAATTTCAAAAGAATCTCATTTTTAAGTGTCTGCGAGGAAAACAATGTGAGATTTATTACATTCGCAAAAACAAACGAGCACACAGAATTTGAATCGAAGCTAATTATAATTGAATTGCCGGAACCCCCCTCCCAAAAAAATACGGTAGTCCACAAATGCTCAGAGTTCTCGTTTTTTACGATGAAAATATTAAAGTTTGAAACACAAAGAGTACCGACTCACTTAAATAAGATATTGGCAAGGTAAGCGGTTCGTTACCAACACCATGAGTTTCGTCATTTTTCATTCGATTGATCACTAAAATATCCAAATTTTTTCGATATTTTTTTGCGTATTTCAACATCTTTTTTGCTTTTGTTGAGTTGATACGATCATGCGAATATCCGAAATTGTCATTGCCATTATTCGACGATCTTGAGACGAGTTGCGATCGCAAAATGAGTACCTCTCATCTAAATTACAAAAAAAAACGGATATTCATGATATACTGAACAAAGAGCGAAAAAAGTTTTGATTAATTTTCCAAAATAATGTAATATTAGAATAAATTACCTTTCACCATCATCAGAATGGCCTTAAATGGAAGATGTTTGTTGGAAAGTTCCAGAACACGAATTTTCAGAAGGTCCGGAATTCTAACTCTCTCATCATAATGCAGATGATAGTCGCAATATCGGACCTCGATAACACTAAACTTCATTTTTATTAATATATGCATTACTAAATTACCCGTTCAGAAGGTAAGATTTATTAAAGAACGCTGTGCAACAATCCTCGGTTCTTACAATTTGCTTCGTCGGCCTCTTCCGCTTCATTCCAGCTTTTTAGTTCGGCTCAGAGCATTTTTTCGGCACGTTCATTAAACCCAATATCTCATTTTTGCTGATTTGTCGAGCTCGATTACATCGATAATATTGGGTGATACCCTTCTGAAACAAACTCCATAAGCACCTTTAAATTGAATTGCACTACCTTATTTTTTTTATTTCCGCGAGTCATTCGAAAATTTCCACCTTTGCCTTCTAATCGAAACCGAAACTCGTTAAATTCCGCTTCAGAATTAAACATTTCAGTTTTGATCTCCGATGGTATCTTGTGGATCTGATGAAGGTGATTGCACAGGCTCTCGAGGGTCCCAACTTTGGTGTTACACTGAAAATTGGATCTAAAAATCAGGATTGTGCAACAATGTGATTGCCATATGTCGAAAATTTGTTTTTTCTTAACAATTACATTTTCATCAAGGTATTGTAACCATGTCGTTGAAAACAATTATCATCTAAAATACTGAAAATTTTCTTTCTGAAAATTTATCGAAGAAAAATTGGAGACGACCACACATCCCTGCTTAACATTTTAAACTACCTGCGGACAAGGAAATCGTTGCGGTGTTTGATAATTACAGATTCCGTGTGATTTAATTGCTCGTGCGTGGTGATAGAAAACATTTTTCCGTAGATACATCTTACAACTTTCGCATTTGAACTGCTCTTCAGTTTTTTGAGGCTAAAAATTATTTTAAAATCAGCGAAAAAGTCGATGAAAAAACCTCGGAATTCATTTTCGAATTGGTCTCAAATGGCAGTGGCACATTACTCTGAAGAAAAAATGTGCTTAAATTCAAATATATATTTTAATCACTTCGATTGATGGATAGAATAGTAATTTTCGTTTTTTCGTTGCCAAATTTTCATTAATGGCCATTTTTGAGTTGCTGCAAATCAAAGTCCAATTATTTTCAATATATTTCAATTATTCTTGCTTGTTGTCGTTGAAATATTTGCATCTTGTCGATGTATTTTTCAGAAAGTATGCTTTTGGTAGATCCAATCCTCTCCTTCGCATGATATTCGAAAATTGTACTTGCAATTCAAAAGGCAACGATTCCATAATCTCACAGGCATCCAATTTTGTTATGAAGATCATCTCGCCAATCTGATGGATCTATTCAGTGAATGTAAATTAAACAAAAACGACAAATTTTCATTATGCAGCGATGTCGTTTTTGTCGCAATAAGCGCTTAATTTTACTGAGGGGTACTGTAGATCGCGGGTCGATATTTCAAAAAAATTGGCACATGCTCCTTGAATATCGATTTTTTTAAAATATTTTTTATATTAAAATTTTCGTATTTTCACTCGTTTTTCGCGGATTTTTTTAAATAATTTAAACTTTTTTTTGAGTAACACTTTTAAATAATAATTTCATATCGTTTTCGTTTTTTTCTATTCCAAAACTGAATCGATTTTATTCGAATATTGTTTTAATTTAAAGAAATTGAATATTTCAGATCGTTCCATGGCTAATTTGGATAGGTTACGAAATAAGAAAAAGGCTATAGTAAGAAATACAATTTAAACAAAAAACAAATAAATGAATTTATAGATTGCACTGCTTATGAAAAAACGAATTATTTTGGTTTGGATATTGAAACAAAATGCATTGAATGCATCTGAAACAATTGAAGTGATCAAGAAACAGAGCTTCGATCTTTTTTGTGAAAAAGTCAACCGATTAGTAGATTGTGGTGGTATTGAGGTAAGGAAACAAGTAAAACAAGTGAATTTCTGCATAAGTAATGTAGAATAAATTAAGTTCGTGACCGGCGTTTCTAACAGCACGTTCATGGAACTTCTGAAGATATGCCGAAATCACGAAGGTCGAATCAATGCGACAATTCGATTGGCAGTTTTCTTAAAATACACAAGAGAAGGTTATTTTTTAGTTGTTTGTTAGTTTTTTACAAGCATTAAAATTATAAAATTTATAGGTATTAGCCAAAATCTTCTTGCGAAGGAAATTGGAGTTTCGCAATCAACGATTTCTCGACTAGTTAGAGATACAATCGAGGATATCGTCCAAGTTGCCGGAGAACAAATCCGATTGCCACAAAATCGAAGAGAATTAATTCGTCTGGAAGAAGGATTCATGAACTCTTCTGATCGAACTCCTCGTCGAAGAATTCCATGTTTTGCCATATTGGATGGAAAGCATTGGAAGATCGAGCATCCTGCGCATACAGGATCGTTAAATTATAATTATAAGTCGTTTTATTCATTTAATTCTCTTTTTTGTTGTGATGCAAACTTGCGTGTTATATATTTGCAAATCTCTGAGCTTGGAGTAAATTCGGACTCCCAAATGTTCAGAGATGGGCCTTTGGGAGCACTCCTCGAAAATGTAGCCACAAGAGGTGGATATCGCCCGCTTCCGAATTCATCCATTATAATGCCTCCATTTATAATTGCTGATAACGGATTTGGACTATCTAAGTTTCTTATGCAACCCTATAGGCAGCTTTCCTTGACTCCAGAAAACATGCGTTTTAACGAGATTATGTCGGCAACTAGGGTGAAAATTGAAAATTTTTTGGTGTGATGCAGTCGAAATTCCAGATTTTCAAAAAAGCCCTTAATATGGACCCGTCTTCTTCGCGCGCCCTCATTGTAGCACTTTCAGTTGTACATAACATATCACTAGGTGCTCCTCCCGATCTTCCACCTGACCACAACTTTCCCTTACTTCAAGACCCATACAGCGATGCCGAAGATCAAAGAACGGCATTAAAAAATTATCTTCTTTATCATGTTTAATGTTTATCTTTTTAAATTTAATTGTTAATATAATAAAAAAAATACTTAAAAATAATTTTCGTCCAACAAACTGAGAGAAGTCGTCTGCTCATTTCTTTTGCCCGTCGGTTGGAGATCCATGATGAAAGCGATCGCTTTCGCTTCGGCTTGAATTTGATCCAATTCAGGCCAATCCGCAACGTGGCTGGCCATGACCCTGCACAATCGGTCAAATTTACATTTGGGGGTTTCCTTGGCTTCCTCATCATTCGATCTAAGCAGCTGCTTGATTTCGCTGTTCGTCTCGCGCAACATACTCATCAGCTCATCGCTGTCTAAAACATACCCATAAAACTCCATTTTTTATTGCTAGAAACCTGATTTTCTTCGTTTAGCAGTCTTCGGACTATCCGAGGGTCCCCGCGATTCAAGCAACTCAATACTTTTATCACCGCATATGAAGGCACTGTAGTAAAAAAAAATTAACAAAAAACAGGTAAACTTACTTTTTAACTTGTCTTTTGTGTCTGACTCCATCCAAAAACTGTAAATATTCCGCAAACGGAAATGATGATTCCAATGTTCCAGTTCCAGATCGAGCATTTTGGATTCGCAACACATGTCTATTGAAATCGCGCGTTATCGAATCCCACAATTTCCAAGCCGTCATACCTAAAACTTCAATTTTACCGATAGTGGTTTTGAAAATACCATTTGGTCTTCCGGCGCGGAGAAATTTCTTGCACATGCTTTCGATATTCTGAAAGACCTTAAGCTTCAATTCTCTCCTGTGGTATTCTTTAATAGATGAGTCCCAAATACTTGGGTACTGCTCAACGGTCTTGATGAAGTCCACAATAAAGTGTTGTGGAAACTAAAAAAATTTAATTAATTTATAAAATCCAACAATTCATTTTTAAATACTCACCGCTTCATATCCGTCATCTACAAGTGGCTTTCTCCTTCTCGTGCGCTTAGCTTCTTCACGCTGTTCAGCAATTGGCAAATTTCTTGGCCCATGTGCCTCCACCACGTCTTCGACCAAAGAGTCGTTTCCTTCATACTCAGCGAATGACATGCTTCAAAAAGGAAATATATGCACAAATTAGTAGTTTTTATGAATATCACCAAGTGTTACTCAAAAAAAAGTTTAAATTATTTAAAAAAATCCGCGAAAAACGAGTGAAAATACGAAAATTTTAATATAAAAAATATTTTAAAAAAATCGATATTCAAGGAGCATGTGCCAATTTTTTTGAAATATCGACCCGCGATCTACAGTACCCCTCAGTAAAATTAAGCGCTTATTGCGACAAAAACGACATCGCTGCATAATGAAAATTTGTCGTTTTTGTTTAATTTACATTCACTGAATAGATCCATGAGCGATATAATAAATAAATTTTTATTCACTTGATTTCAGCATGCTTGCCGTAATTATTGTACTGAAATTCGTTATTTATTGCTGATGTTCTATTACAATTATTATAGTTAACATCCTGAAAACAAATTTGAAATTATATTATGATAATAATTCACAAGAGAACTTGATCAGTGTAGGTTTCTTCACAAAAATCCCCGCCATCAATTTCCATCGTTGGATACTCCGTTGGGTTCATATTTCTTTGAAAAAGTATTTCAGGGTAATTTGACGTATGGTACTCATTTGCAGCTGACCTATGCCACATACTCTAAAGCAGAAAATATCAAAAAGTAAGGAGAAAAAATTATCAAAAACAATTTAGTCTGAGATTTTGCGTCATAGTGTAGACACTTGCTTGACTACAGTACCATCTTTAATAAAAAAATTGTATAATTATTACAAATGTTTAAAATCATTTTTCACCGTTATTCTACATAAACTGTTGGTTTTTATTGTTCTTAACGTTATCCATATTTTTTTATTTCCCCTTGTTATTTTTTCTGCAAACTTTCGCATCGAATTGTTCAAAAATGGTTAAAAATGGTTAATCAAATTTGATTTTTCTACTAACGAATGCATAGCTTTAATTTAAATAAAAAATTTACAAATTTATAATACAGTGCCATTATTTACAATATCGATTCCAAACAACCTATCCAAGAATCGAGGTCAGAATTTTTTCTGCAATTCTTCCGCCGTGATCCGGATCTCCAGCAACTAAAAACGTGTTGAGCAAGGTTTTCATTTTGAAAAAATGACTACCTGGATGATTGAATTCACCTTGACCAGTTCCATAAGTTTCGGGACCTCGAAAATCACTTGGGCCTCCAGCGCCATATGGACCACTATTATAATCAGGCCCATGTTGATGTTCATCGCGGAATCCTCGAGGGCCTCCACTGAACCCATCATAGCCGCCTGGACCATCTCCAAATCCACGCGGACTTTCTCGATATGGTCCAAGTCCATCCGGAAAACCTCCGGCACCTTCTCCGTATTCTCGTTGGGCACCGCGGTAGGGACCAGGTCCATCGGGAAAGCGTCCTCTTCCAAAACCGACCGGACCTCCGTCGAACCTTCCTGTCCGACTTTCAAACACCGCTTCGCCACCCGCCCCTCCATACGGACCACTATCACCATAACGGGATCCTCGACCGAATTGCGCGGTCGCATACCCAACGGCGAACAATAGAATAAAGCGCCGCATGTTCGCTGTAATAATACAATTTTCAGGTTGAAGAAGGCCAAAAAAATGAAAATCGAAGAATAAAATGCAGTATTCGTCGAAACATCTAATATATCAATAATGAATAGATCGAGAAGCCTGTTCGGCAAAATCATTTCTCCACCATTTATGGGCGCATATGCATATTGTGGAGATGATAGCACGAGATTAGCGGCCGACACACGACCTCTCCAAAAGGTCAAATGAAAGAAGATCAAACATTTATTATTAGAATTATAAATTTGAAATGTTTATGACTATATTCGATTTCCAAATAATGCGCTAAAATTTATTCCGTCATATAAGCTTCATCATAGATTTTCAAAAAGAAATGTCACAGGGTGAAATGTTTGATTGGGAATATTCACAATAAGCTCTTGAAGTCTTTTATATAATCAATGTACAACTTCATCGTATTCTGGGCACCAAACGAATATTTTTTTTAAGCTTTATAAATTATTAACCAAGAAGAGTAGCGAGAACATTTTCAGCGATTCGAGCTCCTGCGTTGTCTCGTCCACCACCGCCACCGCGTCCTGCAAATATATCGATTGCCTCGAAATTAGCTAGCTTACTTACCGCCGAATCCACCTCGGTCACCTCCACCGCGGCTTCCTTGATTCCAGCCGCCTCCGCCGCGATCGCCGCCTCCATTCCATCCGGATCCTCCTCCTCGTCCATCCCAGCCGCCACGTCCACCAGGGCCTCCACCCCAGCCGCCATGACCCCCAGGGCTTCCACCCCAGCCTCCATGGCCACCAGGGCCTCCACCCCAGCCTCCATGGCCACCAGGGCCTCCACCCCAGCCTCCATGGCCACCTGGTCCTCCACCCCAGCCGCCGGGACCACCACCGCCCCATCCTGGGCCGCCATGCCCGAATCCTGGTCCACCGCCACCCCAGCCTGGGCCACCGCCAAACTGTGCGATTGCATAACCAATGAAAAACAAAAGAAGAAGAATCGTTGACCGCATTTCTGAAACTAGGGAAATTGGTTGAATCAAAAAATGATGAACCCAACAATGACCAGATTCTTCGGGTTTAAATAGTACTCGTTGCGTACTTCAAATGATATCATTTGACATTGTTTTCTCTCACTATTTGATATCAAAAATTACACAGAATTGAACCGAATTGAACAAAATCGATCACTTGGTTTAGTTGTCACTTCCAATCGCCTTACAATTCACCGTTTGCAGGATGATACAGTAACTATGATCCAAAGAATGAAGCAATCATAAAAAAAACCTAAAGATGATTAATTCATCCAAATTTGCTTGAGGTTCCTCTTTCTTTCTTATCATCTCGTAAACAAAGTCAGTAGAAATTTCCTTAAAAAATTTCACTGAAAACCAGTTTTAATGATAATTAACTAGGGTTCAACGTCGATGATTTGCAGCAAAGTCATTGGAAAAAAAAGTAGTAAGGAATAATTAGAAATTCAAAATTGTTGCGTGATACTCTCAGCGATATCGCTTTTTCCAATATTTGATCATTCCCAAAATTTAAACTATTCAATTAGTAACTGCTAGTCTCGTTTCAGTAAGTTGCAATCGAAAATTGGAAGATTTTCTATTGGCCTTGGAATTCTGAATGTGCAATTCTACTACATTCTGATATTATTTTTTTAATAAAAAATTTGTCATTCAGGAGATATGATTGAATCAGATAGCAATAAAGAACTTGAAAAAGACAATGTAAAAACCGAGGAGAATACTGTTGTTAATAGCACCTTCGTCAAGCAATATTCATTACCATTTTAGGGATTCAATGAAAAAGTGCAAGTGCTGAACGTACCTCTCGACTGCCTCCATTATTTTCTACTAAAGAATCCTGGCGATTTCTGCCTGACCAAAACCGAGAAGTGCGGTCTGTATTTGTCGATTCTGATTCCCCGAGATAGTTTCCAAAGCGATGAGGAGCACCCGATTCATCTTAAAATTGAGCAATACGAGTATATCAATCACTTTTTGTCGCTTTATCGTTTGGTTTCATTATAGTTTAGAGTACGGAATTCGAGGAATGCTCTTCACAAGAGCACCTTCTCTACAGCAACTAATCGCCGATTTGAGCAATAGTCCGGTTAGATTTGGATTTCGACGATTCTAACCTTCAATTCTCTATCATTCAGATCCATGTGCTTTCTGGCGTTCTTGAGAAAAACGTGATGATGATACGAATTATAAATGAAGCCGCATTGCTCAAGGCAAACGTGTTTCCGAAAAAGGAAGTATTGAACAAAGTGGTCATGAGCAATGACAACATGTATAATGTAAGATCCGGCAATGGAATTGACGATTACCGAAATTTTTATTTTTCGGCAATTCGGCAGGGATAGCTTTTCATTTTTAATTCTCTTATGAAATTATGTTTTTTTTTTCGAGTCACTGTGGCCGGTATAAGCGAAAATGACTACATTTGGGCCTAAAAACAGAACATTTTGTATCCGGAAAATTGTTGAAAATCGATGTCGAAATTTTAATTAATTTATAGAGAATTGTTTGATTTTATGAATTTTGGCATAAAAAATTTACAGTAGCGACAAAAATTCAAATAAGCTGCTGAAAAAAACGCATTTTTGTGTTTTCAGACATTCAGCGCCGAAGTGGTATTGAGCAAGAACACACCGGAGAAGGTGATTTTATTGGAACCAGCCACACCAAAATTTAATGAAGAATTTCGAAGAAAACTATACGAGGTTTTATTGGTTTTACTTTTTTTTGTTGATAATTTCGCTTCTAGGAAATGCAAATGCAAGCGATTGCAAATACGAGAAGGCTTCCGATTCGCGTTCCTCTTGGAGCGATTATCGAACCAATGGCTTTGATTTATTCGTAAATGTCTAAAATCTGGGTTTTTGTTAATGTATATCTTTTTTCAGAAATCAAAAGGGCTATCCATTGGATTACCTTCTGGACACTGCCCAACATTGTATGGATATGTGCCAGCGCGTTAAAGTATCAAAAACTATGTGATTATATGTTAATAGCCTAATTATAGATTTGTGCGAGTTGCGTTCGAATTATGTCCGATTTCCACACCGAAGGCTTATTCCACGGCGGTGTGCTTGCCAGCAATTTCTACGCGATTCTGACAAATGAGACTGGCAGTTGTCGAACTTTTGAGCTTTTGTTCAATGGTGCCGACGGAATAATGATGAAAGGGTCCCGAGAATATCAAGATTTTTAACCAATATTGCATTGAATTTAAGAAAGAAAAAGACTCTGGAATGTGTCGATTATGATTTATACGCGCCTGAGCTCGCGTTCACCCGTTCAATGACTCCGGAAAGCGGTGTTTATAGTATGGGAAAGTTGTTTGAGAAGATTTTGGAGCCTGATATTTCGGGTAAGTCGTCAAGATTTAAATTTCGGCGTTTTGAAAAGGTTGTATTCATAATTTTCGTTAGAATTCATTCAAAACTCCATGTTTGAATTTTTCATTCAGGAGTTTTTTCATTTTCTTATACATTTTTCAAGTGTTGGATAATTGATAAATTTATTTTCTCAAAATTCGAAATTTCTTCTTAATGATTTGCAAGTCTCAAATCTTACTTCAAATTTCAGACAGCAGCGACATAATGAGAGAAATGCGCTACTTGATAGCTGTCTCCACGCGAAACAATCCAATGCAGCGACCAACGATGCATGGAATCCTGTTAGTGATCCGTCAACTTCTACACAAGCTGCCTCAGAAGGAATGCAGCATTAATTTCGTTCACTACGATCAATTCAACTGATTTTATTGGTAAAATAAAAGAAAACCAATTGTTAGTAACATTAAAGCAAAATTTAATAGTAGTAATCAGCAAAAGAAAACGAAAAGCAAATTAGAAATTTCTTGGCACATGATGTTTGTTGAAAATATTATATACAAAAACAGTTGGAACAGACCCGATTTCTCACTATGCATCATAAGAATCATTGTTAAAATGTGAAAATGAGAAATTAGGAAATTAACAACAAAAACATGAGTGTAGTATTTACAGTTGAAGTTGGCAAAAGAAAAGTAGGTACAAGGATACAGATGGCGGAATGTTCAATTCCATTGTTGGAGGACAGCGATGTTCTCCTGAGCATACGGGAACACTTTCTCGAACGCGTGTCTCGATGCGAGAAGCTGATTAAAACGGCATGGCTCTGGCACGATTTCGACGAGCTCCACCTTCTTCACTCGCCGCACTTTGCCGATCATGTAGCCCGGCCGACGCATGATCTTCGGCGCCTTCATCATGGTGAGCTTGATCGATTCAACGCAACCTTTGACGAGCAGATTCTGAAGTCAATTAACATTTTGAAAATAATACCTATTTTATATTCATGTAAATCGACAAAATATTAGAAAATGTTGTGAGATCAAGTCACATGGTAATGTGGAACAAAATCAATTGAACTTCAAAGACTATTTCACTAAATTATCTGTTATTGTCCAAAAATTTTACCTGAACCACGTCATCAGTTGGATCAAATCCGGCAAAACTGGTGTAGGAAAGCGCGCGAAATTTGGCTTCGCTTTCGGTAATTCTGAAAACCACGATTTTTCAAAGGAACGAACCATTCGGGATGGAATATTTACAATTTTTGTTTCGATAATATCAACTGCTGCCGAAAAAAAAAACGTTGATGTGACGTATATACCAATTTTTGTTTATACTAGTCAAAAAACATGGAACGCAGTAAAATGAATTACCTGATCATGTGAAATGGAATTTGGTTCGGCGCCGGCTGAAAACCAAGATCAAACGACATTAGAGCGAGACGGTCGAGGTTGCACTGAAAACAATCTTTTAATCTCAGATCAAATTCGCTCGAAGGCCCATAATTTAAATTTGAATAGTAGAATGTTTGTAAATAAAAAAATGCAATTCTCAAAAGCAAATGTAATGTTTTGTCTAAACGAAACGCTTACATCATCATTGAGTCCAATCGAAGCCTCAGAAATGCCGATTCTTGAAATTTCACGAAGCGTTTTCGCATTTTTGCGCACCAAATCCCCAATTTTAGTCACACTTTGTCCAGCATGACGACGTTTGACATGAAGAAGCTCAAGCTTCACATTTTCTACAAAAATTTCGCATTTAGGACAAGAAATAATTAATAAAACCGTACGTGATTCGATAACCTCGCCCAAAATCTGATTGAGTACAGTTTGATCCAAATCTTCAAAGTACAAATCGAGTTGTTTAATGCATGTGGCATTCGATAGTACAAAATGGACCATTTTTCGTGCGGTGTCCGCGTTTCGGGTGGCAGAATCCTGCAAAAAAGGCGGATTATCATCAAACATCGAATATATGCGAAGAATCCCGTTTAGAGAAACTAATTAAATTTTTTAATTAATTGGTTTCGCAGAGATCAAAAAGTGAAAAACGCTGTAGTGAATTTCCTAGTACCTTGTTCAAGGTTCGAAAATGAAATTTGTAAGAAACCCAATTATTTTTTAATTTTTCAAAGGAAAAAAACTCACCTGAACTACATAAACTGGTGTTGTGTTGCTTTCATCCCCGGTGTAGATGTTCGAGTTCGCCTCATAGATTTCCACTTTGAGTTTGCGAACCTTACGAAACGCGCGATCAACCGATCGGTAGGCTTCGCTATGCAGTGTCTTAAACTCCAACGCTTTTCGTAGCGGGACTGTAGACGCAACAATTTCGAAGATCCGAGACCATGAATATACATCAAGCACTGCTGGTCTCGAATGGAAGTACGGCGGGGTTGTCGGCGACGGCGATGCCGGCGTGAATGAGCACGACGGAATTTGTTTGTCAAGATCTCTATAATTCGTCGCGTTCCATCAAGATTTCAGAATTTCGACTCACGTTTTCGCGACAAGGGCTGATGTTGACATCGATGGCGATTCTTGTGTTCGTTAGATTTGCTTACAATTCAATGGTACACTGTAATGATAAAAGTTGAACACAAAATGTAGTAGCGGCAATTCTGAACAAGAAGACGAATAGGAAAACAAGTTTCGAATGTACCTGATAGGATTCGCTGTATAGTAAAATGTTGGGGGGAGGAAGCAGAGGAAGAATGGTAATAAAAGTAGTTAATCGAATTCGAAATGAATGTGTTTTGTTGTTGAATTGATAACAAAATATCAGTATGGCCATGCCTGGATGAGCGCGGCAGCAATCACACACTCGATCGCAAAAAAAAAAACAAAACATGCCCCGTTTCCTCTGAAACAGAGGAAGTGAAACAAATTTAGACGAGATCGCTGATGGGGGAGAAAGAGGTTGCGCGAAGGGATACTAATCATCATCAGCTTCTGTCTTTTTCGGGTATTGCCAATAATAGTTTGATTTTTCACGTTTATTTGGCCGACACAGCGAAATCATATGGTGATATCGTTCGGCCGCCGGCCGTCTTATCAAAAAAAAAGTTTCGATTTACGTTCCACAAAATGTTATCATTTATTTCGAAATTAAAAAACGTGGAGACTTTTTAAAGGAGGGGGGGGAGGTGAGATGCGAGGAACGCGTCCCAAATGACTGAACCATCCAAAAACTCACGTATGCACTCGAAGTAGTTCTGTTTGTGTGAATGTGTATGACTATGAGAGAGCGCGTGAGACAATGAGCGGCGAGAGAATTGAAGACATAGCGGACCACGTGCCGAATTGAGCACGCCTCAACACCATCCCTCCCCCCAAACAGATGGTCACGACAGGAATGAACTAGCGGGTTTTATCGCTAAACTAAAAAAAAAGAATGGTAATAGGCGGAACCCGAGCATCGCTAGACTACGCAAACTTGTTTGCATACCAGGCGGCGGCGCCGGAGGGTTTTTTCGAAACAAAAAGGCACGTGTCGAGGGCGAAATCACGACCAAAACAATATGTGACTGGTATTCAAAAGAGCCAATTAAAATTGAAATGACCTTTAGGTGTGAACAACAAACTAATTATGCATGTAGAAACATCCACAATTTTGGTTTAATTTATTGATTTGAAGTGAGGAAATTCAGGCAAGGGTTTTGAAAAACGAAGAACACTGTTCCAAAATTTTCATTTGTTCTGAGGAGATTACACAGGTTAAGACAGGTTGTGTAACACAGCATTCAATATATGTTCATCACATAAATCAAATGCGGACACCATGCTGGGATTGGTCACATTCTTTCGCCACAAAGTGACAAAGTACACAGTATCCAAAAGTCAACTAAATCAGGTATACACAGATAAGACGAGCAAGTCAGCTGCCGGAATGAATGATGAATGTAATGAAGATAACGAGACGTGAAGTGTTTAAATTTTTGAAAGATGATTTTTGTTACACACCTTGTTAGGTTTGAGATATTCTTCCGAAAATCAACGACACTGTTCAACAGTTCATAACGGATCAAAGATTGACCTTTCCTTTGGAAAAAAGGGATACACTGAGACAGGCAGGCAATTGAGGCCCTAATGGCATTATGACTCAAATAATACATAGTTGCAGCAGATGTTTGAAATGACAATGAGCGACAGATACTTATCTGTGTTTAAACTCTTAAGTTTGCATACAAAATGTTTCGTAACAAAGTGTTTCTGGTAATGAGAAGACGCCGGACCAAAATTTTGTTGTAAACTCTCACGTGGCGCAGCTTCACGTCGAACCGGTCTTATTTTTCGATTCGCGTCCTTGATTAAAGTGATCAAAGAAAAGTCCGACGTGCATTTTGAATTATTTCATTGACACCTGCTCAGACGATGATATCACTTTTTTTTCCAATGTTTTTTTAACGAGAAAAACACAATGAGATGATATTTTGAGATAGAAGCAAGATACAGAGTTCCTCGTAATTGCATAAATAAGAATGTTAAAATCTCGCCAAATTCATTGAGCGAAATGAAGGTTTTAGTTTCGCTAAACCATGGCGAAGTTCGGGAAAAAATTGGCGGGAAAATAACAGAACAAAATTGTGTTTCTTCGCCCGAAACTGATGAAACGTATTTAAAAAAATTTTTAAAAAGAATAATTAAAACACACATTTTTTACAACAAGCATTAGAAAAAAAGCGAAATATATATTTTTTTAATTTTCTGATTGCTTGAATTATTGGTCCATAATTAATGGAAAAATCCAAAGTCCGCAAACACCATACCACTCTTTGAATACTTCTTACAGTATGACTTTTTTCAATGTTATTGTCGAAATGGCGACAACGCTTTGTCCACATAAATTTCGAAGTCAATTAATTCTTATATCCAATTAAAATACAGTCGTTCTGAAAACGATCAAATTTTCTATAAAAATAGCTCCAAATTCCAACCACATGGCGAAAAAAAAAACCGCAAAGAAAAACAAACTGCGGTATCAATGTGCTCCAGCAAAAAAACAAACAAAACATTTGATTTTGAGTGCCAGGCCCCGCATCACATGGGTCTCATGACGAACAATAACGGGTAGCTGGGGACCAACATAGGTCAAAGACATGACGTCAGCAAACATTCTACAATTTTTCTTTATTTTCACAGTTAAATAAATAACAAATCTTTTTTTTTTTGGAAAAACTCAACAATGAAAAAACCAGGTGGAAGACTGGAGCATGACCTCGAGCTCACATTGTATCCATCAAGTCGACACCTTCTGACGCGCGCTCATCACGAGTTTTCACCTTATTCAGCTGCCACACCTGAAACCAAAATGATTGATTTAATTTAGCAGACCAAAAGCCAAATTGGTATGAGCAAACAAGATTCCTGACATACTTTGAAACGACGCAGAATTTGAACTTTGAGCAATTTTATGACTCAGAAAGTGCGAAATTTACCTGAATATATGACTCGGCTAGCACAATCATCTGCGGGAGCATGTCTTTAACATGAAGGTCCTCCAGCTCAAACCATTTTCCCGTTCCCTGAATTGCTTAATGATTATATGAAAATATCTTTTTTTTTCAAAATCAAACCTGATGAACGACCTGAATCCGATAGCTTCCATCCTCATACTTTCCTTCGTGCACAATATTCGCCACCAAGTCATATGTCGTGAACTTGTGTTTTTCTTTCGCATCATCAGCAAGACAATCGTAAAAATCGACATTACTAAAAAATTTCCAACTAAAAAAACAGCACATGGTTTCGCTTTTTTAATACCAAATAGGGAAATTCACAATAGTCGGGTTCTTCTCAACAAACCACTGATTCTTCTGGAAACGCTTGTAGGTGATAATCAGGTAATCCGGCAGTTGCAGAAGCTCAAATCGTTTCATAATATTGTCCTTATAAGTCTTATACTCCTAAAAATTGGATTTAGCCGAAAACAATATGGATAAGTGGATATACCTTTTCAACTTGTCCATTGAATTTCTCAAGAAGAACGTGAAGTGGAACTTGAGGAATGATATTCTGAAGTTGATCATCACGATACAACGGAGGTGGTGGAAGATCGAGAGTCAAGTATAAGAATGGGGTCTCCGACACAGTTTCTACAGAAAAAAAAACAGAAAATCATTCGATCAAATTTCAGATATCAAACCCTGATAATCAGGCAATGCCATTTTCCTCATTTTCTCTTCATCTGTATCCTCAGCGGGAACTACTTTTCGCGAATATTGCCGCATTTTTCCACGGAAAGTCCTGAAATTCTCGCGCGTAAACTAATTTTCCTATTAAAAATTCGATTACTTGTAGATGATCGACGAGTTTGTTTTCTGGGTTCCATTCAACGCCGTATGCAGCGTGTTTAACAAGAATGTCAGAAAATCAGCTGCGTCTCCTTGTTTGATGAACTGGAATTTTTTGTTGGAGCACACAACAACAGCCTGGAGCATTTCATGAGGGGAAACGTGCTTACGGAGAGCTCGCGGATTCCAAAGCTTTCTGCAAATTAGTTTTCCAATTAATCTGAATTATTTAAAAAAAAACTGTGATACCTAATTAGTTCACCAAATCTCATTGGTAATAATGTCAGCTTATCTCCAGGAGGGCGTTTAATCGACGTATAATTCTCTTCCCTTAAAAAGTAATCGCGGAGAGGCCTAACAGACGAAAGAGCCTGAAATAAACACAATTTTTAGGTGGTCAAAACACAAAAAATGCTTACATGAAGAACTACATTGCAATAATCATTAGCCTTGATGTTGTTAAGTCCGACAACTCCAGGGAAATATGTTGAATCGTCATAAGCACGAGCCATTTTTGTCTGAAAATTGCCAATCAAATTTCTGGAATTTTATAGAAAAAAATTATCCGATACTTACCTGCTTATCAATATTAGCAATCATTTGCTTCGTGTATGTCGGCTTCAGAACATACTTGATATCCTCAAGTGACGGATCAATAACCTCATAGTTATCAGGTAGGCAATAAAATTTTAAAGTTTGCAAATTTAAGAATACGTGATGGTCCGTATCTAACGCATGAGTGTATGCATGAGTATTCGTTCCTCGTCCCTATAAAATGTGCCAATATTCACACTATTGACTGAAAATTCTATACTTGGAAATATTTGCCGCACACCATACACGCATACACATTGAGATGAGAAAGGGACACGGAGCAGAGTTTTTCAAAGTCGAAATCCAAAACGCTTCTAGAAATGTTTTCCTCAATCATGTTTGTTTTGTCAAAAAAAAAACCAAACCTGTCAATAGTATCTAAATATGGGCAGGATCTACTCTGCTTTTCAGCTTGCGCTTTTCGCATCGACCAAACTGGTTCATCATCATCGTCAAGTGTTCCATTCTAAAATTAAAAATACTACATTACTAATTTTAAACCAATTCTACCTTTAATTCTTCTTCAATTAGTTGTCTTCTTTTAATCTCTCGTTCAGTTAATGGTTTTGGCTGTGGTGGAGGGTCGGCGATCTAAAAAAAACAAAGATATATATATATATATATATATATATATATATATATATATATATATATATATATATATATATATATATATATATATATATATATATATATATACAGTACCGCTCAAAAGGTTGGAAACTTTTGGTTTTTTGGGCATAACTTGATCGAAAACGTATGGATCGAGGTGAAACTTTCAGATATAAACTTTTTTTTTCAAAAGTTTTTTTACTATTTTTCTGTGCTTGTGCTTTTTTTGTATGCCGTTATTATTTTTGTAATTTTAGACATGTCCACTATCGAAAAAAAAAAACTGAACTTGACTGTTGAACAACAACGGGCAATTTACGCAGGGCGTCAAACAGGAGCAACCCTGCAGATGTTGGCCGCCCAGTTTGATGTCACAAAATCTTGCATTTTCAAATGTTTGAAAAGATGGGAAACTCAAAGAGGGGTCCTAAAGAAGTACCATATTGGACCTCCACGCGTGACAGATCGTGCGACTGATAGAAGCATTGTACGAGCCTCCAAATTCAAATCGTGAATGACGGCACCAGCGATCCAGCACAGAGTTTTTGCGAATTCTCCATCGCCTGTTTCGGTATCAACAATCAAACGCCGTTTATCAGTGGCAGGATTGCTCGGAAGATAACCAGTGAAGAAACCGTTCATTTCGGAGAAGAATAGAGGTCGAGTGGGATAAGCAACATCTGAATTGGACGCGATTTGACAGGAATGGTGTTATTTGGTCGGATGAAAGCTCTTTGGAAGTGACGGAATTCAATCGGTCCGCCGTCCTGTAGGTTCTCAATACAATCCCAAGTATCAAACTCCTACCGTAAAGCAATTGCAGGATTGGGGGGCGGGGGGGGGTGCTTTTTCCGGAAAAGGCAGTGGCCCCCTTCACCATGTGAAAACAATCATGGATCGCTTCGTCTATAAGGAGGTCCTGGATAAGCAGATGTTGCCGCATTTTAAGGCAATGGGTCGTGGTTGTGTTTACCAACAGGACAACGACCCAAAGCACACTTCCAAATTTGTGAAATTAAGAAAATTCGCTTTTTTTTCTCAAATATTCATCAATTGAGGATTGGTTCACAAGTCAACACATCAAGGTTATGGACTGGCCAAGTCAATCCCCGGACTTGAATTCCATTGAGCACTTGTGGGAAGAGTTGGAGAGAAGAGTGGCAAGCAGAACCGCCACAAATTCGAACAAAAAGTTCCGACAATTAGAAGAAGAATGGAAAAAGATTCCACTCTCGGTCATCGACAACTTGATCGAGTCTATGCCTCGCAGGTGCCAGGCAGTTATTGACTCCCGAGGTTTTACAATCAAGTATTAACCTTATAATTTTAGTTTCCAATGATTTTGCGTTAATAAACTATCTTTCCGGTAAAAAAAAAACCGACTTAAATTGCATATCCAAAAAAAATGTGTTTTTACGGATTTCTGAAAAAATGGCTTAAAATCCTTATTTGGTAAGTACGAATCATGTCTAATAGCTCATATCGGCAATTGCGTAAGAAACAATCGGAAAAAAGTTCATGTAAAAAAGTTTGGTTTCAAAAAAGTTATGCCCAAAAAACCAAAAGTTTCCTACCTTTTGAGCGGTACTGTATATATATATATATATATTCTTTATAATTTTTCGGGATTTTCCATACCTCGCCGTCTTCAACTTCATTATTATCTCCATTTTGCCCATCTTCTTTCTTTTCCTTTTCTTGTCGACTGCTTTTCGAGCGTTTTGGGGATCTAAAAAACGAAAATCAAATATAATTTTTTCTAAATTACACAAAAACCTTGATCTTGACTTAGACCTTTCCCTTCTTTTACGATCTTTTTCACGTCTCGAATCCTTTTCGCGATGATTCTCACGTTTTTCGTCTTCTACAAAATAATTTGTTTAATTAGCAAATATATTTTCATACTTGATCTTCTCCTATCTTTTTCGTCATCATTTTCATCGTGTCTCGATTTTTTTGCTACGTTTTTTTCGTCATCTGAAATTATTTAAATTTCTTGAAAAAAAAATTCGATAAACTTCCCGTCTTTACGCGGACGTTTCGTCTTTTGATCGTCGTCAGTATGATGGGAATGATTTTTCTCGATTATTTCTTCACTCATCGAGTTCTGAAATATTTTATTGACAATCACCATGAAAATGCGTACGATGGAACGAGTAGAGATAATGAATATAACAATCTTAGCTTGAAATTTAAGCACATTTTCGAATATGTGCCGCTTTGTGACGCGTGGACTAATATAAGCAAGACGGCCGCGGCCATGAAATGTGTCAACATAAAAAAAATTAGTTGAAGGATCGCGGAGCAATAAGAAGCATGACGAATAAAATATGCTATTGAAAATAAAATTCAGTAAAAATTTTTTAAAAAAGTGGAACAATTTTAGAACTATTTTCTGAAAAGATCCAACAAGAAACAATATGTAAGTCAAAAAACACATTACAAATTCTTAAAAGACAAAATTTTCAGTTTGAGACCTTACTTGAAATTATCCATGATCCTTTCAAATTACAGTACTATCTGTTTTTTCATTTGTTTTTTTCTTTTTCTTAGCGCTTCGAAATACATTTCTGAATTTAATACTCAAAAAAATTATTTTCAGCTAATCTATGGGCAATTTTGATACAGTTCACTGTTTTCAATGCTACAAATTCCCTCAAAAGGATCTCACATTTTTCATTTCAAATTGCATGCACATAATTTGTGAAAATTGTAAGACAGAAGGTATGATTCGCGTTTATATATTTTATATGCGTATTTATTTTAAAGATCTTCTTGACGATAATCTTTTAACGTGCAAAACGTGCAGCCGATCACCAATAAAATATCTTCGATTTGACAATAATTTGCCTACGAGTGTAAGAAAAATATAAAATTGGTGTGAAAATGATTGTTTAGGTACAAAAATATTTTCTGCCAGTGATTCCAGAGCTGAAAATTTTTCACAAAAGTATCTGTAAAACGCTGGAATTTCAAAGACATCAACGGCAGTCATTAATAAATTCGTTGAAAATGAATATATCGAAATTGAATGCGATGTATGAGGAAGAAAAGACGAAAAAAGAAAAATATCGAAGGTGATAAATGGGTTTTTGATTAAAATCTAGATATAATCATTTTTGAGAGCTTTTCAAATGTGCCAAGCCAAGCTTCAAGAGAAATGCCAAGAAATTGAGATCAACAAGTCATTATCATTCAATACCGGGTAAATTTACATGGATTATTTAATTTTTCGACATATTTTTTTAAGCCAAACGTTAATTCCACCAAAAACCCCGCAAAAGTGAGATTTTTTCAACAACAAAAAATCAATAAAATCTTTAATTTTCAGAATGTTGGAAAACTCGTACAAAACCCCAGCTCCTTCCGAAAAATCAGCATCGTAAGCGTTTTAAATTGTTTTAAAATCCCCGATTATATCCAGAATTTCACAAAGAACTGATAACACGACCAGAAGAAACTTGTAAGGTTTGGAACTTTGGCGAATTGATCATTGAATTGTTGTAGAGCAACACAATGGAATTATAGGACACCGCTGGTTCCTATGAGAGATTCGAGGTATCTATTGATGAAGAAATCAAGATATTGATTTTAATAGCTATGCAACTCCAACGAAACAAATCAAGAAAAAATCATGTCCAGACACATCAAGGGCGAAAAGTTCGATGAATTCCAATAGCTCTGCTTCATACATCGACACTTCTACAGAAGTAAAAAAAGTTGTTTTACCGTAATAACAAAAATTACAGGTGGCTCATCTGAAAAAACCAAAAATCGTTAGAGTCGGAAGGAATTTGTCCCATTAATTCATTGAATGTATGTACCATAATAAATATTTTTTTTAGTATTTAATTTAACGATTGACAATGAAAAGTTAGAAATAACTGCTTTTATAATATTTATTGAAACGTTTTAATCGAAAAAATCATCATCACTGTCATTTGCAAGCGCAGTTGACATCGATGGCTTCGGTTTGGCGTCCAAAATGGTCGTCTTCGACTTCTTTATCGTCAAACCATCATCGCTACTACTACTATCATCAACCTTGCTCAAATACTGCGACAACAGTCCCATTCCAGGTGTCGGTGGGTTTGGTTTCCTGAAATTTTCTGCTACAAATTTTGCAAAAAATTGCTTAAAAACTTACACTGCAGGGGCTGGTTGGGGAGCTGGAGCAGTTTCACTCTCATCACTGCTCTCTTCATTTGGCTGGCTGAGCAAGCTCATCATTTTTGTGTAAGCGTTTTGACCTATAAGCTGAAATAGTTATCGAAATAGTTTCTGTGTTCATTGTCACCTTGAATTGGCGCAGGTTCGGGAACAACCGGAATCGGTAATATTTGCGTTTGTACAGGCTTTGGTTCGCGAATTTCAGATTCTGGTATAATTATCTGCAAATTGTTATGGTCCCAACAAGTTGCCCTCATTTTAGATACCTTCTCTAAAGGAGCTGTTTTGACTTCTTCTTTTTTTCCGTCGACATTTGGCTCAACGAATCGCACTTGTTGAGGCTCAGGCGGAGGAGTTGGAGCAGTTCGTCCAGCCCTAATGTCTTCAATCATCTTCTCCCGCTCTATCCTTAATTCTTCCTCTAATTTATCCTCTCCAGTTGGTGTTTTGGGCGGCTCGTATTCAGAATATCGAATGGAGGATAATCGTTGTCTCACGTCGGCCATGATTTGCTCATCGCTAGCCACCGATGCGAGTTTCAGTGGTTCTAAAGAAACCAGCTTTTTTTATTAGTGCGATTTTTTTCGTTTTTCGAAACCTCTCTGATTTGCTAAGAATGGCACTGATCTCATGAAACTCTCGGTGCTCATACTCATTCGATTGTCTCGCAAATTTCGAAGCTGCGCCGATATTTCGATAAGTCGGCGTTTTGCATTTCGAATGTCGGATTCCAGAAGTGGACCACTGAAAACGATTCTGTTTCGAATCTTGTAAAAAAAATATCGACCTTTTCGGTATTCCGCTTGTCATTTGATTACTGTAGGATGTTGAATAATTATTACGTAAAGAGACATCTGTATCCCAGTGATAATCCGACGTTGCCAATTTGTTAATCACAGTTTCCTACAACAATTCCTTATGCACAATATTAGCGATATTGCGAAACTGTGGAAAATTGGCAAAATTCCAGAAAATTGACTGAAGAACATGCGAAACAAATAATATTTTAAAGGCGCGTGTCTCAGAGCATCGTCTTTTTTGGGATTTAGCCAATATTCCCCCAGTCGTGCGACGAGAAAAAAATGAGAATTACGTTATCAAAATTCAGTGAACTTTGAATTGGCCGCCAATTTGGATATTTGCTCCGTAAATATTGGACATAGGCGTTCTTAAACTTGTGTTTAATTATGTTTATAATTGAAAAAGTGACCAACCTTTGCTGCTTGCGCATTCCTTAAGCGTCTTTCCATTGAATTGATGCGTTCTTCAATATCATTTAAAGCAGACTCATCATTTCTAGGCAGCATTATTGCCGAGCATTCGATAAAATTTTATTGCATGGCTCACACGGCTCGCGTTTCCATGGCGATTTTCAACGCGCGTTCTCCGTAAATTGCAAAAAAGCGGTTGCCCCGAACCAGGATCGAACTGGTGACCTTTAGATCTTCAGTCTAACGCTCTCCCAACTGAGCTATCGAGGCGCACGGGTTCAGCGTTGCATCTAGCGTATTTATTATGGCCGTTGAGAACGCAGAGACGGAGAAGCGGGGTAGGGACAGAATTTGAGTCACACGCATATGGAATTAAGGCAATGTTCAAAAAAATTGTGGAACAGCAATTACTGAGTAAAAGTAATAAACATCTAAAACATATAAATAGTCAAAATTGTCCAGATAATTTGGGTTATCCACAGAAGCTGTACCTTGAGAGGCCTGGGACCAATGTAGGGCGGCTGTTTATATTGCTATCAACGTTAATTTCACGAAATAACGCGCCAAAACAACAAACACGCGCTTGTGGCGTATCCCGTAAAATGTCCACAGATGTTTACAATGAGGATCATCTTGTATTGATTTATAAAATAGGAGGCGACTGCCGGTCCGTCCCTGCGGGTCAATGAAGACGGCCGTGGTCCCCATTTTGACATCACTGCAAAAAATCTTGAGAATATCGCTTTTATTTAAATAAATTATACAATAATAAATGTATTATTTTGGAATCTAGCTTAAAAAATTGAATTGGCTTCGCAAAAATCGAAATCGAACTAATTTTGTCTCCCAAAAACAGAATAATCGAAAATCTATAATTAAATCCAATTTTCACGTGATGACGTGGTGTTGAGCACATGAAATTTATTGGGCCGTCATTATTTCGTCATGTATCGTCTTGGTTCACTCGCTTTTGCCTAATGAGTCTTTCTGTGGTTGCATTTGATTGTTACGGCGATTGTTCAAAAAAAACTAACTAATGAGAACTGTGTTCTCGGAACACTTTTGCTCCCCTGCGTCTCACATGGCCTAGATCGGCCTAAAGATAAACGGACTCCTAAACCAAGGCCATTCTCGACGTCTTCATTCTCGCCTCGTTTTGGACCGCATCAAGTATTTTACACGTTTCAGATGATATCTGGCCCTGAAGAGCATAAGCCATTGGTTGTGAAGGAAGAGGTCGTCGAGGAGAACCATTTCTGTGACAGCCCATTGACGCCGTCAATGAGAGAGCGCGAATGGTCGGAAGAATAAAAAAGAATAGCCTTTCAGTGGTCTGGGACCATATAATATTAGCTGAAGAATACCCGTTCCGCGCCACGTGCATGTACTGTCAAGCTGGTTTCCAAATAAGAGGTACCCATTTATCGAAACATCTTTTCTTTTTTTTTATTTTGATAATTTCAATCGAAAGCTTACCGACTTTACGGAAATATGAAATTTCAGGTGGCACTTCGGCGGTTTTGCGGCACCTGAAAACGCACCACTGGAAAATAATTGACTTCTCCGATCTTTTGCCGACCACACGACGACCCAAAATTAAGGCTGAAATTGGTGATTTTTTTTGCAAAATTATTGATCGCATAAAAACGAGAGCCCTGTGCCGATACGGTGTGTTTGAATCGATTATCCGTAGTATGGCACCTGAATGCCCTAATGATTAAATCAAAATTTGAATTACCTCGTCGAGTAAAGTGCGATGGTCCACAAAAGTATTAGATTTCTTCACCCATTCAAATAGAGTTTTTACTGAAACTGAAATAACCGTTCATCTATGATATTTACGTGGATGTGATTCCACGTGTCAATATTTACAAATAAACAAACAAATAAAATCGAGTTCAGAATCTGATGAAAACGACGAAGCGTGCAGCAGCTACATGGAGAGCATCATTCGACTTCTTCCACCTTCCGAAGTCTCCGAAAAGCTTCCGGCGCGGGAATCTGGAGATGAAGTTGCCCCGGAATATCAGATAGAGCAGGTTTCGAGTTTTTCAAATGACTCAAATTGATGAAGTTGCGTTATTTAAAGGAGTCTGACCAGAATGGAAAAGAAGAGCTGAATGATATTCGAAAGCAATTGGGAATAATTGAGGAGACGATTGTTGAAGATGTAGGGGTTCGTCCGACTCAGCAGGTTTTTAACAAATTCAAGATGTAGTAATTTTTTATTGATTTGAAAATTAGGCAGAATCGCAGTGTACTGAAAAGGCGGTAAAGAAGCGAAAACGCAAAAGTGATACGAGTCCGGAGAAGGGAAAATCTGAAAAAGCGGCTATTCTTAAAGAGGCTCATCTCAATAATTTGCTCATTACCGATGATGAGACTAAAAAGCTTTTCCATGAATCATTAAAGGCCACAATTGCAAGAGTAAGCTTAAATCCGTTATATTTTGTACTAAAATATGATTTAAACAGGAAGCAGCTATGACTGAATACTATCGAATGAAAACAAAGAAAATCGAGCTCGAAATGGAGCGATTTGGTCATAATAGCTATTTCGAATAATTATTTCCAATCAATTTTTTCTTCATTACGTTTCTTCGGGTTTAATAGCTACTGGTTCGTTTCATAATTTCTCTTTTAAAAAACTGTCCTCTTGTCTTGTTTCAACCATCGAAAATCTTGTCGTTATATAAATCATGAACTTTATTTGGCATCAAAATGTTTTAAATACATTTTTGGCGCATGGTTTCCTTTGTGATGTCGGACGGCGGACAGCCAGATTCGCGGGGGCCCTCACAACCAAATGCGGCTCGTTTGAAGTCGCCGCTCTGGTGAGAAGTGTTGTCGAAATAATTGATGAGTCGAGATGAACAAAAAGGAAAGGATGGGCTGGCGGTTGGAAGGGAAAAGACACCGCTCCAAAGAAACTAGATGATTGCCTCATTGATTATGGTGGCTCAACACCGGCTGCTTCGTCTTCTTTTGCCGTTTTCGCGCATTTTTATGTTTGAACGAGTATTCTCGAAAAATTTATAAATTTTTTTGCTATGCTGGCGCGCGATAACGGAAACGTCTTTTTAACCACTATTATTATTATGAAAATAGTTTCCTTTCATTACAAATGATAAGACATTGACACATTGCTAGGAAATAATATTTAAAAAAAAATAAATTGTTTCGAAAATTTAAATACAGTTTGTGCGTCACGTGTTTGCGTACTTTCATTTTTACCGTACCACAATGAATAAAATATTTTGAAAAATTCCGCGAAAATGCGTCCCTCTGTCTGGCTTTTATCCAATTTTGCAGCGATTCGTATTCAGTCAAGAATAAACATCAAAGGGTTGCCGACAGAGGGGTGTATAACCGCAAAATTGCACACCCTCGGGGTGCCGTCAATTGAAAGTAACAAAAGAAAAATGAAATGTATCGAGAATCTGGAGCCCATCATTCGAGGGCGGTGCCGCCTTCACACGGTGCCGCCTTTTTATTTATTTTCGCTGCTCGCACAAAAAAATCGCGTTTTTTGTATTTGTCTCAAAATCCTAGGCTTGTGCCGCCGGCTCCTGATCCCCATAGGATATCCTTTACAGTAATCGCCCCTCGCCCGAATTTGACCCGATTTATGCGAGCATTTACATTTATGGCTCATTTATTTCATTTTGTGGCATCCACAAAAGTATTTGCATATCTTTAAATCGTTGCAGAACCTGTCATGATGTCATTTTTGTACTTCCTCCAACTCGTCAACAATTGGCCGCAAATGATAATGCTATCCTGGAATAATCTTGTACGATAATTATATACTAATTAAATATTGTTGAATGTCCATTTTAAGATTAATACCCCGCAAAAGGCGTTAGAGATTCGAGCTTATGGTAATCGAAGCTATCAATGGAATACAGTAGATGATATTCAATCGACAATCTCCGTATTTCTATCGGTTTGCCATGAAGTTGAGAATTCGAAAGACTTGAGATTTTCTTGGGAAATTTACAAGTGAAATTTCAATCGATCAAATTCAATAATAACTTTCAAGTTTTAGGAACCAAGACTATCTTGATCGATCCATTACAACTCCTAATTGCTCAATTGTGGTCCCAATGAGCACCAAGGTAAGGGTTATCAATATTTTTTGACTTAATATAGATTTAAGATTGATTATCGCGCGATTCTCAAAATTACCAAAAAATCGAAAATACTGTTCGAAACCGACCAGAACATTAAAAAGCCTTCATTATACTGGCTAGCTGCCCTTGGCGACTCGTTTTCATCTGGACAAGGGAATCCGGACAAACCGATCGGTAATGGAACAGAAGCTGAATGGCTAGATGGTAAGGAATATAATGGAAGAATTTGAACAAATTCCTACATTTCGAAATGTAGGACTTAAGGGGCATGAGCTTGAGGAGGGGGGGCTATAAAATTGGAAGCTCGCGGTTTTTTTAAGAGTTTTAACCATATGAAATCCTATTTTATTTCAGAAACGTGTCATCGCTCAAAAAAATCATTTCCTTATTTGGCGTTCGCCAAAAATTCTGCAAAAACACCAACTGCCTTCACATTCCTCTCGTGCTCAGGCGCTTCCGTGGAAAATGGCATCCTATCCAATAATGGTCAAATTCACCAATTGGAAATGATCATGAAGAAGGCGTAGGCGAAACGAATCCACTAGTCTCAAATATATTTTCAAATCCAATTTTTAGGCATTCGATTCCGAATTCGTTGATACTAACGATTGGCGGAAATGATATCGGCTTCACCGACATTCTGGCGAATTTTCAAAATGGGAAATCATTCGGCGTTTCGATTGATATGAGGTTTGCGATCTGAAATTCGGAATTTCTAGGGGGTTTCAGATTTTTCTACGTTTCTCATCAGTTGGATCGAGTGGCTGCCAAGTTGGCCGAATTGTCAATTCAGAAGGTCATTCTGGTTACCTATTATGATATTACTCGCAACGAACATGGCATTGTCGATTCTTCGTGTGGTCTTTTGGGAAAGGTATCTTCATTAATACCACGGTTCAACGCTATGTCCCTTTAAACTACCAGTAGTCCTTTTTTTTGAATGACAATTTTGACCAACATTTAGAAATAAATCGTCCTTGTTCTCTTTCCTGCGGCTTTAAACGTCCACCGTGTTGCTTGCAGATCTCGCAACGAAATCTCCAATACGCCGAACGCCAAATCCTTCAAAAGCTCAATTCCCTTTTACTTCGAAAAGCCTCCAAATACGGATGGCTGACCGTGAACTGCAGCGACATTTTCCGGAATCATGGACTGTGTTCGAAGCATTCACTTATAAGGTATTCAGATTCATACAAAAAAAGGTTAATGATTGCGGTTGTCAGGTCCCGCAGCGAATCACTGCTCTTGCAAGGCAATGAGTACGGTAGCTTTCATCCAAACGCCGAAGCTCATCAATTGATCTCGCAGCGAATTTCGGCGCTATTATAAATTGTCGCGATTGTTTTTTTTTTAATTTGAAAAACGGGTATTTCGAATACAGGTCGCATATTTATTAAGAAAAAAAAATAATAAATAAATAAAGCTTCATATACCATTTCTAGACAATTCTCAAATATTCTAATCGGCACAGAAAAGCTCGCATTCAAGTCTGGTTCGCGGATGAGCGTGATTCGATTCTTGCTGCAATAAAAGACGACGGAGTAATTAGGGGGTAATCATTACACTAATTACCCAGCAATAACCATATGGGAATGATTGGCACTTGCCGTCGACGAGCTCCCAACGATAAACGAATTGCGATGGCTTTCCTGACGGACAACGGAAGCGATAATCGGTTTTGGAGCAAATTGCAAGCTCTGAAGTAAATTTTTGGTCTCGAGATGAGATTCATCTTTTTTCCAACCTTTTTGCTGCTTATAGAATTGCTCAAAGCTATTCTCAATTGATTTCAAGCTTCTCCTCACTTCCTCCTTTTCTTTCTCGGTTTTCTCATCCTCAAGAATTTCTCTTCCATCGTCTTGAGCTCCAGAACCTTCTGTCTCATTCCCATCCAACACAGTCAATGTCTCTGTGGTTACCGTAGCCGGGGGACTTGGAACCGAGTCGGTTACGGTAAGAAGCTGATCCTGATCATCATCATGAATGTTTCTTCGCAGAATGTGGACATCTGATGGCGTGTCGATGATATGAATGAGATCCGTCGGCGGTTCAATGGCAAACGGCCGAGATCGAACATGTTTCGATTCAGCTTTTGGGTCTTCAATAGCGATTTCACCTGCAAAATTGCCACAGATTTAAAGTGGTCTTGCCGCGATTCTTTTGCTGCGCCTTGAGAAAATTGCTTACCAACGTTTGGGTCCAACGGAATTTCAACTGGAGGTCGAAGAATTTCTGAAACATTTTAATCTATCATTAAAACCAAACAACTCATTTTTCAAAGAAAAAAAAAATGCATTTTTTCAATTGAAAATTTAAAAATTGCTATTCCATGATTTTCAGCATCATCCAACATTTTTTCGTGGAAAAATTCGCTGTGAGACCCTACCATTTTCAATATTATTCTCAACACTTTTCAAATTTTGAATCGCCCGTTTCACGTTTTTCACGTCGCATTTCTCCTCGCACTCGGTTTTCGATTTCAACGACAACACGTTTATTGCGTCATCTGAACCGAATAATTAAATAATTGAGTGAAATTGCAATATGCCTCCGCAGCTTCCAATTGGATATATTTGGCATTCTAAAGTTTGAATGTCGAAGAACCATCGAGCAATTGGCTGGGGTTCTCTGGTGTTGTTGCAAGTCAATCTGTAAAATCATCGCCAATCATCGTCCTCAATAGATCAACGATGAAATACCTAAATGGAATTTTTTCGCAGATTTTCTTATTTTCACTTCGGAATCCAATTTCTTCCACTAATAGGTTTGAGTTTTCGTTAGCGTCTCGAATCTGTTAAAGAATGTATCACGGCAAAAATAACTTCCCATGCCGGGAATCGAACCCGGGCCGCGTGGGTGAAAACCACGAATCCTAGGATTAGCTAACCACTAGACCACATGGGAGGATACGAGTCACCGCCAATTCGGCTTATAAAAATTACCTGTCGCTTGGCGCTTGCTATTACACTATGTGTTGTTGTTCCTTGCAGCAGCTCGTTGATGTTTGGACAACAAATACCAATGTTATTCGTGCTATTATTTACCAGGGTGGTCTTAAAATAATAAAATTCCCAAATATTATTTAACTATAGCAAACTTTTTCGCAATAGAACGCTTTTGGACAGCCGCGTTGGCAAGCGAAAAGAGCTGTTTCGGTTTCGTCGAGAAGCGCGAATCGCCCAGATTTGCAACGGGTTTTCAAGACTTCACCTGCAAATTTATTTATTTATAAAAATAAGACATATGAATTCTTTTGCAAGAATGTGTGTTAGTCGAACTCTTGAGAATTAGTCAAGAGATTCTTGAAACGCTACCCCCGACAAGTGTTGCGAATTTCGATAGGATTCCCAAGAATTTGCTTATATTCCAAAAATAGGGAATTTTATATGTGAAGAAGTATATCAAAAGATTAGAAACTTTTAGTATTTTTGCAAATTTAACACAAAAAGAAAACAAAAACAGTGGTTTCTTAAAAGTATGAATATTTGGGGAGTTTTTGAATTTCAAAAATATTTTTGGATATGAAACTAAAGGCGCACAGTTTTTGCGATGGGTCTCAAAACGACCTATTCTTATAATCAGTTTGTTTTCGGAAACAGTGTCAATTAGTCTTTTGTATTATGACAAATAATCTATGAATCAGTAACGAGGATTCTCATTTTTTGCACTTGAGCATTTCTATTACAATTATAGGCGGCCGCGGCCATGGCTGCCCACTTCCACGGCCATCCATGCCAATTTTGGCAGTGCATGAATTACATAATACTAATTCCGTAACAATTCTGGAAACGAACCAACCTCGCAATAATACGGAGAATTCAAGAATCGCGCAAACATTGAATAAAATCGCTGCGGTTGTTATCATGGCGCGCAACGAACCAAAAAGTGGACGCGCGTAGGCAACATTTTCATTAGTCTCTGCGTGTTTTGTGTGTATCGGTGTGTGTGAGTGTGTGTTCCGCCCATTTTCAAGATGATTTATTTCATTTAACACATAAATCATGTGCGAAAATGAAGCGTTGTTTCCTCAAGTGGCCGCGTGTTGCGCCATTAATAGCGCATGAATCGACGGATGGCGCAGACAACGCTGAAGACGATTCGGAAGTCCTTTTGGCCACACAGAAGCAATCCGGGCGAGCCGGTCCGCAATCCTGGGTATTTTTGCGGCAATGTTTCAAAGATTGAGGACATTCGCCTAATAAGGGAGAAATTGTTGCAACCGTCTGAGGTTTTTGGTCGACATGAAGTACTACCAAAATTAGCTGCAATTTTTCGTCTGTTTTTTTGTGCTACTATGGTGTCAGTGGCCCAGAATTGGAATGTTCAAAGAAACAATTTCGATGTGATGATTTGTTATTGGGTCATAGGCTAGATTGTCTGTCATTGCGAAACTCTGCACAAAATTTTCTTTAAAAATCACTGATTTCGGGTTTTTCTGTTCACGTTTCAATAATTTTCCAGAATTGGATGTTGCTGGAAATATTTTAAATGTATCCGTTTAAATTACCCTACTATCCCTGATAGCCCTAAAATGTAGATGCGGTTTCAAGGTTCCGTACCATCAAACTGGAAACAAACTATGCAAAATTTGGAAAACTAGCTCTTAAAACTTTTTGAAAGCAAATTTTACTATGATAATCAAAATTTTGTTGGTAAACCGAATAAAATTTTGACGTGACCGTTTTTTTTTTGCTAAAATTGTAAAAAAAATTGGGATCTGATTAAACATATCAATAGGCGAATTTTCAAACTATAGCCTATAGGCTACATTTTTGAGATTTTTTCATCCGCTAAAACAGACAACGGAAACGGAACTTCGTGATCTTTAATTCCATGATTTTTATTGAATTGATTTTTATTTGGTTCCATTGAAATAAGTTTTTTTCGGTAACTTTAAGACATAATTTTTTCAGTTGATTTCGGTGCAACGCTTATCTGGTAGCAAACAGAATCCGTTTTCCACCGAAGCCTGAACAAGAAAATATTGCAAAATAGCATAAAGCTATTGAATTTTTAATCAGATCAATTGAAAAATTCTCTTAAACCGTTTGTTTTTTTTTTAGAAAAATTAAAATTCGGTCATGATCATTTTCTTCACGCTTACAATATGCATAATAATAATAATAATAATACCACGTCGATGATATATGTCAATGTGTAGAAGAGAGCTTTCTTCTCTTGTTTCCCAAACCATTCAGTAATAGAAAGTTATTCACATAATGCCACGATTGGCGGAATAGAAGGCGAATCGACGATGCGACGACATTCGGACCGGAAATAAGAGCGTGCAAAAAAATTGGGCGGAATGAGGAGAAGCGAACTGGTAAGAATCGTATAAAAGACGCCAATCACATCCACAATTCAGTACATTTCCTTCGACTCCTCTCTTCGTAAAGTGCAATTCAATCGATTCTTGCAGTAATGCCTCGTTTGCTCATTCTACTATCGGCCACCGCTGCAGCTCTCGTTGCCGCTTCGGGCTACGAGCCTTACTACAGCGCCTATGGCGGTTATCATAAGAACATGGACAAGAAGCATGGAGGATATGAGGCGGATCAGCATGGTTATGGCTCCAACTATGGGGTGTCCGATTACGGTAGCCAGAATGGAGAGAACGGATACTACGCGGGCAAGTATGGCGAAGGAGCCAAGAAGAATGGCGACAGCTACTACGCCAAAGGTGATGAGCACGGAAATGGTGATGCTGCGCATGAGGATGGATTCAAGAAGGCTGGAGGTAGGCGAAAACATCCAATCAACTAAAAATCCAAATTGACATCATTCAGGAGCCTATGGTGGTCGCAAGTTCTCCTACTTCAGCTCCGGATCGGGACCATATGGATCATTCCAGAAGGGCTACTATGGATCAGAAGGTTATGAGCACGACGACCACAAATCGAAATACTCGTCACACGCCGAAGACAATGGATTCAAGAAGGGATACGACGGCGAGGGAGCTCATCACGACGACAAGTACACCAGCTACGATAAGGAGGACGGAGCCCACAAGAAGCACCACAGCAAATACGACACTGGCAAATATGGAGCGATGTCGGGCGGTTATGGAAATGAAGGGCATGAGGATGGATGGCATAACGAGCAACAGAAGTCGTCCTATGGATCCAAGGATCACGGACGCTCCTACTATCATTAGAATTTATGCTTTTATTCGATAATTTTTTGGTGTTAGTTTTATGAAAAATTACAATTAGTTTTGAAGAGAAGACGTGAAAGAAAAAAAACAACAAGAATTAATAATATCGACCAACAAATAATAATAGCTTCCGGCGCCGATGATCTTACTTGAGATGAATGCGATGTTGACTCGATTCGAGCATTCATCAGTCTCCGGAAATCAAAATATAGGATGCATGTGTTATCCATTCCGCTTCCACGCTGGTACTGTTACAACTGATGCTGAAGGTTTTGAGAATCCTGAAATTAAAGAAAACTGACTATTCTTTTTTCGCAAAATAAAGAATCAATCAAGTTGACCTAAAATAAATATTTTGTTTCCTTCTGTTATATAGGAATATTCGTGAAATTTTTAAAAATATTAAGTTTCGTAATTCGAAAAAAAAATTTCTCTCATATTTCGTAACGAAAAGGAGGCTTTACGCGAAAAAAATGCGAATCTCAATTTTATCGCAATTTTTTGTAGTAAAAGTTCAATAAAAAATTTTGCTAACTGTAGTGTTACTGGAATGCGCCTTTAAACGCGGTCTTGCCACGTTTTCATTGTTTTCAAAATTGTATGAGAAACTGTCATTATGTTTTTAATATCATTCTTCAAACTTTTCTTTTAAAAAATCAAGAAGATAACGCGTTTAAAGGTGCATGTTGGAAAAATACATAAATGAATATATTGACAGCGTGCTTCATAAAAAAAACCCAGATTCACTAGACGACATCATATTAGTAAGGCCAAGTATGAATTTAATAGTGGAACTGATATTTCAAGGCGATAGAAATTATTTGGGATATCGAAAATTCTTCAGTTTCCGAATTTCCACGTGGCCATCCAAAAAACCACGTAAAATCTCTCAATTTTATTTATTTAAAATAATTTTTTCGAAAAATTAGTTGTTTTTGACATTTTCCTTTAAAGTCTCAAACAAGCAACCCTTTGCGATTTCCAAAAAAGGCACGCATTAAGAGGACAAAGACATTTTCAAGCAGACACACACACACACAAACACACAAAACAGAAGCAAGGTTTCGCTGGAATTTATTAAAATAGCAAGGTAATCCAAAAAAAAGTGAGAATCATTAATAAGCGTATTATAACATGAGGTAGACGCAAGAATATTGTTTTTTCAGAAGAAGAATTTCGAAGGCACTCTGTCAAAAAATGTATAAAGAAGATAATGAATGAAAAATCAAATTCGATGGATTCAAATGTATGGAAAATTATCTGAATTATAGAGAAACAATTAAAGGGACGGACAATGAAACACAAAAAAATGAACAAAAAACAGGCAAGCCTGAAAAGCGACAAAGGGGTTGGTCAAAAAGAGAGAGAGAGAGAAATGGAGAAAAAAACTTAAAACACACAATTTTTGTATGCTGCCGCATCAATCATTTACAAAAATGAGAAAAATTGAATTTGAAAAAAAAGAAGTTGAAATTCAATGAAAGTTTGTATAAAATTTGCGAATTGCGCTTGCAAATCCTTTAAGGACATTTAAAAAAAAAAATACGAAACACATTTTTTCTCTCATTCATTTGCTTCATAAACCAAGGCACCGCTCGCCGGCTTCGGCGGAAGTACACGTTTCGGTGGTCCGACACCGATAACGGTACCTGGTTGAACAGCGACACGAGCTGTTAGCCGACCTTGTGATCCAGATGGTTGAGCTGTCAGTGTATGAGTCGTCTGCTGCTGAAGTAGCGGCATTCCCGACGACGATCCGTTCTGATTCGACGTTGATCCGGTATTGATAGTATAGCGAGAAGGGATTACCGCCTAAAACATTGCGCAGTGTTAAGACACAAGAAAATTTGATAAGATACTCTTGTAGCGACGACTTTTCCAGTTGGCTGAATGGCAACTCGCTTTTGAGCAAGAGGAACAGCGTGGATGCTGCCGATGCCTAAAATGTTGAGAATTGAATGGATTCACTTAAAAAAAACTATAATTTTAAGGATATAAAAAAAACAATTTCAATTCAAAAAGATTACCACTCGGTGAATTTATAGTAGAGCCTATGGTAGTATACGTGGCAGTTCCTCCCATTCCAGATCCTCCAGCTCCCATAGCCATTCGCTTGACTTGCTAAAATCCAATTCAATCTAGAAAATAAACAAAAATGAAAATTTTCAAACCTGATTCGATTCATCTATTAAATGTCTCCGTTTAATATCATTCTTAATATGTTTTCTGAAAAAAACATGAAACTTTGAATGAAATCAGAACAAATCAATGTCTATACGTTGTGCGGCTCGCAACACACGAGCTAATCTGGTCAAGTTCGTGCGCGAATCTCGTCAATGCGTCGCGTAAACTATCAACTTCCTTATCGGACCATTTACTTTCGTCAGAATCCGTAGTGGTGTGAAGTTGAAGGGTTAGATCACCAAGCTTTTGGAAGGCGTGACCAGCGGTTAAAAACACTTCAGCGACCTGGAAGTTTGAGAATCGCCAATTTCCATAAGAGACCTGAATCGAATCAAAATCCATACCTTACTGGCTAAATTAACAGGCGCAGGCTGATCCATAGCAGTTCCCGAAGACGATACTCCGTTATTATGCAAATTAGAGGTAGTCTGAAATCCCTTATCAGATGATGTGCCCGAAAAAAAAGAAGAAAAACCTGCGCCGCAGTTCCGCGTTGATATTGCTGAAATGAGTTGATCGTCGAACCCGATGGTCCCGCTAATAATGCTCCACTGGAGCTCGCCGTTTGAAAATCCAAATTATCCGGCTCTTCTTTGATGTTCGTTGTGTGCATTGTTGAATAGGCTGTCGATGTGCTCGCAGCCATATTGCCATCATGGTGAACTTTGCGAATCGGCACTGGCTGTGGTCGCATCGGCATCGAAATCGGCCGCATCTGTCCAGTGGAAGCAAGCCGCACCTAAAGGTTTAATAATTAATGAAAAGTTGAAATCTCATGGGTCTCGTCACGATACTAGAATTAATCAGTTAAAAACAAAAAGGAATTTAAATGCGAATAGGTATTTTAAGCCAGAAACGTTTTTTGAAAAATACGTCTTATCGCGTTATTTTTACACAAAACTAAAAAAGAAACAAGATGTTTGCCGACATTCGCTCTGTTTTCACCTCTAAAATCTCTTGCCTACGCCCACTAACGTCATTAACGGCCAGCAAAAAAAACAACAACAAAGACGACGAGGATGAAAAATGCGATACCTGCGGTGTTGTGGATATGGTAACAGTGTTATTCGCATGTGGTGGAACATTATCGTAATTCCTCGCGGCCATTCTCTAAATAAACGTTTAAGGAATGCACCAAAATTTTGATTTTGGCCAGAAATATCAAACTGTTGAGAAACAGTAAATTTCGAAGATCAAACGTAAGAGAATTGTTAGTGGATTGAAAACGACAATGAAATTTATAACTTAAAAATTCAATTATTAACATTTAAAGCACCCGCGAAAAGCGACTCTGAAACAAAAAAAAGAGCGAATGAATGTCAAATAACATTATTGGGTTATTGGGCTCTTCCACCGCCTCCGCCTTCGGCATTTTCGGGATTCACTGCGTTAGAAATAAACGCGAATATCACTACCGGAACGATGTACATCCACTGAAACCAGCGAATAACTATACAATTTGTATGCATTTTTCTTACATATTTGGCCAAAAAGCTACGATTATCGGCATCGGCTCCATGTTGACGCGCTTTTTTCTCCTTCTCGATTCTCGCAACAAATGCGGCAGTGTCAGGGCTGAAATAGAGATAATAAATAGCGTAGGATATTTTTTTTTTCACGAAAAATTGAAAAAAAATGTTTCGTTTTCCACATTTGGTGGAAAACGACAATAGCCTAAATAGATATACAGTATTAATAACATTTCAAACCGCCCAATCTAGTAATTAGTTAAAGAAGCATTCAGGTGAGATCTTCTGCGTGAACTTACTGTATTTAGAATTATAACAAAAATCTTACTGTGGGAGAATTGAGCGGCTGTTAACATGGACAACTCCCTTCAATTTTCCATCGCCGATTCGATTTTCTAGACTTGGCTCAATTCCAACTGTTCTCTCGTCACAAGTTGCCTTCGGATTAAAAGATTGCAGACTGAAAATAGTTACAGTCAAGCTGATTGTTGAAAATGTTTCACCTGATATCTGAAGTTTTGAAGGCTACAGAATCTGGAAACACTGTAAGACTCTGCAGCTTCTCAGCATGTTGGTTGATCGAGACCCAGAACAAATGGAATAGGTTGGATTGAAGGAAAAGACACTGAAAATTCACAATCATTTAGACGTTCGGTCCATGCGCGCACAACCCCTTCCCCAATTCTCACCCGTCCTCCTCTATCACTCTCTCACTTCCCAACCAGCCTATACCTCGTAGCGTAATGCTAAATGTTTGCGCTCGCGTGTCAGATGGTCAAGGTTTCGATTCCACCCAGCGCCTTCACCCCCACGACAACAAATTCCACTTGCGTGTATTCCAAACGCAATTGAGCCGACGTCGTGGGATAGAATTGCCGGTCGATTGATCCCGTCTGCTATGTGTATCAAGGCAAGCGGTTTGCACGAGGCCCACAATTTAGCGCTATTTTTTCGGGAATTTTATTCTTGTTAACAATAATACATATATTTAACCATTTAAAATAAATATATTTAACCATTTTTTGAATTAAACATGGGCAAAAAAATTCAAGGTTTTAACGTGAAATCAATTTTTTTGTTTCTTTATACGTCTTTTGATGCGAAAAAATGTAACAAAAAACATTAAATTTACATTTTTTACAACTTTGCATTGGAAAAATATGTAATTTTTTTCATATTTTTTGTAAAACAAAATAAATTTCATCAAAAGGCCCATAAAGGAACAAAATCTCACACACATTTTAAAATTTGTATTTAATATTGAATTTTATTCAATATTTCATCGCTTTTAATTCGTATTTTCACGAAATTCGATTTCGTCGAATAATTATGGTAATTTTATGTAAAATTCCTATAAGCAAAGTTAATATTCATACCGGATCGTTTGTTGATAGAAATTCTTCTCCAGGTTGGGTTGAAGATCGTGCACGAACAGTATATGTTTTATCTCTGGCTTCATATATTCTGAAAAACAAGTTTATAAAAGAAAAATGACATTTTTGCTGCATTACTTTTTTCCAAAAGAATCATCGGCTAAAACTTTTAAAGTATTTGTGTAATTTCCATCATAATGCCTACGCAATTCGATTATACCGAGTTTAGAACTTGTCGCAAAATCTGAAGTCAAATAGACAGTTAACAAAATAATTAATTTTATTTAAACCGTCAAAACTATATTCCATTTCGATTGTCCATTCTCCGGCGAAAATACTTGGTAAAATACATCCAAATAAAAGAATTGATTTTAAAATCATCTAAAAATTGAAACAACAATAAAAAATAATAGAAAAACAGCGAAAATTGAAATAGTGTAAAAATCGCATTAAACCGACGCTTGGCAACATTTATGCAGCGCATACGGTGTGCTACTCAAGTACGCAATGTTATAAGTTAGCGTGTTTGCACAGCGCGCATCACACTTGACGCAATTTTTGAAAATATTAATTTGTCCTGTACTTCCATGTTTTTTTAAACATACGTTTTCGTCCAATTTGTATTTTATACATTAATTTAATTATTGGAAAAAATCTAAATCATAATATTTCAGATGATCAGGTCGATCTTGGGTTCAAGGAGCATTATTTCGGCGATTTCGAAAAATCCAGCAGAATGCAGGCGAGTGCTATTTTCTACAGAATCCCAAGCCTCTGAATCATCTAATTCTCAGCACGAAAGCATTATTGATTTTGTCGAAACAATTGTTGAGACATCCCCAGATGAGGTGAATATAAAACCTAGTTGTTGTTAATATTTTCAAATTTCAGAACAAGTCATTTGCTACACTCCTGCGCCACTCAAAATTTATGCAGCTTGGAGACTTCAATAACAGATTAGTTGTAGGTTTGTGTAATTTGTGTTTTTTTATTAAACTTTTCTTGGTTCTCTTCAGGAAAAATCACTCAGCGAATCCAGGATGATCTATACATTGACTTTGGTTTGAAATTCGAAGCTGTCTGCAAAGCGCCTTCTATCAATACAGAGTAATTAAGCAAGAAATATGTATTAGTAAATATTTATTTTTGCAGAGCATACAGAAGTGGAGCCCGTGTGCTTCTCCGTCTTCACGATCCAGAGCTCAGCGAAAGATTTTTGGGATCAAATAAGGATTTGACACTTCTTGAAGCCGATGCGACCCTGATTAGATTGTTAAGATATGTTCCAGGAGCAGTGAGAAGAAGTAAGTTATTAAACATTATCTTGCTCAATATCGAAATTTAAATAAGTGAACGGAATTTTTTCGGTTTTAAAACAAACTGTATAGATGAGGAATATATATTTATACAATTTCTTAACATACGATCGTAGTGAAAAAGCGTCAAGTCTCGTCTTAAATGAAAATAGATGATTTTGTCTCCAGAATACTGTACAATCTAATTAAGGACCTTATTCTGTAGCCCAGTAAGTCAATTAATATCATAATATTTTCTTGAATTTGACATTATCGGATGTTATTAACATTGTAACTAATTATCGGATCTCTCCCACTCAGTGTTTTTTAAATGAAAGTATGAAGTGAAGTATTGTTGATTGATAATTTTGAAAATTTCGGAAATTACGCTAATGGTGCGCACACATTTTGAAAAAAACCCTTTAATTCTGTGTTAACTCTGAACGATTTTCCCCGTGATTTTTATCAAGTCGATTCGGTTTGGTACAATTACTTCACAACATCTTAAGAGAATGATATCAAATTTTGGATTATTTTACAGCTTCTATGTCGCAAATCAATGCAATTTGTTGCTTTTTAATTTTTGACTCGAACTAGCCAGAAAATTTCACCAAATATCTAAAATTATCGTGTTTCGATTTTTGTAACAAATAATTGGCAAATGAACCAAATTTGCGATTTAATTTGTAAATTTTAGAGCTTGACGTCTCTCTCTCTCTCTCCGCCCCCTCTCTATAAATATAAAAATGAAAATTTTTATTAATTTCTAAAAGTCGAATATTGATCGAATCCCTAATTCAGATAAGCCTGAAGCAAAGAAGGACATCTCCACGGGTACTCAAGCAACGGAGCCAATTCCATCAGAAGCTTCTAATCCTCAATAATCTTTGTTGTTTGTTTTTTGTTTTCGTTTTTAAACATAGATTTTTATTGTTCCATCATAGGCTAAATGAAATTGTTCTGCCCAAAAAACCCCTCGATTTCGTCATCCGGCAAAAAAACCGTCTAATTGTATCCAAATGTTGTCTCATGACATGTTCAAATCGAACATATGCTAAAAAAAATGGGTGTAGCAGCAGCAGCAGCAGCTCGCGGCCACACACATTACGAAAATGTTGATTTCATCTTATGTCGGCGTCTCTCTAATTGGCACACTATCTCCCAATAGGGTTTAATCTGCCAATGTCGCTTGAAATATAGCCGTTTTTTGCATTTTTCGCACGAAAACCACCACCGCCACCCAGGCGAGTATATCCGAATTCGCATCTGGCCTTCGAAACATCCGACATTCGAATGCTATTTTCTCGGCGAACGGATATTCGCAAGCTGGCTTGTGTGCGCGTGTGTGTGTGTGTTTTTTTTTTCTTCGACGAAGAGTTATTTTCAAATTGCCATTGTTTCGACGACAAGTTAATGAATAGCGGATACATCAATCCAGGCAGCGTTCGCGAAACTCTTTTTATTTATGGCTTTTCGAAATAATTGCCATTTGGCACTTTGGAAATTGTTTGGCTCGAGGCTCTCGCCACGAAGAGGCGACCTCAATTGAAACATGCCATGTCGAGGAATTGTCTTGCCGCGATCACGTAAATCGACACTCGATAATTTCACTTCCAAATTCTTTGTTCCCGTCGCGATGGAATGGCATATCGTAAATTATTAATTGACAAATGTTAAGATCAATCTGATTCAAATATTTTCGTCTGAAAAATATTTTGAAATGCACCTTTAATTATTGTGTTTCAAACGAATCATGGTCAGTTTTTAAAGAAAAACATCGGTCATTCAGCATCAGTTGAGATCTAGCTGATAAATAATCGAAAAATGGAGGTACACTAAAAAGTCAAAAATACTAATTCTTGACGGTTCTTAAAATTTCGGGATACGGTGATTAATCGTAACTGGGTCTTGCAGTTGCTGATTCCGGAAGCCGATTTTTTCTTTTCGCTATATTCATAAATTTTGTAGAAACCGTATAGCCTTTAAAAGGAGAGTTGCCTTCTATTTTTGTACCGAAAAAACTGGGTTTTTTATTGAGAGGATGAAATAATAATTCCCCACGGGTCTTGCCACGAGCTCGTAAATCAACAGTTGAAATTTTTACGAAACCTTGGAAACATTTCTTTGGACATTCGTGAATTGCTCGTAAATCTACAATTGACAAACGTGACGTCCGTACCTTCTTCCTTGTAAATCCAAATTGAACACACATCAAAAGTCTTCTGACGAGAGTGTGTATGTATTCCCGGAAGGTCTACCGTAATCCGCGTCGAAACCCATTATGAATTCGAAAATGCAAAAGAGTTGTCTCACACATACGCATTTTCGCTTCGAGTTGTTTTTTTTATTCGTCTTCCATTGACTTTCGTCGAGACGAGAGTTTCACTCTCGCTTTTTCGCGCCGCCCAGTCCCCCCTCTCGGCATACGGTAATTGGTTTCCTTTGTATGTACATATGTGTATGTGTGCGGTCGGACAGAAAAAAAAACTCGTGAGCCAGCAACGACGACGGACGATTGAAAGAAATTGAAAAAAAGAACGCCAATTTTCGTCATTTTGTCGCTAAATTATGTGTATACATACACACGGAATTGTTTCGCCATGTGTTCCTGTGTATACACGCTGAATTTCGATTAATGGGTGTCGACAGAGAATGCGAAAGAACACCACCATCGTTTCATACTCCATTAGCGCATTATAAAACCTACAGTAATCCGGGGTACGATAACCTCGCATTTAATTTTGAATTGAATTTATTCAGTGATAAATAAATTGAAATTATTAATAAAATTATTATAAATTATGGGATGAGAGAAAAAAAAAACTATAATTGCGGGAAGAATTTCGAACCGAACTCGTGCAAAAATTCAAATTCTATATATTTAAGGAAATTGGTTTGGTGAGTTTTGTTAAGCTACATATGAATGTGAATAGAATATGTATATGTTTGAGGATGGCCGATGAGAATTATTTCAGGGGGACGACAAATTACGACTTGAAATCGGTAGAAAAATTACACTCAAAGTGTAGGGTGTGATTTAATCACCGAATTAGGGGAACAAGAATGAAAAAAGAAACACACACACACACACGAACACACACATATATATATAACCGGGATTGTGACCGGAAAATTGGTTTAAAATGGAATAAGAGTGGGTGCAAATGATGAATCTTTAAAGAACCCTTATCGAAAAAGGGAGCGAAAACCGGAATAACACGAATAAACGGACCTTGTCCAAGAAAAAAAGCGATTCACTCATTTTTATGTGGACATGCTGATAGGATGGCGGTGAGGGTGAAGACTGGATCAGTGGCTCCCGCTGGATCGAGTATGCTCATCAGCTGCTGATAGCCTAGGGCTTGTTGAGTGCATTTGATGCACATGGAAATATTTTCGGCCGCTGAAAAAGAACATAATAGAAAAATCGAAAACGTGTTTTTTATGGACCTATTCATGAAAATTATCTTTTTTTAACATAAAATGTGCATTTTTTGCACGCCTGAATTGAAAAAAGTGCAATTTTTTCATTTTCTTGATTTCATGAATAAGTGCATTAGAGAAACTTACTACTAATTTTTGCATTAAATATTTAAATAAAGGTATATAGATAAGTATAGGTATATAATAGTATAGATATTCAAACGATCTCTTTAATAGGATAAGAAGTTCAACACTTTAAGCGCTGACAAATAAATATCGTAGGTCAGATATAACGCTGAAATTCGATTTTTCATTAAAATCAAAATGAGACTTCGAAAATTTAGACCACCAATTTTTAAAGCTTTACAAGTTTCGAGGAACCATTAATTGCCAGTGACATTCTCATAAAAAGAAAAAAAGATTAAAGTTTGATGATTTTGAGGGGTTGGTATTTCAAAGAAAACTCCAAATACTACATTGCCAGTAACTAAGAATTGGTTTGAGGTATTTACGAGTTGTGGTGACCCATTTTCACGACGAGACCATAATACTTCAATTCACTTGCCTTTGCCTAGGTCTTGCCGCGATTCCCATGGTTGCCGAGCTCGTAAAGTATTCTCATACCGAGTTTCCCTACTTCTAGGTAATTGACCTAACATTCAGTTTTTTTTAATTGCTCTTTTATTCTTTTTGTTTCCCATGTTGAGAAAATGGTTGTAGTGAATTCTGCCACCAACAAAAAAAAGTGTGAAAACGTCGTGTCTACGAGAAATTGATTAGGGTAACAAAAAACATCTTTTGATTTGGTTATTCGAAAATTCCCACGTCACACAATGTTCTATTTTCAATACAGCAAACTACAATCCCTTCCCTAGGGAATTTGTCAGTTTCCTAAAAAGACAATGATCATAATTTGATCATGTATATGTATATATCCGCCACAGCAGCCATTAAAAGAAATTCGGACGATTAGTTGAGAAAAAAGGTCATCGAATTATCATAAACGTCGGAAAATTACCGGTTGGTGACGGCGACAGATTATGATGAGCCGGTCCCTCCTTCTCGCTGTTCAGATTGTTCTTCTCGCGCTTCTGACGACGCCGCAGTTTGATCTGATCGGCCATCAGCTTCTGACGTTCAACGACAACCTGCAAAAATTCTCAAATACTGTCGAAAGCAATACAATTTCAAATAACCTGGCATTTGGCGCAATAGCAATCTCGGTACGGACAAGCTCGTTTATGGCCTTTGAGGCGATTCACAACATTGTGCTGGGCACATCTTTGACAGTTTGGTCGGCGTTCTGTAAAAGTTGCAAATTTGCGTCTTGATTGAAAATCGTTTCCCTATTGATTTCGATTCGATCACTTTCTCAGTTGTGAGGCGAAATCATCATCGAGAAAACCAAAAGTAACGACACATCATAAAATAGTCGAAGGGGTCCTTTTTTCGCGTTCGCGCTCGCCGCCACTAGTTTTAATTGTTTCTTTCCGTTTTTTCCGCCTCTCATTCTCTAAGAAAGAACAGAACATCGTGTTGTGCGCCAGTGTGCACACAGCATTCCGATGTGACACTTAACTATTATGATCTATAACATTGATATATTCGATTGTTTTGCGATTTTAATGGCACTAAGGCTATCCGTCGTTTCTCGGCCCATCGCTCGGCGAGCAATTAAAACGAAACAAAAGTTTTAGTGGCGTCAGCGGAAAGGAAAATGGCGAATTTTAGAGGATAGAAAAAAATAAATGGTTTTAAACTTTTTGAGTACTGTACTTTGAAACGTGTGCATGCACCATGACGTAAATACGCAAATTTTTTTCAATTAAAAAAATCCCCAATTTTTTTCGTATTTCCTCCAGGATATCCCTACGTTTTGCATTTTTTTTTGTTAGGAAACACCCAACGCCTCAGCACCCATCTTTCATTTATGATGCAACGGCAATCTCCGTAGGCGGTCGCCAAAACGAAAACAGCTGCGAATATTGTCTCATTAATTTTTTTTTGGCTGCTGTTCGTGCGGCTGACAACCTACGTGTCCGTCGGCGGCAAAACGGCGAAAAGAACAAAACACGCGTCCAATGAAACTGTTTCGAGATAAATTGTTATTAGGCACAAGTGTTGTGTGTGTGTGTGTGTGTGTGCGTTTTATTGGCTCTTGTTTAGAGATAGTGAAAACGAACCTTTGGGTTTGCCGTCGTCGCGATCCTCGCCGCCACTCTCCGTCGTCGTATCCGGATGGCTCGAGCACTCCAGATGATCCTCTTCAGAAGACGTCGAAAATTTTTTCTCTGGATCCGACTGGGTGCTTTCCATCTGCATTAGACGAGAGTTCAATTGGCGACGTCTCTCAACCATCTGAAATTGATAAACTTGATAGTGGAGATCATACAAGACGAAAAAGCTTACAATACAGTCTGAGCACTGACAAAATCGATAGATACAATTGAGTTTGTGATTCTTGCGCTTCTCGCGCAGCCCATGATTCAGACATCGCTGACAGTAATAGACGCGCTTCTCACCGAACAGCTCCGGTACAATCTCTTCAATGTTCATCATGTGCTGAAAAATGATAGAAATGAGCGATGACGAGGAAAAAAGCCGGACATGGCGGGCTGATTGAGAAAATCTCGAGTGAATTGGGAATGGCTCTTGTGATAAAACAAAAAAAAAGGCGAGCTTGTAGTCGAACGCGTACAAAATTTGTACGAGGCCTGGGCGAGTTTTTTCGCGTCTTTTTTGGGCAGTTATTAATAATGGGGTGAGCAAACTTTCGAAATGAAATAGTCGCTTCAAGGGGCAGACTCTAACAAAAACGACAAGAATCTTAACGCGACGAGGGAAAATCGTAAAAGGTGCGTGGCTGCCCGGTGAAGTGATGATTATTATTATAAGTGAGTCATTTGGGTTTATAGATCCTTTTATCGATGCGGGTGCTTGTAATAAAAATTCCAAATTATGGGAAAAAATTATTAAAAAAAAAGTAGGTGGCCGAATTTTTCGCGGCCTCGTTTTTATCAGCCACCAATTTCTACCACTATTCGAAATAATATTTTTTACTTAAACGAAATTCGAGCACAATTTTTTTTTGAATATTCTAAAGTTCATAGAGCGTTAGAAAAAAGTTTCGAAGCAACTAGATTTCCGAGTAATTTTTCATATTGCAATAAAAAAAAAGAGACTCCCAGTGGTGTGAAAAATCGCCACCTAGACCGAAAAACATTTGTGAGGCTGAGAAAAACTTAATGTCTAGGCGCTGGCGATGCTCGAGTCATAAAATCCGACAGGCGGCGCTGTTCGTGGCGTCCTTTAATAAAATGGCGAGGCGAGACAGAAAAAGAAGTACGACGCCGCGCGAGCACCCCAAACTTGGCTGGGTCGGTTGGCTCGTTCGATGCTCGTCGGTCCTTTTCGCGGTTTTATGGCAGAATGAAAAGATTTGCCGCGGCGCGTTCCCAGCCGTCAATATCTCGGCGCTCGCCATTTCTACAAAAGAGCACCTAAGCACATGGTTTGGGTGCGTGGAAAACGACATCATACGATTTGGCAAAAGCACCCACCAAATAAGGGCACCGTTCGCTGGCGCGAGTATAATGACGCGTTTCGCACGACAATAAATTTGAGGGAAATTGTGTGTTTATTGGCGACAGCGAATGTCATTCTAGACGGTCTCTTCTATTTCGAGAATCGCACATGTGCCTTGGAGTTGGGTCTCAAACGGAAATAGAAATCGGGATAGTTTGAATGCCTGTAGCGATTTATTTTATATTTTCAGATAGTAATGCTCATTTTAGTTATGTTTTGCAGCGATTTTAAGGACCACTTGTAATGGTAGTCATATGAAAAAAAATGAAGGAAGGGAGCCGTTACAATGTCCGCAGCATGAATACTCAAACTAAACTTTAAAAAATTTCAAGAATCAGTGAAAAAAAATGAAATGTTTACATTGACGGAATTTTAATAGCAAGAGGCAGCCAACAATGAATTTTAACACTAATACCATAAATGAAAAACACAAAATAGGCGGGCGGCTTTTAAACATGAAACGAGTGGGCGGGATCACGAAAGGTCGATTACGGTAGGTCAACTGTGGGAGGGGGGCGAAAGTTGTAAGAGCGCGGGCGCCAATTATGGGAAAATGACAGATGATAGCGCGTCGTGCCGGGTGTGTTTCTTAATGACAAAATGATTAGGAGGATAACCTAGAAATAGTGAGGCGAGGGAAAACGGGAAAAAAGTTTCGGTCGACTCCGATTACGGTGAGCGTATGCGCGGTTATGTGTCGCCTAGTTGTGTGTTTCTCCACCCGTTCTTCTCCTCCGTCAAGACTCCGCCCATTTCTCGTGCTCTGACTGGCCGGACAGCGCTCACGGAGCGCTAATGGGGCGGGGACGGCACTCCAAATATGGAGCCGTTGAATTGAAAGGGACAATCCGTTCTGCGGACAATCAATGCCCTTGACGTGCGAATGGAGCAAAAATATCAGACGCGAATTATTTTTATACAAATTTGTTTGAAATTGTCCGCAGGTAAGTTTCAACAAATAAGTTTTGGTTTATTTGAGGATTTTTATTTGTTCGATCGTATTTAGAAAAAAGTTTTTGTGAATATATCTTCGTAAAATCACATCGTGATGCACAAAACTAATGGCATCTCAACGAAACTCTTGAAACGGATTAGTTGTTTCATCGATTTGCAATTTTCGTGGATTTTTCGCGGCGAGACGCGAAGGCTGAGCATTTCGATACCAGCTGCGAAATTTGTCACTATTCAACACAGGTGGCTTGATTCAAGCTTTTCGTTTGGTTTTTTTTTTCATGACTCGCAGTGATTCATCGTCTTTTTGGAATGTGGCCTTTAAAGGCGCGTACATCGAATTGCTAGGATATTCCACAAAAATTACAATATGCTTCTTTAATTACAGGTAGTCAAAAACAGTAGTCCTAGCTTTCAAAATTATTTTTAAAGGATACAAAGTTAAGAGAGACCATTGGAATGAAGCCACGATAAATGTCCGCAGCACATTTGCTAAAGTATCAATTGCATTTCCGCTGGCTTATCCAACAAAAATTACGATGATAGTGCAAAAATAGGTCAACAATAACAAACGAAAAAAAAAACGACGGTTGTGACCAAAAATGGGCAATAACTGGGTGAATGGCTAATACACACACACACACACCTCCCTCATTTTTTTGGAGGTGGGGCAAATAAAAATGTATGGGCGGTCCGAACACCCAGCGAATCGAGATAATCGCCCGAAAGGACATTGGCAGAACGGGCCCGACGGACGCTGTGTTGAGAAGAGTCGCACTGAGATAAATGTCGAACCCCCCCTTCCCCAACATTTCCCTTCTTTTCCCTTCCTCCCACCAAAAAAAAAGAACTGGCGACATTCGTCGTTGCCGTCATCATAAATAAGAAGTTAGCGACGCCGCCGCGCTTTTGTCACAAATTTATCACAATTTGCCTTCGAGCTCGGAGATATCAGCACACACACACACAGCGAGAATAATGATAGGCCATCATCATTATCATCGTCGAATAGAGGTCAGCTGCTGTTCGTGTTGAACATACAAAAAATGGCTCAGGCAAGCGAAATGAATCGTTGCGAGCATGATGAGCACATGTCTGAAATATCTGAAAATCAATAATTCCTCTCAATCATAAACTATGCCAAAATCCACAAAAAATTCTGGAAGCTTTGGCATTTTTTGTTATCTACCGTAATCTCACCAACTTCAAAGGTGCATACTAGTCGTTTTGAGACCCATGGTTTCCATCTATTTTATTCATGGATATTTCGATTTTGAGATTGTCGGTCGCAAAAAATTTTTTTATTAATTACAATATTGTCATTTGATTTTATTCTTGATTTAAAGGAGCAGCATAAATAATTTCTTAATGATCATAGAACGTTATTCGAGAAATTTGAATAATTTAATAACGAGATTAGTAAAAATTGGTGGCTTCCTACTCTACGCTCCTTTAAATTTCAATAACCATAAAAAAGTATTCAAAATTATTAAAATATAGGGTTGAGACTATCAGCTTCTCGTTCTAAACATGATTCAAAACCGGAAGATTGAATGTCGAAATTCGAATTACACGGAAGGCCACCCATGAAATTTCATTATATATTGCAATTTTTATAGTCTCTTTCTCGAGGCAGAAAATCTGCAGCAGCCGCCCAAAAAAAAAATGGGAAAAAAGACGACGGGCTGGGGGTCAAGTGAACAGCCTCGTAAATTCAGTCACAAACGGGTTTCGCAAAATGTCCTTTTTTGGTGGTTGGCTTGCTACCATATTTAGGATTGGACTGTCGTGCATGTTGGAAGTTAAAACGAATATGGCACTCCAAATTTGTGTATCTCTCTCTCTCTCTCTCAATTTTTTATTCTAATTCGATTCTAATGAGCGCAATTTTTCAACGACACTGACCCGCGTGCACATGTTCGACGACGTGTGAGGTCCAATCCGCGGATTTTCATCGAAAAAAACATTTGTCAATTTCGAAAAGCGTCACAACCAAAAAAACCCCCATCGCATGGACATGTGTCGCAGATTTATGTTGTTTGACACGGTTTACCAGACGAGCTGGATTCTCAAGGTGAACGCCTGATCGATGGCTTGAAGCTTGCTAGAGTCGGAAAATCGAAAAATACACTTATATGCGATGAATGAGGTAAGCGAAAGTATTAAGGTCGCCTCGAACACATTATTCAGAAAAAATGGAAGGCGATCTGCAAGAATCTGTCGTCAATTGCGGAACACGCGTTTATTTGTTGGTATTTTTTTTAAGTAATAAAAAAATGAGCCTTTAAAAGTCATTCTAAATTCACAGCAATTCCCGCTAAATGAGACAAACCTACGAAAAATTCAATTAGACGAAACAAAGGTTGCTAAATTAAGGGCACTGTGTAATAGGAGTGTCGTAGCGATAGTTTTAAAATGTTTTGAACTCTCATGGAACCCCACTGTTTAAACAGAAAACAACCGCGGTTTTTCATTTGCGAATTTCTGAGATTTCAAGAAAATGAGAAAAAAATTCTAGCGTTGTACTGTTTGTCTGTTTAGACTGTGACGCAAATTTGCACATATTTCCACCTAAACCAATGAAATGAATTTTTTCTTTTATTTCAAAAAAAAAATTGCACAAATTTTACATTTTTTTTTTAAATAAATATCGGAAAAATTTGAAAATTCATTTCACGTGGTCAACTGTCTTAATTCAGAACTTTTTCATCCAAAATAACTGAATACATCGTCAACCTACGGCAACAACTGCTGTACACTGGGTAGTGGGCGTCATTTGCCAGGGTCTCGACGCGAATAATTTCTTATTTTGTAATTTTTTCCAGTAATCATTGAACTGAAATTCATCAAAATCAACTCTAGAGTACAGAATTAGACCGCGCGAGACCATTGCGATAGACGCGTTCTCGTAAATCAACCCGAGTAGATCAATCGCCGAACACCGACTATAGACGAATTAAATTTTCATTTCAGTAAAATTTTTGATATATTTGTTACTCAAATGGTCGACAATTTTACCTCCAATTGATATTTCTATAAATCTCGAACAGCCAAGTGTCCGCAGATGGATTAACTCAACTTTCCAAAGATATCGAAACTGTTAATGTTACAGTGATTCCTCCTGAGTTCTTGAACCGATCATTTCATCTTTATTGGAACCACGATTCACGACTACTAGTAGTACATTAGCCAAATTGAGAATCTGCGATTTGCCTGCGCCTCTTCGTCTCACCTACTCTCTCGTCGAAAGAGAAAAAAGTTGGTCGCCCAGTGTGAAAAAAAAGCGAACGACAAGCTGCAGTTAGGTTTTATCGTTTCTTGATGCGAGGGCAGCGACCGCAGGAAAAAAAGTGGCTCCCGAATGCCTTACATGGCCAAGTGTGCCATTTTTTTTAGAAGGGATTGAACCTTTTGGAGAAAAATGACTACGAGCGACCACCCATAAAAAGAAAAGGACCGAAAAAAGGAGGTCTCTGAGTAATTTGATAGATTGAAATGTGTGTGGTCGAGAAAAAAAAGAGAATTTTGTTCAATGGGGGAACACATGAACATTTTTATCGCGTTTGTTTGATCTCGAGAGAAATGGTGATTTTTTTTCTGAAGGGCACACATAAACATTATACCGAATACGGACAATTTCAAAAGTGCATGCGCCCTTAGGCTTGCGAATTGGGTCTCGAGACGAAAAATTATTTGTTCCTCAAAATAATTGCAATTGAGCGAATTTTTTATTGAAAGGAATGAGCTTAATAAAATGCATCTAATGATTGCTTAGGTGATTTCCGAATATCAAAGGATCATGAGCATATAACACTAGGTCCTGAAGGGAATTCTACAATATCTTGAAAAATACTTAATAATTCACAATTATTACTTTGAAACGTATATTTTTACTTTATAAGTTTTTTCTTAATAACAAAAAATAATAATTCCATTATTTATTTTTATGTCTCGAAGTGAATTGCTCGATTAAAAAAATTCAGAACAAAATTTTTGAATAGCTTCAACAAAAGGCATTAAAAAAAATCGAACATCTATTTCAACTTCCAAAAAAAGCATGCTTGATCTACCAATTAGGATTACGGTAGCTGGTTATGTTGAGTGTTCGATTTCAATTAACAACAAATCGGTTTGTTGGGAGGGGGTTATGCGAAACAAGGCCAATATGCAATCGTGCGAAATTTCGGGGGTTCGTCGACTAATTTAATTCCACCTCCTACCCGCTTATGGCCATAATAAAAGTGTTTTGAGTGACGTTACCGTATTCTCGAACATTTCTGAGGCTGTTAGCTAGGTAGGCCAGGCCAGGCATCGTTCTCATATCAACACGCATGACCTTTACCTTTTATGTTGTAACCGAACCGAAAAAGACGAAGGTGGGGGGAGAAGGATATAAAAGTTTTAATGAGATTTGTTGATAAAAAAAAAGACCACACAGGCACATGCATTCATACAAGGGAGAATGAAGGCAAAAAAAAAACAGCTGCTAAGGGCCACCCACGAACAGGAAATGGGGGAAAGCATAAAAACGCGAGTGCGCCTTGCGCGGTGTGTGTTTGTGTGTGTGTGTTCATGCTTTTTTTGGGACCCCCACCATCATTCCAAGGACATGGATATGCATATATTCATTGTTTGATGATTGTCACAACAGGTTGTGTCTATGTATTTCAAGGTGTCGAATGGGCTTTTTTTGTTCAAATGCGCGTGCCATTATGAAGAAGCTGCGGACATCGTTGGGGGGATTCGATCTGCCGACAATATTTATAATTTCTAGTATTAACATTTTTATCAATTATATCACAAAAAATTGTGCTTCGAAGGAATTGGAATTAAAGGAACATGGTCCAATTTGTTGCAGAGGGTAACATGAAATAATAAGGAGGATATATCGATGTTCAGCGAAATTTTTTATTTTTAGTTCGACCTCCCATTTGTCGGCAGATTGTTAAGCGAATTTTATCAATAATCCAGTTTTCTTGAACGTTGTTCCTATGTTGTTCTTGCAAAACGCACACGAAGAAGAATGTAACTTTTTTGGAAATTTATGACCTATGGCGGCGACCTTGGTAATGTTGATAAGAATAAAGAAATGAAACAATGTTCCTCTTTTTGAGGCAGAGGGAGGGGAAGTACTCAAGCAATAGAGGAAAGCATAAAGAAGGAAGTCTCGACGGTATGCGCCTTTAAATTATAATTTTTGATGAGGGAATCATTGAAAACTGACGGGAATCCCAATAATCCCACAAAGAAAAAAAATTATATATAAATGATCATGTTTCGTGACAAGACCAAAGCTTTTGCTAGCAATAGACTTATTGAAATTTTTTTTGCGTCGTGTTTTGTTTAGCCCGCGTCAGTTAGGCGTATCGTGTCGGGACCCAAAATCGAAATTAATTGTTCCGTCCTCAATGCCTCTTGCTCGTTCCAATTTCAATTCGCCTCGAGAAGCTTGAGCTCATAAAATGAATGAAGAGTAATCGACAGATTCTGACAGATTTGCCTCATTGCCAATATCCTGTGAAGCAAAAATACCAAGCGGATTTCGTTTTTCTTCTCGATGATAGATGAGGAGTGTTTCCGAAACGAATTTCGCATCGACTACTGTAGAAATGAATGAGATATGCCAAATTCCGGCAACGAATGACTTTATAAGCAAATTCAATTGTTTTCATTCATTTTGTTTGCCTGAAAATACAGGGGTTTATGAAACTGGAAAATTGCCCCGCAGATTACAATAATTATAGCATATAGCATATTAACAAAACAGATTTTGCATTCTAAATATATATTTTTTATTTCCCGCTTTTTTTCCGATCATCCAATTGTTTTTGTTTGAAAAAAATAAAATAAAGAATACCAAAAATCAATGAAATATACCAAAAATCAATTTTTAAAAAATGTGATGCGGAGAAATTCTCCATCTTCATTTTCAGCTGTTCACTTTCAAATCATATCATCCTTACTTTATGGAAAAATACTTTTTGACTAGCTTCTTGAAATGCCCTCCGCAAAACTATTTGAGCAGTGTGGAATTTATGCGAACGTGTTCTTTCCGATTTGTGGAGGAATCCCTGCTAGTTTCTTGTCTGAATGGAAAGTGGATGCCCGAATTCAAGTATATTCCGCTGCCACAGGGCTCGTCGGAGTTGGAATCTCAATATCATATAATTCAAAAAATCAAAATATTTATGAAACATGCCAAAAATCGAAAAATTCCCCGCCCTGATACTTAGAATTGCCCTTTCATATTCAGCTGCTCACATTCACATCATAACAATCATTTCTTTATGGAGCAATATATTTCGACTATCTACTCGAAATGCCCTTCGCACAGCTATTTGAGCAGTGTGGAATTTCTACAAACGGCATGCTTTTATATCTCATTCGTTAGCATTCCGACAGATTTGTTCGGAATATTTCTGATATTATTCAAAACTCCCCCGAAGATGGCTTCCTTGAAATGGGTGCTCCTTCATGCCCATATATGGTGTTCTATCTGCGATCTGTTATACGGAAAACTCGTCATTCCTTACGAGTTCTTTCCGATTTGTGGAGGAATACCTGCTGGTTTTTTGTCTGAATGGAAAGTGGATGCCCGAATTCAAGTATATTCCGCTGCCACAGGACTCGTCGGAGTTGGAATCTCAATATCATTCGTTTTTGAAAATCGCTATAGAATTGTGGCAAGAAACAGTCGATTTTGCATACGTCGGCGTTCGTCAAGAATTATATATTATTCTGTTAACTATTTATATATATTCACTGGAATGACGCCTATTCTGGTTACAGTGCTTCCCGATCAGACCCAGGAAAAGCTTGAATTCTTGAAGATTATTTTCAAATTCCATCAACGATATTATTTTCACCTGCTTTTGACATATTTTTTCTTTTCTAGTCATAAGTAAGAATATTGACAGAGAACATAGATTGTTTACGTGCGGCGACTGTTGCACGCTAGTAGATTTTCTAAAGCGCCTTTCGTTATGGTCCCGAGAAGATTACCTAGTTGTTCACATCATTGGGAAGTTTATTTCTTACTTCAATATTGTTTCATTTCAATGACGTTAGAAATTTAAAAAAATGACATCAAGATTTGCCCGGCTGTGGCCGGGATATGACGTTTGTTTCACACGCAACGCATACGCATCGCGGACCTGTCTTAGAGCAATTTTTTAATGTAAAACAGCTTTTGGAATTAAACAATATGTTAGTAACCACCAATATTCGGCCACATCAATTCCTCTGTTTGCCGCATTCGATTATTCGGCTACGATTCTTCACTAAATTTTCACTACCAAAAAAACTATTTTTTTAAATAATATTTTAAACTGTGAGGTTGCAATCCAACTGTTTCAATTCGAAATGGAATTACCGCCACGAAAAAGTGCGATGGTCCACAATTCTGCAAGGCGTTTGTTTTTTCGCGATGGTAATATTCTGATTTTATTTGTCTAATTTTCTCAGATCAATAATTCGTTGAATTTCTGCTGCACCTGAGCTAAGCTACATGTTTAAAGTTGACAAATTTATAGATAATTTCTAACTAAGACTAATTTTTTGGAATTTTATATTTTACGAAAAAAATTTTAAAAAAACGGTTGAAGCCAACCGTGACGGACGTGGCCGATGCACAGCCGACAAAGTGCGCGCATTTAAATTTTCGGCTTTTGTCCGACTACGGGCTCGTCTTTGAAAAGAAAAGCCTAGCAAATGCAACAAATTTTAACCTAACTTACATTTATCAACAATGTTTTTTGAAACAAATTTTGATTTTTATCGATCTTTTGAAAACCCACTGGTGCCTAAAATAATTTTTTAAACATCAATAATCTCTTTTGTTAATGGGACCCGTACAAGATTTTCCAGAGAAATCGATGCTGGAAAAGTTGTAGTGATGAAACGGTGGTGAAGATTCATTTTCCTACTACGTTCACTATATCCAGAAAATTATAGAAGAAATTCGATCAATTTCCCGATTTGCAGATGGTTCCTTGTCCAACTCAAGAATTCTTCTCTCCCAGAACCATCCTTCCACCGTCCAAATATTCGGATCATTATGCTTTAATGTTCCTTATCGGGATAATCATAATCGTCAGTGAAGTTCTATTCTTCTCGATTCATTGTTTTCTTTACCTTTTTAATGAAAACACCAATATATCAAAAAACACGAGAAAAATGCAAAAGAAATTCATGATAACAATCACAATTCAAGTGAGAATTTAATCATTTCCTTATGGATTTTTGTTTGTTTAGATAGCAGGTCCATTCGTAGTTTGTGTTATGCCAATGTTATATGTAGTCATTTCAATTATGATATCATATTATAATCAAGGTAACAAGGCTTTTTGAAATAAGTTTCACCTGATTTTATAATCCAGTACTCAATAATATGGTTTATGTGCTCATCGCTCATCATGGATTCCTTAACACTATTTTCATGATTGTTTTATTCGCTCCTTATCGGGAATATACAAAATCGTTAATATGCATGAAAAAGATAAAAAGCACAACTGTTTCTGTTCATATCACTGAAACGAACCATGCTTGAAATTTTATTCCATAAATATTTTTTTGGAATTTGAATGGAGTTGAAAGACAGAATGGTCTGAAAGAATTTACAGAAATGATGTATGAATCATTTCCTTTCTTAACACCTCAGAAGGCAAACACACTGGCGGCCCAAAACTTCCACAATTACCTTCAATAGAAGTCAACATTCAAAAGTCTTCGGATTGTTGCAACCGAAATGAACAAAATAAGATTTTTTGAAGAAAAAGACATGAGAAATTCCTCCTAGTCGAGACCATGAGCAAGTATGTACATTTCAAAAAAAAAACGAACACCCTGACGAATATTTTTGTCTGTCTTTCATCTTACAGCCAATCTCGGTTCAGAGCAGACTAAATTGAAAAGTATAAAATTGAAAAGTGTAATGGAAAATGCTAAAAGTCTGTTCAAACTGAATTTCCCAAGTGTATCTTAAAATCAAATTGTTTATTCAAAAAACAGATATTAAAATGAAAGAATTGATATAGATATTTTTTATAGTTTAATCTTTATTAGCTAATTAATAGAATTAACTGCTGTCTCCGTCGCTTCAGCTGATGGCTCATAATCAACAGGGAGTATTCGACTGCTCGTTTTACAGCAAAATCCAAAATCTCCAAACTTTTGACGCCGATTACGATTACCCAAAATGATTGAGAATGGGACCACGATACCTGAATAATATATGAGATTTAAGAAATGCGATTTGAAGCTCTTACAAAGAAGCTGGGTAAATGTGTACTTGACAACGCAAACATTTCCAAAAGATAAGAAGCCTTGAGATGTGCCCATGTGCATGAAGAGTAGCATAATATTAGTTGCCTGAATTTAATTTTGGTGAAAATTTCGATCGATTGCTTACAAATTGAAAACTAGCAATAGGAACAGCTTGCTTGATCACAGTGAAGTCAATCGCCTTTCCAACTTTCCTACTCTGACCAATCACTTTCACCAATATCACGAAATAACCAACAAATGTTAAAATGCCAAGAACCGTTTTTAATCCAAGGTCGTAGGCGAAACAATAAAATACTAAGTTTGTAAGATTACTATACTTGTTGCCAATTCCGAATTGGTCTAAAGTGTGAATTAAAGAAACTGCAGAGATAAATAAGACAAATGGGATCGAAAAAATGAATAATATTGGTCCGCTCCATCGAATACGTATTGACCAGAAATGCGAATCCAAAAAGATCACTGAGAAGCGATGAATACATAAAAGAAAGTCGAGAATGCCAATAAAGTTTGGATAGGATGTTGCAATTATAAATGTCGAAGGCAGAGCAATATCAATCGTGTGTAAATCACGAAACCCAAATGTTACGAGAAGGACTAAAGTGGTCAGAAGTACGAATAATATATTGAGGATCATAATGAGGAATAACAATGGATAATACGGGTACTGAAAATCGAAGACCATTAAAAGTAATAATGCAAAGGTCTTACTTTATATTCAACCCTGAATGTTCTGATTATCATAACAGTCAACGCTATATTGTAATAAATTGCAATAATTTGAGAAATGAAGAATAATAGAGCCATGATCAAGAAGTGATGTTCGTTTATTCCTGTTAAATAGTTTTCTCCGAACAATAATTGTAGTGAATTAGTCGTGTTCTCCATTGTACGAGAGTTCTTCAAATTATTGTGTATCGCTAAAGTATGTAACATTGACCATCTACACAAATTAATGAAGGAAATGAGATTTTAAAAAATTAGGAAACCCTGGGCAACATGGGGGGGGGATATGCGTACAGTGGATCCCATTGTCGCACCAATCAACTACAGGGTGGTTGAAAATTACCCGGACTATATGAAAACCAATGTATTTCAGTGAATAATTGTTCAAACACACTCAAATTTCATATTTAGTTTATTTTTACAATAACAAACATAAATAGATTATCGTTGTTCGATTCGATCTCCGCGGTTTCTGATGACGGCGCGAAGACGCTTCGGATATGCGCGACCGTGGCGCGCAGGTATTCCACCGACAATTTGTCCCATTCCTCGACCAGCGCTTTCTTTAGAGAGTCCAAATTCGGGTGGGGCCTAGCACAGACCTTACTCTGTAAGACACCCCATACGGGGTAGTCCAACGGATTAAGGTCAGGAGACGAGGCGGGCAATTCTGTTGACTTGATGAAGGAGGGGAAATTGTTGGCGCACCACTCCTGCGTAAACTTTGCAGTATGAGCTGGCGCCCCGTCCTGCTGGAACACCCATCGTTGCCCACCAAAGTGTTTTTGGGCCCAACGAAGCAAGTTCTTCTTCAGGATTTCATTGACATAGTAGTCCTTGTCGATTTTGACACCCTTTTCCACGAAAATCAGAGGACATTTTCCATTGGAGCAGATGGCACCGAAGACCATGACGCTGACGGAGTGCGACGTACGATGAATCGTCCGGCCGAGTTCTGAAGCTTCCTCGGACGTTCGGGCAAGCACTCGATGGTTTTGCGAATTGAATTCGGCCTCCACGGTGAACAGCTTCTCGTCCGAAAAGACCGTCGACAGATGTTCCCCAACCCACGCGCGCGCCAAAAGGAGTTTTGCCTTTTGGTGCCGTTTGAGCTTGTTGGATTGAGAAAGGATGGCCGCTTTTCTGACACGATAAGGAGTCAACTTAAGCTTCTTTTTGACAATGGTTGTCATTGAAGCTCGTGACATATTCAGCGCGGACGCCATCATTCTGATGCTCTGATGAGCATTTCGTCTGATTCTGTCTCGGACGATCTTAACGTTCGAAGAAGTCGTCACCGCAGTTTTTCTTCCTCTGCCTGCACGGTCCTGGGTTGTGCCAAGATCCTTGAAACAAGAAATCGCATCGTAGACGGTGCTTTTCGGAATTCTCAGATGCTTCCAAATTGCATACGTGCCTATTCCGGACTTGTGCAATGCGATAATTGCGGGTCGGTTTGCATTTTGCTTTGCCATTTTGCTAAAACCGAACTAATTATCATGAAAATTTGGGAGATAGTAAAAAAAAACATTGCTAATTAAAAAATTGAAAAACATTGCGCTGAAAAAGCGCCAGTGCGCCTCACGAAGGCGCGAAATTTTAGTCCGGGTAATTTTCAGCCACCCTGTAAATACCACAGATCTGATTTAATAATAATCGTTAAAATATGTGTGAATTTTGATTTAGAGTAATACTTATTGAAGGTTATACAAGATTCTGACCATTGTAATAACATCTACATTTTAAATGGTATGCTTTGGTCACGAAAAAAGAGGAAGACGAGGAAGTCAAAGCTGCATTGAATTAAATTATAACATCTTCACATGAAAGCGATGAAGAATATTATGGCTATAAGAGGAACGAAGGAATGCTCTGATGAAGGAAAATAGGGTAGAGATGCTAAAGGAATTGATGCTTAGTGTCTAATCAACCGATCATGCGGAAGAAAGATTCTTGAAGAATAAATCCAAAATCAAGGCCAATGCAATTTTTTAGCGATTCATTCGATTATAGGAAGCCACTGTATCATGTCAAAACCAAACAGATATAATTTATATGATAACGCTATTTCAATAATAATGACACTTTTATGATGCAAACATACGTAAACAAAAATAATGATTATAAGAAAATGCGCAAATAAGAATAATCGCAAGGGAATTGAATGAATGAAGACGTGCAGATATATTCATACGCGTTAATGATTATGGAATTATATGTATTCTCTCTGGGAGAACACTTTAAAATTTTGTTGTCATTCCGAACAAATTATCAAAAAATAATACGAACTGAATACCTGACGACGATACAAATAGAAACGAAATAATCAAAATGGATACCATTCGATAGGATTCAAATTGGCCGGATCAAAGATTTTAAAAAAAGTTCAATTTTTTAAATAAATTTTAAGTATTTTATTAGCACAAGTGCCGAATGGTGGAGTATGAGCCGATTTTGTTTGGGACGAATTAAATGGCAGTCCACGAAATTCAAATTTCTCAAATTCGTCCGTTCACGTCAATACAAATATATAGAAAGAAATTCTAGTATTTCTCCGGTGTCTTACAAGACACCGATTTTCTCCGATGTCTTGTTAGGTTTTTCAACGTAAAGCTTGATGAATTCTTGAATATTTGATAAACATCCGTAGCACTTTCATGTGAACATTCAAAAAATGAAATTATTACTCACATAGACATATCAAACTTTTCACTTCAAAAAAAATCACATAATAGAAGAAAACCATCCATGAACAAAGAAATTATCTAATAAAAATAGTCAACATTTTAATAGTGTCGAAATTGATAAAGTTGCCAAGCTTGAGCAAGAACAAGCTCCTGAGCAGTCCAATACTTGTCCAATTAGTCGGAATATCAATTTCAATTGAATCGATATCTTCATCGAAAATATCTACACTATTTTGTGATTTCACTGCATCCTGAATATTTAATTTTTACATACTGAAGTGTAAAATTTCTGAATAACGACTAGCCTCTTTTTTGGAAAATTGTAGATATTCTTTCCTTTAAGTTAACACGCTTTCTAGTTTGATCACTTGGGTTTGTATGAAGTTGTATCGATGTTGTCGTTATTTCCTTTTGATCATCAGGTGCGATGTCAGCAGTCTGAATATGTGTATAAAGTGCATAAAAAATATCTTTGCCTTAAGAAAAGATTTTATTGCATTGAAAATGTTTTTTTCCATAATATTTACGTATATTACCTCAGCTGCAACATTTCTAAAATACAGGGTGATCCAAAATTATGGAAACACAAGTTTGAAGCCTTCTGACAGATGCTGGCGCATTTTTCGCGCACCAATTTTATCATTTTATTTTTCAGCATGTTTTAATTACCCTTTTCCCAAATTTTCTAGTTCCTAGCGTCACTTTTACTAGAATGGTAGCCAATTCAGTGCACCGAGGTACCATTATCGATATGGCGACGTGATGAAAGAGCGATAGTTGCATCGCAAAAGCTCACGGCATCTCTCGATCAACAATTTGTAAAACCGTAAAACGATACAAGGAGCTTAACACACTTGAAAACCGTCAGAGAAGTGGAAGACCTCGCAGTTCTATCACTTCGGGGAGGATCAAGGTCGCCAGAGAACGAACTCATCGAAATCAGCACCGGAGCATGAGAAACATGAGCTTGGAGCTCGGCATGAGCAAATCTTCGATGGAGCGCATGCTGAAAACGAAGCTTGAATTGACCCCGTATTGTTTTCGAAAAGCGGCAGTTTTATCTGAAAAGAACAAAGTGCTCCGAATGCAAAAGTGCGAATCTCGTCTTGCCGGCACGCGCCAAAATGAACATTTGAACACGCTGTTTACGGACGAGAAGCTCTTCACTGTGGAGGCTGAATTCAACTCGCAAAATCATCTTGCAAGGGACGCAGACGAAGCCAATAAGCACGGAAGAACGATCAACAGAATGTCTCATCCTCAACAAGTCATGATTTTTGGGGCGATCACGTCTGATGGGAAGATGTCGCTTGTTCTCGAGGATCCCGGAGTCAAAATCAACCGGGAATACTACTTAGAAGAAGTTCTAAGAAACACGTGCTTCCACGGACCCAAGCACACTTTCGAAACCAGGTTTGGACATTCCCAAAGTACTCTGCACCGGCTCACAAAGCAAAAGTCGTCCAATCCCAGTCTGCCGCAAATTTTGCCAGTTTATTTCTTGTTCAGAATGACCAGCTTCGTCGCCGGATTTGAGCCCACTCGACTATTATGTTTTAGGTGTACTTTAATCGAAGGTCTAGGCACATCCCTATACCAATTTGGAGTCATTGAAGAAATGTTTGGTTGGGGAATGGGCCAAACTATCACCAGAATACCTCCGTGCCACAGTCGAGACATTCCCGAAGAGACTCAAGGAAGTAATGAAGAACAGAGGAAATCGAATCGAGTAATGTTGATGAATTTTTGTTGATAATTGATTCAATAAAATATTTGTGAATTTTCAAGTTGATTCGATCATTTTTAAAAAAGTTACATCACTTTGAATGTGTTTCCATAATTATGGGCCACCCTGTACAATAAGTTCTAAGAGTTGCTCGGAGATCCCAATACGCAAATATTTTACAATAGAATCATATTGGCAAATAAAATTATTGTGTTTTTGGCCTTTCCACAAATCACATACTGTTGCAAGCGGCATATAAAAATTGAATCGTTTCTGAAAAAAAATCAGTCGTATGTTTTTTATTCGCTTAGGCTAACAAGTAAATCACATTCTTTTAAAATGGTTTCAGCGGATTCGTGCGCGGGCAATCTATTATCGACAAGCACCGGACTTCATTGAGAAGCATGTTGATATTAAAACATTTATAATCACAGAAAAATAAAAATTGATTTAAATTTTTTTTAGTTGAAAAATTATTTACCTACTTTTATGTTAGCATCTTAAAAAGTAACCGATTAGTGATCAAACCCGTTTTTTTCGAGAATTATAAAGGCACCATAGGAAACAAGTTATAAACCATCCCGAATTTCCTTCCTTGGCCATAAAGACACCCTCTCTTCAGCATTGTGAATCTGGAGCCAATCCAAAGTAGACCGAATCACATGAAT